GTGGTTCCGCTGGTCGCGATCGCGAATATGAGAATGATCGACGACAGGGAGTCTTGGAGAAGGTTGGAGTCGAGGCTGAAAGCGATTCTTTCTTGCGTCAAATCCTCTTCCCAGTCGACACCGAAGGCATCTCCGTTGGTAAGCGTGGACGCTTCGATCTTCCCACAATTCTTGGTAGCAGCCGTGTTTGGTACCACCTTTCCATCCATCCCACCGACGATCTGCCAGAGCAACTGCAGGCCTCTGCCAACTCTTGGTCTGCAGGTGCAGTGTCGCGTCAGTTGCGAGACTGGCGACTGCCTGAATGGGCCAACCGTCGCATCAAGCAACTCGATTTCACTGCCGACTTTGATGTTGAGGAGTTTGTCGCTCGGTATTCCCGCCTTGGCTGCACCGAAGGCCAGGATGGCGTCGAGAATTGGATTCTGGAGAGAGGCTGGAGCAACGGGGACGCGGTTGTTGGTCAACAACGCATCTGGATGAGAGAAGGTGCTTGGTGGGAAGCCGAGAGTATGCTTGATCTCAAGCCTGACGAGGCCGCGAACCCGTTCGGATATGGTGCTAGAATGTACGAATCTGGCATGACCCCAGAGGGTACCCCCATGGGCGAGTCCACAAACCTACTCGGCCACGGTGACATGATGATGCACCCGGCGGCTATGAGCGCCATGGCCCCCAGTGTCATGGGCGGCGCCAAATCAATTGCCCCCAGTGCTCCCTTAAACCCAATGGCCGGTGACTATGGTCTCGGTCATAAGGGAGATGACAACAAGGGTGATATCACCTACTACGATCAATACGGTCGCTACGTTGGTGACGGTGATGTTGAATTCGGTGAACCAAAACACATCGAAAAGACACCAATCACCTTCGGTCGTCGACTGTGGGCTGGATTTGTCTGGGCCATGACCTTCTGGATTCCCTCCTTCGTACTCAGATATATTGGTCGCATGAAGCGCCCGGATGTTCGCATGGCTTGGCGCGAGAAGTTGGTCCTCATGGCTCTGATTCTGCTCTTCAACGCCATTGTCTGTTTCTACATCATGGCATTCGGTACTCTGCTCTGTCCCAATAAGGACAAGGCTTGGAATACAAAGGAGGTTGGCTGGCACACAACAGACGACAACTTCTTTGTCAGTATTCACGGTCGCGTGTACGACATCTCGAAATTCTGGCGCCAGCAGCACAGTGATATCAAAGGCCAACAGGTAACAAGCTCGGTCATGCAAGAACTCGCTGGTACCAATCTGGATGCCTATTTCCCGCCTCCTCTTTCCGAGTATTGTGGAACCGCCGCCTCCGCGAACATCCAGTTGCAGAACAATGACACCACCGCTGTTCTGTACGCTCAGGCGAAGCACAACTGTGGACCTCAGAACTACCCGCAGACCAGTACTAAGCTCCACGAGTTGAGCTGGTATTCGAAAGTCTTCCTTCCGAAGATTACCGACTATTACAAGGGTGAGCTGGTCTGGACGAAGTCCACTATCAAGACTCAAGCCAATGATGACGAACGATACTGGGCCATCGTCAACGAGAAGGTCTATGATCTAACAGACTATTTCTACACTCTCGACCTACAAAACGATGGTTCCCAATACTCGTTCCTGCCCGACGCTGTTACGACACTCTTCAAGGACAATCCAGGAACTGACATCACATCCCAATGGCAGGATACATCTGAGTTCCAAAATGCTCAGAGGTGTCTCGATTACGTCTTCTATAAGGGCAAAACCGACTTCCGAGACACTCCCAGGTGTACTGTAAACAACTGGATTCTGCTTTCCTTCGCCATTCTTATCTGCGCCGTGATTCTCGTCAAGTTCTTGGCGGCTTTGCAGCTGGGATCGAAACGTCGGCCTTCGCCTCAAGACAAATTTGTCATCTGTTTGGTCCCCGCCTACACTGAGGGTGAAGATTCTCTTCGCAAGGGTCTTGACTCATTGACTGCGCTGCAATACGATAACAAGCGAAAGCTGATCTTCGTAATCTGTGATGGTATGATTGTTGGTGGTGGAAATGACCGACCAACCCCCAAGATCGTCCTTGATATTCTGGGTGTCGACCCCAAGATGGACCCACCAGCACTGCCTTTCCACTCCGTTGGCCAGGGCATGGAACAACTCAACTATGCCAAGGTTTACTCTGGTCTCTACGAGTACGAGGGTAACGTTGTCCCTTACATCGTCGTCGTCAAGGTCGGAAAGGAGTCTGAGCAGCGCAAGTCTAAGCCTGGAAATCGTGGAAAGCGTGACTCGCAAGTGCTCCTGATGAAGTTCCTGAACCGCGTGCACCACCGTGCTCCCATGTCGCCTATGGAACTTGAAATCTTCCACCAGATTAACAATATCATTGGCGTGGATCCCGAGCTTTACGAGTACTGCTTCATGGTCGACGCAGATACTAGTGTCAAGGAGGATTCGCTGAATCGATTGGTGGCTGCTTGTGCGGCGGACGCTAAGATTGCTGGTATTTGTGGTGAGACTAGTCTCGCGAACGAGGAGCGCAGTTGGTGGACTATGATCCAGGTGTACGAATACTACATCTCGCATCATTTGTCCAAGGCCTTTGAGTCTCTCTTTGGCAGTGTCACCTGTCTTCCCGGATGGTAAGTTTTCACCATCTACCTCCTCTGGTGTACTATTACTAACTGCTGTCCAGTTTCTGCATGTACCGTCTTCGCACGGCGGACAAAGGCCGCCCACTCATCATCTCGGACAAGGTTATCAAGGAGTATTCCGATAATGATGTCGATACGCTCCACAAGAAGAACTTGCTCTCTCTGGGTGAGGATCGTTTCTTGACCACTCTCATGACGAAGCACTTCCCTACCATGCGCTACAAGTTCGTTCCCGATGCCTACGCAAGCACAGCTGCCCCCGAGAGCTGGAGTGTGCTTCTCTCCCAGAGACGTCGTTGGATCAACTCAACTGTTCACAATCTGGTCGAACTGGCTGCTCTGCAGGATCTCTGCGGCTTCTGCTGCTTCAGTATGCGCTTCGTCGTTCTTGTGGATCTCCTTGGAACGATCATTCTTCCGGCTACCTGTGTCTACCTTGGTTATATTTTCTACCTGATCGGCAGTAAAACTGGACCCTTCCCGATGATTTCGATTATCATGTTGGCTGCTGTATACGGTCTGCAGGCCATCATTTTCATCGTCAAGCGACAGTGGCAGCACATCGGTTGGATGATCATCTACCTGATAGCCTTCCCTATCTACAGTTTCGTCCTCCCGCTCTATTCCTTCTGGAAACAAGACGACTTCTCATGGGGTAACACCCGCGTCGTCATCGGTGAAAAGGGAGACAAGCGCATCGTCGCCGTCGGCGGCGAACAAGAAGCCGATTTCGACCCTCGCAGCATCCCCCTTCAACGCTGGGACGACTACGCAATGGCCAACAACCTCCCCGGCCGCCGCGGCGACATGGGCGCCAGCCAAGAGAAGATCTACTCGAACGGCCGCTACGTCGACGACATGGGCATGGAAATGGACGACATGCACTCGCAGTATTCCTCCGTCAAGCCCGCTTCCACCATCCTAACCGGATTCCCAGGTGGCCAAGGCCGTCATACCAACCCGTACATGCCACCGCAGTCTCCCGCCCCCTTCGTCGGCGGTAATGTACCCGGCAACCGCAACTCGCACATGTCAAACTTCTCCCGCTACACCGACTTCCCACAGATGGGCGGTGCTCAGAATCAGCATCCCGCCGCCGCCTCCAGACACATGTCCATGGGCGGTATGAGCGGCTACCAAGATGCACCAGGCCACCAAAGCCGTCACAGTCTCGGATTCATGCAAAGCCACGAGAATCTCCTCGGTAATCGGTCCCGCAGTCCCCTGGGCCAATACCCGTCCCGCCTCGCGACCTGCCAGTACTGCCTTTGACTTCCGTGGCGCTGCGGGCGGTGGTCCAGATGAGTTGGCTATTAGTGAAGCAACGCGTTCCTGTCTGGCTGAGGTTGATCTTGACACTGTCACTAAGAAGCAGGTCCGCGTTCTTGTCGAACAACGACTGCAAACTACTCTCACGGGCGAAAAGCGTGCTTTCCTCGATCGCCAGATCGATCATGAATTGGCTAATATGTGATTTTGATCGAGTTTGAGTTTTGAGTTCCCATCCCCCTTATTATCCATCTACCAGCGCTGCGCTTCTTTAATTCTTGTATCAATCATGCATCTACACGAGCGCTATTAACAAAATATTTCGCCCTGCCTTGCCTTGTTCTTTACAAATGTTGTGTTGTGTTTTGATCTTGTTCTGTTCTACTGGGATTTTTTTTTCGGCATGTCTGGCGTCTGACGGGCTGCATTTTTTAAAACCCTGTTTTTTTTGTTATCTCCCCTATCTTTTGGGATAAGTACATTGAGCGATTTTATTATTTTGAATAGGGGGTTCAAACTGTTTTATTTATAGTTTTAATGTGATATGGAAAGTATATCTCGTCCAAGCTATTCCGGGTATTATTCGACTAGTCATTGATGATAACTGTCAAGAGTATTGACCTTGTAGGACTACAGTGGCGTTGCAAAGGTTTGAAAACTCCTATTTCCCACCATCATCGACCGTCTTCTAATGGCAGACTAGTAGCTACTAAGATGGAATAGATTGGCTACTCTATTCCATCTCAGGTAGCTACCAGGCCGCGATTGGAAGCAGAGACAAGTCTTTGCAACACCACTGCCAGTGTACCTACCACTAGCAGTAGGCCAGGCTTTCGTTTTGCTGGGTAACTTTAACAACTTGAATTCACTCTATATTTTACCAGGCAAAGTGACAAATCTTTTGCCGCTGGGCATAACTACCCCTTTTTGACTCCACCCGGGCGTACTGCGGACAGGCTTCGCGTCGAGATACCTCTATTATTGATTGAAACTACCAATCTCCACTAACTAGATCAAGTGGACAAACTAGCAACTACTAGTGTTGAAAAAGCCTTAACTAGTCACATGGATGGGCCCGCCTCCGTTACCTAGCACCTGGCAAGATCTAGATCTAGCTCCGGTGCAGAGAATGCAGAAGCTTCTTTATTCCCCTCGGTCCATGCGTCTGAACATGATCATAGTAATAATCCTTTGCGGCATCCATGATGGCCTTTATCCTTGCAACGGGCACCTTTTCCTTGCGATCATAAGAGTAGAGACCGTTGACTTCTTGTTCGATGTCACACCTGAAAGAAAGAAAAAATTAGCATCTGGGCACATCACGCTTCGCTAGATATACCAAGGAGCCCGGGGAGGAAAATCATCCACTCACAACTGCGTATAAACAAGTCCACAAGTATGTCCCCCCTTAACAATCCCCATAACAAGCCTCTCATACCGCTTCAGGAAATCTTCAATGTCCGTCGCGGTGGTATATCCCCAATCACGCTCGCCCGCCTGACCACCTTTGCCCGGCGCGATATTCACGCCGCCGAATTCGGTACAGATGACCGGTGCACCGGCTTTGTGTTGCGCTCCGGGATCAAGGAGTGTGTGTCCTGCGAAGCCGGAGTAGATGGGTCTTGAGAACATATCGTGTCCAGCTTTCGGGGCCAGAATCCCGCCTTCCATCTTTGAGCATGTTTCTGATAGTTCGGCCGAGTCGGAGTAATCGTGGTAAGTTGTTAGGTCTGTTAGGACATGTTCCCAGCCGCAGTTATCATTGATAGGTCGACTCGGATCCAAGGATTTTGTCAAGTAATACAGAGAGCGAATATGATTCCGCTGCTCGATATTATCCTTCAACGAGGTATAGGCCCAACTCTCGTTGTTAGGTGTCCATGTAATGACACAAGGATGATTGATATCCCTCTTAACAGCCTCAGTCCACTCACTATTCATGCGGTCAATATAATCCGGCCCAAATTCATACGCATTGGCCATTTCGCCCCAAACGATGAATCCTAGCCGATCAGCCCAGTAGTGAAATCGCGGATCCTCGACTTTCTGATGCTTGCGGCACCCGTTGAATCCAAGATCCTTCGACATCTGGATATCGAGCTTCAATGCCTCGGACGATGGGGGCGTCAGTCCTGTTTCAGGCCAATATCCCTGATCCAAAAATAACATCTGGAAATAAGGCTTGCCGTTCAATCGGAACGTCCCATCGCCATTCTGCCACGAAAGACTCCGCATCCCAGTCGTCGTCTGCACTTCATCCACGACCTTCCCACCCTCGTCGTAAAGACGAAGAGTCAAATCGTACAAAATCGGATGCTCAGGAGACCACAATGCCACACCATCATACCAACACCCCTCAACATTGAACGGGGCGTTCCCCCCCCTTCTCCAAACTCGCAACATCGGACCCAGAAACTTTCATACTAACGTCCAACCCAACCCAATCTCTCTCCGCTTTAAGCTCCCCCTTGCCATTCCCAACAGCCTTCCCATAAAGACTCGCCTCAATCTCAACACTACACGCCGCCCGCGCACCCCGTCCCAAAACCGAAACTTGCGCATGAAGCTCACCAGACTCAATATCATCTGATCTCAACACCGTCCCACCACTCCCACACCCAATTCGCATAACAGGCACACTCTCCAACCAAACAGAAAGCCAAATCCCGCCCGTAGGCGTGTAAAAGATATTCTCCGGCACCGGGCCCCAGAACTGTTTACCGCGGGGTTGGGCCAGATCGTAGGGTGAATCACGGACGCGGAGAGTTAGCCGAGCGCTCCTCGCCTTGCTTGACTCATTGGCAGAGGTAGATGCAAACGCGTCTGAAACATCTAGGTCAAAGGGAACATGACCACCCCGATGCCCACCGATATAATTCCCATCAACCCAAATAGAGCAGTCATAGTCCACAGCGCCAAAGCGAAGAAGTAATCTGTTCCCATTTGCGACTTCTTCGTCACTGCGTATGTCGCTGATACTACGCTCGTACCACATTACCTCGTGAGCTTCGTAGAGGCCGATTCCTGAGGCTGGGGTTTGGAATGCGTAGGGGACTTTTATGTCCCGTTTGTTTTGGGCTGGTGATGCGGCTTCTGCTGCTGCTTGCTCCGGAATTCCTTTTTTCTGCCATTGCTGGGTTCGGCCTTTGTCTGCGTCGTCGAAGATGAAGGACCATGTTCCGTCGAGGGAGGCCCAGTTTAGGGCTTTGCGTTGGAAGTCTGGGCGGGGGTAGGTTGCCATGATTGGTGAGGGGTGTGTTTTTAGGTAATTGGTTCTTTTTTTTGTTTGGTAGTGTTTTAATTTATGGGGTGAATTGAAGATTGTTGGGATGAATGGTGGGATGAAAGTTGAAGTGATGTTTGGAATGAGGTGTGGTTGTTCTGGACTGGTTGAACCCCACGTTGCTACGTCAGCCGGGATCGTCGTTCCTGCGGGGAGGGGGTATCCATCAGTACACCTGGCATATACTACTACGTAGTATACATAGGACCTATCTAGAAGCAGCTTTCGAATCCATTCATTACTAGTAAAAGGGGAGGACTCTCTGGCGATGGCTTTGCTCTTCAGATATCTTGCTACCTAAGCTTCGAGCTTCATTCCTGATACTATTTGTTCCGCCAGTAGATCTACAGTCCCCAAGTCCAGAGTGTCAATTGATAGAAGTGGACCAGCAGAGCTTTTCGGAATCAGTTATGGGCCCAGGGGCGCTTCAAGAAGTCAAAAATGGTAGTTTATTATAGCATGAGACGAGGACTTGAAGTGTAAGAAGGGGAAAGGTGGATGTAAGATGGGGGCCTACTTTGAAGAGGAAGGTGCGATGGTGACCCCTTTGTTCCTTTTAGGGTAGGTTACCTGCGTATTTGCCTAAGTTGCACAATTATCGCATCAGAGCTACCTTAGGGTATCCCTGCATATCACATGACGGCCTAATTATATTGGAGGTCTGCGTTTGCAAATGACTCATTCCTCAAGGACCACTGGCAGGTCGTCTGAGCAGACTTCACATCCTGAAGTATTCAAAAATTGAACAATAATTCAACATGGTCCACGTAAAACCGTTTGTTCTTGATCACTGGGGTATGCAAGATCTAATACTAGAGTCTAAAATTCGGTTTATCTCACTAGTACCAAGGACTTTGCTGACGGATCGTTTGTAATTAGTTCGCAACTCTAAGGTATGCCATGATCGCGACAAACTATCCCTAGGTTGAGACGTCTGTATTAATTTATTACACTTCAAAGCCATATTCTAAGATATCATTGCACGGTTTGTTTTTCATCTCCGTCCACGTTAGGCTCGACTATCAATCATATCCATAACTTGTTCTAGATACATGCGTGGATCCAGTCTCGTTACAGGACCTCGCCAAACTCGGGGCATCTGACTCTTCTGTTCACCCCGTTGAGGCATCAAACAGCTTGATCTACGGCTCTGTTCTAGGCAAGCCTGAACTGCGGCAACGAATTCTCGCCCTCTATGGACACGCTGAGGATAATCCCATACCCGCCTTGCATTTGGCTGTCACGCAGGGGGCAATTTCAGCTAACTTCCTGGTCCTGGATACCCTACTTGGACCAGTAGATCATGTTATCTGTCAGTATCCAACATATCAACAGCTTTATGATGTTCCTCGTCGCACTGGGGCGGAAGTTTCGCTGTGGCGGACTCATGCAGAGCACGGCTGGATACCCGATGTATCTGAACTGCAATTCTTGGTCAAGAAGAATACAAAGATGATCATTATCAAGTGAGCTATTTACCAACCATGTGACCAGTGTGTCAGTGCTGATCGTGCGAGATTAGCAATCCGAATAATCCCACGGGCGCATCCATCCCGAGAGGTGTCCTAGAAGAGCTTGTTGCTTTTGCCTCTGAGCGCGGAATCATCATATTCAGCGACGAAGTCTTCCGTCCGCTATTCCATGACAATGCACAAGAAGCCCCTCCTTCAATCATCTCGTTCTGGAAGCAATATAAGAACATAATTGCCGTTTCCAGTCTCTCAAAGGCATTTTCGTTACCCGGAATCCGAGTTGGATGGATCGTCTCACCGAATCCCAATCTCGTGAATGAAGCCATCAACGCGAGAGATTATACTACGATTTCCGTCTCTCAGGTAGACCAGGATATCGCAACATACGCCCTTGACCCGGTCGTTCGAGAGAGGATCCTTGACCGATCACGGTCAATTTGTCAACAGAATCTCGCGAGCTTGGAGAATTTCATTGCGCAGCATTCAACCCAACTCTCTTGGGTCAAACCTACTGGGGCGTCATCAGCATTCGTGCGTATTCTGGATCGTCAGACTGGTACACCCATGGATGATGATTTATACTGTGAGATGGTCCTCCGCGCTACGGGCTTGCTCATCGTACCTGGTGGCAAGAGTTTTGGGACAGAAGCCGCTGAGGATCTGAAGGGATACTTGCGAGTTGGATTTGTGTGCTCGACAGGTCAATTTGAAAGGGCTCTCGGTCTTTGGGGCGAGTTTCTACGAGTATCAGTAACTAGTCCTAGAGGCGAAGAGCTAGCCTAATTAGGCTAATGGATCCTATGGAACTTCAACGCTTATGGAGCAATTGTCAAGACGATACGTCTCTATTAGGCATGCACTTCGACGCTGCACAGTAAGCTCCATCAAGTCGGTTCGATATCACCTTATGTGAGCCTCCAAATGCCTCCGAAGGCGGAAAATTCCAGTGTAGATCTGCGTTCGAAGTATAAACTGTGGATTCCTGAAATTAGCCAAGATAAAGCTCTATGTAAGTCCCAATTCCCAAATCATAGGCTCTTTCTTGTAAGCTTTGTTTTTCTTTTTCTCTTCTCTGCCATTACCACCATGATACATCCAGGCTCTATCGTACTCGCTACTGCCATGGTGTTAGCGGGATACCTAGCAACAATCTGCTTCACACCCCCAAACGCATCCCCAGATCGAAAAGAAAGACACAAGATCGACCGCACCTCATCGATGGGAGATTTCGTCCCTCTCATCCTCCGCCAAATCGTAATTGTCGCCGTGGCTTATCACGCAGCTCTTGCCATACTATCTGAACTGGACACCCCGAGTCTCACGGCACAAGCATGCCCTCGACCAAACAACCCCAATCCAGCACTGTTTTCTTGGACCTCTACCTCAGTCACCGCACTACTGTTAGTGCTCGTTGGGGCCTGGGTGCGTCTTTCCGCATTTGGAGGCCTAGGTCCAAATTTCACTTTTCATCTCGCACGCCCTAGTCGACTCGTGACAACTGGGATATATCGTTGGGTACAACACCCGAGTTATACCGGTCATTTGGCGGTTATAGCGGGGTGTACGTTGCTTTTTATGAGATGGGATGGTGCATCGGCTTGCTGGATAGAGGAGTCTATTTTGGTTGGATTGGATGGATGGGGTCTCGCTCTTTGGGCTTCGTTTATGGGGTTCTCTGTTTTGATGATACGGGCAAGGGTTAAGGATGAGGAGGATATGCTGAAGCAATTGTTTGGAAAGGAGTGGGAGGATTGGAATCGATCGACTAAGAGATTTATTCCTGGGTTATTTTGAATTGGGAAAGAGGATGGTGGTTTTGGTATACTTGGTGCGATGCAGAACTTTTTTTGGAAGGCTTTGGGTGAGGGGTTTTGAACCTTGGAAGCCTTGGATTTATAGTTATATTTTGGGGAAACACTCCAGGGCTGTTCCAGGGTTGAACTTGAAGTTTCCAACTTAGGACAACCTAGTAGTACTAGTTAACTAACTAGTTATTGGTTAGTTAGTAGGTAGTGTATTCACCTACCTGGAATCACCTGGGCAAGGATCTTATTTTGAGTACGACATAACCTCGGCCCTGTAATCTCAAATAGTATCTCGATGGAATAAAACCAGGTTATTAATAACAAAGGAACTCGAAAAGGAAAAAGTGTGGCTGGTTCAAGCTGTTAGAGTGGCGGCTATGTGGCAGCATCAAGTCACGTTACTAGTAATGAGTCTCACGATAACTCCGCCACCAAGGTGTCTCCCCTTTTGCCCCTGGCAAAACCCCCTTACTGACCCCTGGCAGTAAGGACGATCAACAAATAATAAAAGCCCGCGGTTCTACATAGATTGATTAGATTACCAGGGAGATGGCCCCTGGGATAATTGACGTTTGGTATAGATTGCCGTTCTGTTCCAAGGGCACCTGTTAGTGTCAACGAACTAGTAACCGGTTCATGTTGGGGACGCCATGGCAATCGAGCTCTGAATCAAATACTCTAAGAATAGCTTGGCACTTTTTCCAAGGGAAAGGAACGCTGTCATTTACGATGACACTGCTGCCATTGGGCGATAGCACTGCCCACTGGACCCATTACCATCCCATCTAGCCGGATCGACTTCCGGTGGCTGCCATTGTGTGCCAGTGATAACGAAAAAAAAAACAAGTACGAGTATAGAGGACAGAGTAAGAGATGTAGATGCATGGGGAAGAACCCTGGTCTCAGAGAACAGGTGTGGCTTTTTCACCTCTCGCATAGATAAACCCCAGCAACACTCACCAGGGCTCTCCACACGTCGTTCCTGTCCGGGGCCCCAACATCTGGAGGGCGGCATTGACGGCTGCAGTCGACTTTCAAAGCGGTCTCCCCGTGGTCCATCCAGTCGGAATCAATTTCGAGGGGTCGAGTCCTTACGATCCAGCGTGGACGAAAGCCATCGACCCACCGCGGTATACGAGAGAATGACGTCGACCACTTGGAAACCTTGTCCTACCCCGGCACCTTTTGACGCCTTTCGGGGAGGGTCCCATTGAGGGGTCGCTACGGAGTACAGTACACAGGTGCAAGTTCTTTCAGGCTTAGGTTGAAGGAGGGGGAACAGAACGGGGGGGGGTACGAGCTGTACAGTAGGTAGTGCTCAGGAGTCAGCCCATCAAGTTTATCAGTCTCACTTCCCAGTTTTCCAGTTCCCCAGGCATCAGCGGTATGAACAACCTGCGATCCACATGCCGCGCTGACCAGCTCAGTCAGGCTCAGCCTCCCCGCGCCAGTCGGTGGCCGCGTCCGGGCCAGCCGGGCGAAATGGGGGGCCTTCACACACCCACACCCCAAAGCCAATGCCAAAGCCAATGCCTGGGTGGATCGGGGGATCAGATACAGGCGTCGTACAGGGCTCTCGATTCCGCGACCTATGAGAGAGCTGATCGTTGTACTGGGTGGGTGAGGGAGACGCGGAAGGAGTCGGATCCAGCGAATCTCTTTTCACAGTTGGGATCCGCAGCAGCTGCAGCAGCAGCAGCTCTGCAGCTGGGGCTGCACGGTTTGGACGGTCTCGAAGCCAAGAGACAAGAGGCGTGACTGCTGCAGAGACGCAGTTAGACTGCAGGGTGCAGCATTGCAGGAGAGACTCCTCATTTTGAGGATCAATGCTCAATTCATGGCTCAATTCAATGCTCCATGGTAGGAAACACGTGACTGTTCTCGCTTGAGTGTCAAAAGTTGGGATCTTTTGGCGTGTGGAGCCAGAGTGAACCAGAGTGAGCCAGAGCCAGAGTCAGCCAAAGCCACAGCCAAAGCCAGAGCCAAAACGGGCCTGCTTGATCGCCCAGAGTAAACCCTAGCGCATTTTGCTGGGATCGGCCGCATTCTTGTGGTGGTGTAGTGGTGGTGCAATGCACCTGAACGATGGATATGAATATGAATATGAATATGAATATGGCGAGGAAAGTGGATAATGAGTAGACTTGTCCATTGTAAACATTAAAGTACAAGATACTCCGTAAGTGTACTCCATGCCAGTGCTGATGCTAAAGCTGAGTTCGGTAGATACGATACTCGGGATACCGTAATGACATGACCCGCGCACCTGACGACAGCACTTTGCCTTGGGCATTTGGCATTTGTAGTCCCCTTGATTGTTGCGCTCTTGTGTTTTGGATTATCTGGAATTATTTCTCTATTCTCTATTCTCTATTCTATTCTATATTTTGTCCTCTACATTTGAGGCATTGGGCTCGATCGATCCACTTGGTGATCGATCATCGTTCCCATCGTTCCCACCATTCCCGAAACGCCCACACAGTCATTCCTTATCCCTGGCCTGTTCTGTCGTGAGAACTGCCTTGACCTTCCCTCTTCTCCTCCACCTTCTTCCATCCCCCCAACACCATCACCTCCCCCCTCCCCCCCCCCCTCTATCCTCCTCCCCTCTTTCCCCTTCGAGTTATTCGTAGGGGTGAGAGACTCACCATTCCGACCCTCCCGGTCATGCACAAGATCTCCAACTTTACGGGCCAGGCCCGTCATGGTTGGGAACGAATGACGCCGACCTTTGGGATGTCCAGACCTCACACCGACATGGCTTTTCGCCGGCCACACGGCGCTCCACCTATGACTCCTCCCACGAGTATCGACCCGACCGTCAATTTGTCCTTCAACGTCCCATTCTCGTCGACCTTGGCTGGCCCCGATGTCGATGATGTACTCCACGCCAGTCCGAATGCTCTCCAACGTTGGACTTTCCCCGAGGACTCCCCCGAAGGTACACAGGTACACCAACTGCCTGTTCATACCAGCAATGTCGACGGCTTGCGGAGGTTATGCCGACAGATCACCGAGACGAGTGCGGGACGGATCGAAGCAACGGTGGCTTCGTCCGAGCCAAAGGCCCTACCTTCCTTACAACGGCGGCCTAATGGCTTGGTCACCAATGTCTGTGTGACAGGTGATGGCGAAACTGTGCGCAAGATGCGGGCAAAGATTTTGAACGAGACCCCGATCATGCTGGTATGTGGGCGAATTTTTTTTTTTCACATCGCCCCGGTGTACCCATCTGGGGTTCCGCTTGGGAAAAAAAAGCACTCCTTGCTGACCTTTCGCCCTTTGAATAGCGCTGCGCAACCGTCGATGTCGATATGCACCTGATTATGGATGGATCGCCGAAGGGTATTCGAGCTAGCGTATTGGAGCATATGGATACCTTGGCCGCCTACACCGGGACCGATATTTTCTTGCTGACGCCGAAACTTCACGACGCCGATAGTGCCGTCGTTTCGTCCTACGGCTATGCCTCTGATAATGGCCTTGAGCAGCGTTTTCGAGTTGCCATCTACGGTGACATGGAAAGCTCCGAACATGCTAAGACTCGGGTGCTGATCATGATTGACCAAATCGTACGTCTCTTTCAGGGTGTGGGAACATCGGGGGAAATCAAGTGCGTGCTAATACGAGGGCAGCTGAAACGCCATGTCGATGCTATCAAGCTGGAGCTGACCATGCACACCTTGGTCTGTGGCCGCACCCGCAAGAACATTAAGCTCATCGAGGCTGCCACCGGCACCGCTATTTACTTCCCCCCGCCGTTCCCTCGAATTTTCGGATATACCCCGCCGGGCGCGAACCGCCGAAGCGAGGATGAAGTGTATATTACTGGTGATACCCCGGAACAAATTGCTCGGGCGAAGCAAAAGTTGCGAGAATTGGTGATGGGTGTCAAGATCTATGTCAAGGACGTTGTTGTCAACTCGAGCAAGATTGACAATATCCTGCTCGATCGTTTGGACAAGGTTCGCAAGGTGATGGAAATGAACGGTTCCTATGTGCTGTTCCCCCAGCTGGGCAGCCAACGTGGCCTGGTTCGGATTCAAGGCACCGAGGTTTTACACGTTGAGCGGACCGTGAGGGAAATCATGGCCTTGGTACGACCACTAAATCAACAACCATCTGGCTGACCTTTGCTAATCCGTTTTCTTCTTCTTTTGTTTAGGCTGGCCAATTCTATAGTGCCTCTTGGTGGATCATCATGCCCGACCCCGCACAGGGCGGTCTTCGTGCACCTTCGACGCCTGAAATCCGCTCGATGCTCACTGATATCTGTACCAACTCGGAAGCTGAGGTCAGCTTCGATAACTTGACGTTTACGATTAACGGATCCGACGATGCTGTTAAGGCAGCCATGACCGTTGTAAATCAGATTCCATTTGTTACCCGCAGCCAGTATCAGATGCGTGTCAAGATCGAGCTGGCCAATGAGCACAAGGAGTTTGTCAGTGGCAAGAAAAATGGCAAGATCAACAAGATCATGGGCCAGAGTGAGTTAAATGTCTCAAGTCTTTCTCAGCCACCCTGCTAACCCTATACACAAGGCAATGTTCAAATCATCTTCGACGGTTTCAACGAATATAATTTTTACATCGATGTTTGTGGCAACCAGTACGACTCGACTAAGAATGGTCTGGATCTTGTTGAGCAGGAAATGCCTGCTTCCATCTCGTTTCATGTGCCCGACCAGTATCACAAACGTATCATTGGAATCGGCGGACAGCACATTCAGCGTATCATGAAGAAATACTCCGTCTTCGTCAAGTTTTCTAACGCTATGGATCGTGGAGGAATGGGCAAGGAGGATGACGATATCAAGGTTGACAATGTCATCTGCCGCACGCCCGCTCGCAATGCCCAGAGTCTGGACCTGGTCAAGCAGGAGATTATGGACATGGTCGAGAAAGTTGTACGTGTCGTGTTACCCCGACTGAGACCCAAACAGAAGCTAACGTGCCACAAGGACGCCGAGTATGTCTCGGAAAGAGTCGTTATCAACCGACTCTACCACCGTGAACTACTGGCTCGCATGACCGAGATTGATGAGCTTGAGAAGAAATGGAACTGCAAGATTGAATTCCCCAGCACCGAACTTGCCAGCGATGTTGTGACTATCTCTGGCCCCGAGTACCAAGTCCCCCAGGCCGTTGATGCCTTGTTGGGCATGGTCCCGGAAAGCCACGAGCTTCACTTCCAGAGCTCGGCAGAGCTGCGGGAGTACTTCAAGGCTCCTGATTTCCTTGCCGACGTCGGCACCAAGCTCAAGGAGCAGTACGAGGTTGACATCAATGTTGACGTTAGTGCTGATCTTCCACCTGCTCGGGAGGATGGGTCGTCCTCGCCGGACCCCGCCCCCGAAGATCGGGTCGTTCTCGGCTACACGCGCAACAATGCCGGTGGCCTTAAGGATGCCATCGACTTCCTCATTTCTCGCCTCGTCGCCCACGGCCTCGATGCCAACACGGTCAAGGGAGCGATCCCTCGCCCAAAGTCGGATTCGTTCGAGGAGTCGCTGCCCTTCTTCGACTCGAAGCTGTTGCAGCACGCTCCAGCACCTCTCCTCACCGATTCTCCTACTCGACCCAGCTTCGCAGACGAGACCAGCGAGCGCGGTTCGATCTTCGAGCGCCTCCGCAAGCCCGGAAGTATCTCGTCTTTCTCCTCATTCATCGGGCGTAAGAACCATTCGGCCTCGCCCGGATCGTTCTTCAAGCACGCTTCGAGCAATGCTTCGAAGGCTTCGCTTGTCTCGATGGAATCGCGGGATAGTGGCTACCGCAACCCTTGGAATGACTCTGGGGTGAACCTCCCCGAGGACGACGTTCCCGTCCTGGGGAGCTCGCATAGCCACAAGAGCAGCAACAGCAATGGCTGGCCCACACGCTTCGACGCCAAGTTTCCTTTCGGTACGGCGCCCGGCGACATGACACCCAAGCATGACCCGCGCGCCTCTTTTGACAGCGGTCGCCCTAGCACTTCGAATTCTACTTCTGGATACCCGGCCCCCATTGGGCCACCGCGTTAAACACAAAATATCCATTTACAGCAGTATACCCTTTTGGTTGATTTGTTTCCAGCGAGTGTCTCGGTTTCTTCTGATTTGATAGTGGATTTGGTTAGTCTGGATTTTATTTTTGGTTTTATCTTTTATTTTTCTTGTTTCTTTTTTTTATTATCTATTTTTTTGATTGATACCACGGAACGCAAGCAATGAAGGCGTCAGAAAAGAAAACCGAGAGATATCCAAGATCTGCGTGAGATAGAGCGGGAATGTTTTTGTTTTCCTTCCCTTTTTCTTTCCTCACTTTTTTTATCATCCAAGTTGCCGTTCCTGTTTTTTATCTTCTTTTTTCTTTTTACCTTTTTGATGTCTTTATTGACTGTTTTGCCAACGACGACGAAATTCCGGTATGCATGGGAGGAAAGGGATGCTAGTCGTGCGCCACGCCTGGTCAGTTGACTTTGATACCTCAGGCTGGTGGGGAGTTTTGTTTTCAAGTTGGTTTTTAAGTCTCGATGTTTTTTACTCCTTTGATATCCCCATCAATGAGATTTGACCTTGGACGATTTCCACTCGCAGGTCTTTTGACTATAGTATTTTTCGTGGTGCGTTTAGTATCTACTCGAATAGGTGAATGGCTACCGGGCCAGCTGGAAGGATTTTAACAATTCTTTATTAGAGCGTTTTCGAATAGAATATAGGCTCGCGGGCATGCGATGAGTGCTCCGAGACAGTTAGGTGTTGCAAGACTTTTGACACAGGTTCAAGTTCAGGCCTCCAAAACCTCCGCACGACCATGTTCTTCCCCGGCGTCTTCACTTTTCTTCACAGGCTTAGGTTTGATAAAGCAAGTCGCGATAATTGTGACAGACGCCGTGCAAGTGTAGAAAATCCACATATTTCGCAGCCCTGTCACGTAACTCCTCCTGCGATCATCGCCTTCAGTGCCGGCATCAATCTTAGAAGTCAAACTACCGCTTCCAATAGTTTGTTGAATCAGAACAGTCCCCAAAACAATAGAAATAGACGTAAACAAATTTCTGAGAAAAGTGAACGCAGACATTGCCGCCGCTACATCTCTCTGGTGTAAATGTGTCTGCAAGGAAATCATAGGGCTCTGGAAAAGCAAACCAGCCCCCAAGCCGGCAATGACTTCAAAACAGATAATCCTAGGCCAAGAAATGCTTGTTTCAAAGTCAATAAATAGTCCAGTGCCCAGGGTAAGAACACCCGTTCCTATGAAAATCATCGCGCGATAATTCCCTGTCTTGCGGACGAACATTCCCCGCCAAAAGTCGATAGCGACATTGGAATTATCAGAGCGAAAAGAGTCACGCCGGATATTATTGGTCGGAAGCCGAGAACGACTTGGTAATATAATGGTAGGAAGAAGTCGAAGGAGATGAAGACAAACGAGTGAAGACACGCGACGGTGAAAGATGCGAGTAGTGATCGTTTTTGAAAGATCCTGATCGGAATGAGTGGGTTTGTAGCGAATTTGGCTTCCCATATCATGAACAGTCCCATTATTATGACTCCAAAAATAATTAGCAGGATAGCTGTGGGTGAGGTCCAGGATAGAAGTCCACTTGAGCCTGTTTCAAGCCCGTATAAGAAGCAGATTGTTCCTCCGATGATGAGCAAGAAGCCCATCCAGTCTATACTGCTCAGTCCGTTCACCGACTCCTTCTCAAGGGTGAGATTGAGATTGAAGAAAAGTAGTACTAGGACAATCCCGTCAAAGGGTAGATTGATATAAACTGGAATATCATTAGCACATAGCAACATTCCTCAAACTTGAACTTGAACATGAACTTACAGCACCATCTCCATCCAATACTATCCGTAAAAACACCCCCCAAAACCGGCCCAATAGCACTAGCCATCGCAAACGCAATCCCAGTAATACCATAATATTTAGGCCTCTCAGCGAGGGCAAAAATATCCCCAATAATAACCGTTACCAGAACGATCGATCCACCACCACCGAGTCCCTGCACGACTCTACCCGCAATAAGCGACATACTCGATCTAGCCAATGCACTGACCAAACTACCAACCATAAAAGTACTAACCGCCGCCATTATCGTCGGCTTTCGACCGCAAATATCTGAGATTTTGACCCAGACTGGCGTTGATGCGGTTGTTGCCAGTGTATAACTGCTTCCAATCCACGCATACTCCTGAGATGTTACTCCTAAATGCGCTGCGATGCTGGGCAACGCGGTTGAGATGATTGTTATATCGAGTGCGCCGAGGAAAAGGGACATGCACAGTGATAGAACGATTAGTCGGCGCTGCCATGGTTGCATTTGTGGTGGTTGGTAGGTGGAAGTTTGGGTATTGAGTCGTTCGACATTGTGGATTGTTTCTTTTTCTTCGACCTGTGAGTGTGGATTTTCTGTCATGGTTATGAAATAATGTGAGTAAGGAAGAGAGGGTGAAAGACCAAAAAATGGAAGTACGAATTTCTTTAGTAGAATTCCGAGAATGGTCATTCCCATCACCCCCACTCGGGGCCACTTTCCGCGTGCCAAGACTGTCATGATCTGACGCTAAACTAATCAGTTCGCCGATTATCCTCGATCTGGAGGTGAGGGTAGAAATAAACTCTCAAGGGGATGGCTAAGATGGTATATGTACTAGAAATTAGTGTATAGTTAACCGGCTAGTTACGTCTACGATTACGATACTATGAGTGGGAGGTCCAAAAGTCAGACCCCGAGAGGCCGGATAGGTATATTCTTTATTGAACAAAAATAGAAAAAGAAACAAAAAGAAACCCAAGAGGAAACCCAACATGAAACTATCACTTCGGAAGAGTGGCGGTCTGCTTCATAGCAGCCCCAATTATGCCTCGTACCAAACTGTTGTTGTTGCTCCAGATACTCCCAACTTGACATGATGCGTTGGGTTGACAACCGGGCTATTCTCTCGAATGCTCGCCATTACGTCCGACAGTACCACATATTTATAACCGTCTTGCTTCCTTCGGGCAATCTCGCCCCAAAACTTTGCAGTCAGGGTGTTTTGTGGTGGTGCAAAGGCCACTGGAGTGGCATCGTCGCTTGCGGAGAGAATTTCGAGAGTGCGATGCGTGTGGTTGCAGTTATGCGTTGCTACATGGGAGTAGTAGCAATCTAGAAGAAAGACTGTGTCTGTGTCTGTGGTTTTGAAATTATTGACATGTCCAGCCACCACAGAATCGATGTATCTTTGAATTCTGATGCTTCGGTGGGATGGTCCTTCGACAGTAAACAGCCTGCCCGGCAGCGGAGGGGGAAATTGCTCGCCCTGATGGAGTTCATGAATCTTGACTGTTGGTGTGAAGTAGTTGGCGGTCAGGTTGATTGGTTCTCCGGTTGGAAGGTGCCGGCGCGCTGGTTTTATGCGCGAAAGCCAACCAATCTTTTGATGCTGAGGGTTGTTCTGTGAAAGGGCAGCTTGTGTGGGAGGCTGACCACGATTCTCCTGAGGGTCGTTGTGCTGAGCCAGTTCTAGATTTTTTATCCAATCTGCAATAGCTGACATTTCTGGACAAGAATGCTGCGTAGTGTCTTCAAGCATATCCTGAACGATGCTTTGTTGACGGGTAGCCTGCAGAGTATCCTGAGTGATGTTTTGCGGGATAATAAAATTTGAGGTTTCAGTGAGCATGGCAGGCTGGGACAACTGGATGAGGGTAACCGAGCGGGGATGGTAAGCTATGGGATTAACGTTAGCCACAGGATAATAGACATCCTGCCATATAACAACTCACATGGATCGTTCCTTAGCCGGCACCAGCCAGCGGCGAGGACCTGGCTAGGAGTCATGAAAACGAGCGGGTACTAGACCGCCGACGGAGTCCTGTTGATCTAGAAGAAATGTCAGACATTAACCTAAAGGTTTTGTTCCCTTGGTGTTTGAAACCTTACTTGTGGACTTTCGTCTTGATGCAAAAAGCCGGTAGCCCGACCAAGGCCAGCAACAGTGTCATCCTGAGGGCATCAAGCCCCAATTATCTATGACAGCCTTACTCCAGAATTCGATATTCACTGGGAAGCTGCCGTGGACGCAATCCGAGGGAACATCTTCGCTACACTTGAAAGTGAGCTACTACGAGAGGGATCATATGAGAACGAGGATGCACATCGAATCCCGCGCGATGGATACCGCAGCCTCGTGTTCCAAGATAAAGCTAGCCTCGACGGAGCGAGTATCGATCAAGGTCGGGGGCAATTTAAAGCTTTTGTTACAAGTGAATTATTTCCTGCTGGTGCTCGATTTCGATGGTGTCTGGTCATCGTTGCAGAGGCCATTCAGTCATTTGTGCGCTATCCTCAAACCATTGAAGCTTCTGAGTTATCGGAATCTGGCGCAATTGAAGGGAATGGTGCCTGGATGATAGTTGTGGACCCTGAATATGAGCCAGGCTCTACTTCCAGGGGCAAAAGCCGCTTATACCGGGGATATATGCGCTGCCATCTCAATAGACTGCAATCTCTTGCATGCCCAGGTGGGCAGGATCTTTGAAGCACATGTCCAGAATGATTCACCTGGATGCAGATGGTATTCCATGATATGAAGAAAACATTTAGGCGTCCAGAATGCCTGGAACCTTTGAGAGAACCAACATATTCTCTGCCAGTGGTTCCCCCTCTAGTCAACGCCAACCCTAGATGGCCGCTAAGTACCCAATTGTACAAGATAATTTATGATTTGGTCCATTGGTCCATTGATCCATTGAAGGTAAACTAAATCTAACACTGCTACAATATATTCAAATTCTCACAAAGAAACAATTACAATCGCTGAAAACGCCCGAAATTCAAATCCCAAATGATCAGCAAATGACTCATGCAGCAAAGCGATCAGGCAACACAACAGGCGCCACCAAGGTCCACATGTAAATCGCGTAGCAGACCCAAGAACTAACAATCTTCACCCAGCTGGCCCAGTAGGTGCGGCCCACCGGAGCAAAGTCCATGTCGGTGTCGACCTGCAGTCCCTGCGACAACAGGGTAGCCACCCACGTTGTGGCCAGGAAGAAGATGATATGGAATAGAGAATAGTTGTACTGGGTTGAGCCACGCTCGTCATCCTTGCTGCTGGTCTCAAAGTCATCCTCGTCATCGCTCTCATCCAAAGCGCTGGCCGGCAAACTACCGCTCTCCACCGCGGCTCGCAGAGCTTCGGCGCGCATCTCCCGATGGCTGCTGGGCTGCTGGGTAACCAGCCCGTGCTCGTTGTCCTCTGTACCCAGCTCGCTGTAGCCGTGACCGCCCTTGGATCCCAGGGCAATACCCTGGGTAGCCGCGCGCGTAGTCGTATAGGCAATGGTGGCCATGGTGACGATGGCGCCCAAAACGATTGTGATGGTGCGGGCGCCACTGGAGCGGACCAGAGGATTGCAGCTGTAGGTATCCGGCTCCATGGATACGGCGGAAAGAGTAAGGTAAGTGCAGTAAACGGTGACCATAGCAGCTTGCGCCAACCCGGCGCGCGGGTTTGATTCTTGCACGGCCGGCTGAACCGAGATGAATGAGATAATCAGGAAAACGATCAGGTTGACCGAGATAGCGATCTGGTTCATAGAGCATCCACTGCGGGCGAAGAAAATGTACATCAGGATAGTCATGACGAGGGAAGCGATGTACATGCCGAGGGTCGATCCGATAAGTAGACCCCGCCAGAGGCGCGAGTCGCTATCCTCGATCTTCTGCAGGCAAAGTTCCGCCCAGGAATGAGCCAGGTCAACCAACAGGATCAATCCCAGGAGCAGGAATAGCATGGCGCAGAAGAAAGCGATATAGTTGCCGTAGACGAAGAAGAAGGGTTCCGGAATGAAGAAGGACATGACGACGAAGGCCATCCAAACGATAATTTTGGGACCCCAGAAGCCATTTTGAAGTGCGGCGCGGCTGTCGCGGGATGTTTTTACGCCGAGGAGCAAGAGAGCGAGAATCAAGTGGAATAGAGCGAGACCGAAGTTGATGCGATGAACTGCGACCCAACCATAGCACTCCTTCCCGTCGCATCGAATTTCCATATAATCCAGAGTGAGACCTTGCAATTTCTTCATTGCCCATGGCGTGAGCATGATCCAGGAGACGATAGAGTTGACTAGGAGGATAAAGGCATAAGCGATTCGAGTCGCCATGCTGTGATGGAGTCAGTTTGGAAGCGTCCTTCGGCTAGGCATCAAGAAATGCGACAATACCTGTTTTGGAATTTTCCACATGCGCTGCAGACAGCTGAGCAAGTCGCGGCTCCGCAGCATGAGCCGCCAAGGGTGATAAGCTATTCGTCAGTCGTATTAGCAGACTGCTACTCGGATCGGATGATCGGAAGAGCTGGCGATCGAGGGAGGCAACAAGACTCACCGTGCCCATGCTAGGCACCGCTAAAAGCGGCAGTGATAGAAGAGCACCCATAGTGAGAGGAAGATTGGTGAATTCAGACCGGGACCAGGGCGAACACTGATTCAGGCAGGTTGTTTGGAGGTGCAAGACAGGTGAAGGCACTGCCTGGGGAAGAAGTGGAGGTGACGATCCCTGGAACCGCCTTCGTCATGGGATGTCACATGACCACACGTGCCATAGCCAGCGCTGACTGGCGGATCTCGCTTTGATACTGGAAGATGGAAGATGGAACAATTTAATAACCAAAAAGCGATATCGAATGGTAGGAGAAAATATTTTATTTCCATTCTACTACATAGATGTATCCAACAATCTGGTGGCCGAGGCTGTGGGCTTTCTCACTGTCTCGTGGACTAAAAATAGTGGTCTTCAACGGCACTACTAGTAGTAGTACATCTAGAGATATACTATTTCTAGTACTCCGTATAATTCAAGGACCCGGATTCCTCAATTATGAAGGACTTTGGGCTCTTGTACATCTACTACCCAACCTCAGTTCTAGCATGATTGGATTTCAAGGGACGGAGGGCCCACTGTGGACAGCCTTGGTACGACAAGGCGGTACGAAGTATATTCGTATTTGGAAGGCAACTTGAACTACTTAGAAAAGATCCAAAACATTGTGATGGGATTAACTACCAAATCTACCAGGAGCAAGATGTGGAGGGACAGATATCCCCAGAAAAGCCCTTCTTACGTGTATAGGGCTATTTGATTTGTCCATGGACACCTTTTGGACCCATGACGCGATCCTATGCCGAGTCCACCACGAGTCCCCGCTCGGATCCCTCTCACATTTGACAACGTGGTAGCCCTATGGTAGTGTAAGAGTGGAATATCGGATGACTATCGATCGCCTCCGCCTTGGACCCTGGCATCAAAAGTTTAGATCGGGGCTTGAACTCGCGTGACGCGGTGAAAGTAAAAGTAAGAGTGATTACATAGAGAGGTGGACTCGGACAGGCTTGGCACTCGGCAGAGTCCGGTGGAGCACCGCGCCGTCTCCCCGTTATCTTCGCGATTACGACGCTGGGCTCCTGAATCTCCTCTCTTCTCTTCAACCTCTGCTGTCTCTTTTTCACCTATAGTCCTTCCTTGCACCGGGTCCGATGTCCCTCTTTTCGTCCGACCACTCATTGCCCGGAAACCCTGATCGATTCACCGCTCCCCGTCCGATAAAGAAGAGATAGATATCCGCGGAGGAAAGAGTACGCGTGGCCGAACTGCCGGACTTCGTTGCGAACCACCTCTCAATTGGGGGCCAGCTTCGAGAACAAACGAGAGAAGAAGAGAGACATACATAGGAACAACGACGACAATGTTTTCTTCACAGACCGCACGGTACATCTCCGTGGCTGCGGGAACCCTGGTGGCATTATCCTGCGGCACAAATGTGCGTCATTCTGGTCTTTGCGCACTCAAACTAGTGCGATAGCTGATAACTGACACCCGATAGTATGCATACTCGGCATGGGCACCACAATTCGCCCACAAGATGAAGCTCTCTTCGACCGAGAGTAACCTCATCGTGAGTTTTCCGATTGGAACTAGTGTCGCAAAGGAATGCCCTCCATATTGACAACTTTATAGGGTGCCGCTGGCAATTTGGGCATGTACGCCATGGGATTCCCCATGGGCTTGTTGACCGATGCTCGTGGACCAAGGCTCATTACCTTGATCGGTTCGATCTGTCTTGCAATTGGCTATTACCCGATTTATCTATGTAGGCTATCCTATCTGCCGGCCAACTCATAATCCACACTAACAAACGACAGCTTATCAACACGGAGAGGGTTCGGTCCCGATCATTTTCCTGTGCTTTTTCGCTTTTCTGACAGGTACTGGTGGTTGCTCGGCCTTTTCGGGAGCGATCAAAACCGGTAGGTGCTCACACTTGCCTGATTATATTCATAAATCACCGTGCTAAATATCCACCTCTTTAGCTGCATCCAATTTCCCTGACAACCGTGGCACTGCGACTGCCTTGCCATTAGCAGCCTTTGGATTAAGTGCATTATTCTGGTCCAACATCTCGACAATTGTCTTCAAGGGCGACACTGGTCGCTTCTTGCTTCTCCTAGCCATCGGTACATCTGTTCTCTCCTTCATTTCGATCCCATTTCTCCGAATCTTGCCTCCAGATTCCTATTCATCGGTTCCCCACCATGGTCACGAAGAGCGGTCCGAGTCTCGGAGGCTGCGCCGGAGCAGTGCGTCGTCTTTGCCCGAGAACTCTGACGACTTGCACAACTCTACGGCATTCGACCACGAGCAGTCAGCACACGGTCGTGGTCAATCGGTTTCGGCCCATCGCGGCTATAATGGCAACCGGGACGAAACGTCATCTCTTGTATCCAAGGACGATGTGCGCCCTTCTTTCGACACGCTAGACGATGATTTTCTCGACGAAGTAGCGATGGAGTCTCACCACACCGATATCAGAGGCCTGGCCATGCTCCGCAAAGTCGAGTTCTGGCAACTCTTCCTAACCATGGCCCTACTGTCCGGAATCGGATTAATGACCATCAACAACATCGGCAACAGCGCCAAAGCCCTTTGGATATACTACGACGACAGCGCCTCGTCGAAATTCATCCAGCAGCGACAAGTCATGCACGTTTCCATCCTCTCATTCGGAAACTTCCTCGGCCGTCTCTTCAGCGGTATCGGCTCGGACATCTTGGTCAAGAAACTCGACATGTCCCGCTTCTGGTGCCTATTAATCTCCGCCGTCGTCTTCACCCTCACTCAACTCGCCGGCTCCTCCATCTCGAACCCAAACACCCTCGTCATCGTCTCTGCTTTCACGGGTATCGCTTACGGATTCCTGTTCGGCGTCTTTCCTTCCCTGACAGCGCACACCTTTGGTATCGGAGGTCTTTCGCAGAACTGGGGCGTCATGACCCTGGCCCCTGTCTTCAGTGGAAATATCTTCAACCTCCTCTACGGAACCGTTTACGACCGCCACTCCGTCGTTAATCCGGAAGGCGACCGCGACTGTCCGGATGGTCTGGCCTGCTACCGCTCTGCATACTATTTGACCTTCTTTTCCGGTCTCGCCGGTATCCTGGTCTGTCTGTGGAGCATCTATCGCGAAAAGCAGATCCACGGCGCTATGGCGAAGAAGGCCGACCACCGCCTCGCATGATCTGATGGAATCTGATCTTATGCTAACCCTATGCCGCAAGCAACAAATGGGATGTCCCATGTTATCGCTGGGCTGATACCTGATAACCGATAACTGATAACTGATCGAAGTTCCCCGCTCAATGGAATGGGATCGGATGTTATTGTTACTTCCCCGCAGCACGCCATTGAGCTGTTATCTTGTTTGCCATAGGGTATCGCGCTATCTCATGATCGACATCCGGGGCCACCATGGCATTTGCTGGTCAATTTCTTATCGGTGGGCCGGGCCACTGGGACTGGGACTGGCGTCCACGTCAGATCCATATATGCATTCATTATCATTCATTGCCATGTTTTTCTTTTCTGTCATAGACTCGATACCTTATATTTCGGTTTCTGGATCATACCCATACCCCCGAGCGCCAAAATTTGTCAATCTACTCATCATCTCATCCCTCATTTTGAAATTGTATATATTCAATCTTTGTTCGTATACTCGAAGCTTTGGGTTTCTCGTTTACATGTAGTATCTATCTACCTCCAAAAAAAATCACTGCCCATAGTAGTGCCTGGGTATGAACGTAGTACTCGTGAACCTTGGATCACTGGACCCCTCAAGATGGTGGACTGCCAGTGCTTTTTGTTATGAACTCTTCAGGGTTCCCTCGAAAAGGATCATTAGTAACCTACTAGTGCTAGTACCTGGGCACCTACCAGTAGCTGACCTTAGACTACACCTGCCAGTGCCATTGGGTATCCAATAGGCGGGACGACTTTCAGTCGACCTACTAGTTAGTGCTAGTACATGAATAACCTTCGGAGATGTATTGAAACAAGAGTTCAATTAGAACACAAAATCAGACCCGTTGACCTGTCAAACTGGCCGAAATAGACAATCACGTAAAACCGGTTCTATGACAGAAAACTTGAACTAGATACCTCTGGAGCATATCAAAACAAAAGGATAAATGGCCTCGCTCGTTAGACAGAACATCGAAGGCAAGAAGCTACTAGTAATTTGAGAAGAGCTCGTTCTTTTTGTTTGTTTGTTGTTGTTGGTGTTTTTTAGAGAAGTTTCCCACAGATTGTTCTTGTCTTGTCTGACCCTTCCCACGCCCTTGTGTTCACAACAGACGATGAGAAAATAATAAAAGATGGGGAAAATAATATTAGAAGCATACTGAGATTACACAAACACAGACCCACGGCAAGCCATTGAGGAAAATAAGACGACAAACAGGGCGAATTGAAGAGAAAGAAGAAGGGGAAAAGGGTAAGGTAAGAAATTAGGATCGATCAAAATATCGAGCTTTTTTTGGTTGAAGGGAGTTTCCGGCCGCCGATGAAAGAGTCGGGAAGGGTATCAAAAAGACCAGGGAAGGTCGGACAAGTTCAGCACAGTGGGTGGTGATCGTGATCGTGATCGCGATCGCGGACACCGTGGGACACACTGAAATACAACCGAGCGAGGAGGGGCTAACGGGGGCGCCCATAAATGACTGAGAAGCAAAGAACCGAACCGAACAGAACCTAGGCGCTACTCGGAGACTTCGCTTGCGATGGGGGTTGGGGCTCCTCGGATGATTGCTCCACCATATCTGAGAGTCGAATGCGCTTGGCTTGAGGTTCTGAGCTATCCAGGTCCAAAGAGCCAGTCGTGCCAAGCTGGTGTTCGAGTTCGCTAACATGTCGCTTCAGATCTTCTTCGCGGCGCTGCGACTCCTCCAGAGACCGGCGCAGGCGGGCTTCGGAGTCGCGGGCGATCATCTCCGAGCGACGGGCGCTGGCGTCACTCTGCTCGAGCTCGGCGACACGGCCGCGGAACAATTCGTTGATCAGGTCCAATTCACTAACGCGTGTCTTCAGGGACGTGTTGAGAGCCAGGAGACTCTCGAAGGTGTGGGAAGAATCAAGTTGGCGATCGACAGCCGATGGAGAAGGCTGGCGCATTGGGAGAGAAGGAAGACCGGCATTGTCACCACGCGTAACGCTGTCGAACATGTGTTGTGGTGCGATATTCGAGTTGTGTGCCTGCATTGATCCAAACCCAGGTGTCTCGGTGCGCGACAAAGGCGAATTTGAGCGGTCCGAGTGGCCCGGAGACATTTTACGCGACGCGCGACGGTATCCATGCGATCCTAGGGAATGCGCTCCAACGTCGGCTTGACCTGATAAACCGTTGGGGTCGATGGGGCCGCCAGACTGAGGAGAAGATGAACAGGTCAGCAATCAGGGAAATTTCTTATCTGGGGACCAGTCCAGCAGCGGGGGAGTTTCTGGGAGGTTGGTCGCGCGCACTCACCTTGCGTTTAGGGCCCTGGCCGGTCTTCACACGGTTGCGACTCTTGATCACATCGGTCTTCAGGCTTATCGGGCGAGGTCGCCCGTGAAGTTTGAGGAACAAGCCACAGGCATTGCAGAGGACGGAGCCGAGTTCGTCGCGGCGCCAGAGGGGGGTAGTGGAGGTACCACAATTCTGGCAGACCGGCTGTAATTGGGGAGATTTATCGTCAGTCAAGGTGGTCGCCATGATTTGGAGATAGTAGGTGACGGGGAGGAGAGAGGAGTGATGATAAGATTGGAGAGAGATTTGAGTCGATAAGGATTGGAAGCGCACGGATCGGGTGGTGCCAAGACCCCATCCGGTCTAAACCAATTGGGGACTCCCGATAACTCGAGATAAGCAAAGGTGATAAGGGGAATGAAAATTGGGGTGAGGGTGCCCCCATCTAGGGTGCCCGCAAGGTATGGCATGAGTATACTGTAGAATACTGTAGAACTCACCGGGTTATTGCCTTGACCACCAGTCGTGGCCGCTGGGGAGGAGGTCGCATAGCTCATGTTCGCCATGTTTCCATTCGCATCACTGGACTCTCTGCGGTTTTCCGGTCAGCCAATCCATGCGCGTTTATTCGTCCATCAAGTTGACCACTGTCTGCAGAAAGAGGGGTATGCAGTTGGGAAGGCAGAAAACATCGTAGACTTGAACAGAACCAGGGAAAGCGGTCGCAAGGCAGCAAGTCATCGCTTGCCCTATATTCGCGTTCTACAGGCCACATACCGGAGGTTGGAGGTGGGAGCCGACGCGACGGAGGCAAGTGCGGCCAGACCGGGGAGAGAATGGCTCACGGAGACAGATCCAAAGTCGTCCTTATAGTCGGATCCCTGGAACTTTCCAATATTACCAAGATCGGGCAGCACTGGAGAGAAGCGCTTGGGGTTGGGTTCGGACGACGGTTGCTGGGTGGTGTCGGAGGGGGAATCGTAACGCGGGAGATCCGAGGTCTGGTGCGCGGATGAGGCCGATTTGAGAGCCGGGTCGATAGGCGACGCCGGGTAGAGGATGGAAGCCACAATGGAGGGCGAGTATATGTAATCGATCGAAATCCGGCCGGGGACCGAATTGAAAAGGTTTAGGTGAAGGTGAAGGCGAAGGCGAAGGTGAAGGTGAAGGTCAAGGGGGAGGAGAATGTCGGATTATGGTCGCGTGGTGAACGAAGAAGGTATAATCGGTTTATAGGACCCTCTTTGACAAGCTAGCTGCTAGAGAATCAATCACAATAGGAGGAATCGTAATTATAAGAGGTCGATGTGAGACGTCCGAGGAAGGTAGCAGCGGATCTAAGTATCTCGTAACGGCCAGGCTAAGCGCAAGTCGAAGACGTCTCGTGGAAACCAAACCAGGCGAGAAGAATTGGAAGAAGACGAAGAGAAGAGAAGAGGGGGGGAAGGAGAAGGCAGGGATGAATTCGAGTTGAATTCAACGATGCGCTGGGGAAAGGCCACGGCGGAGGAGAAAGATGGAGAAGATTAGCAGAACCGGATCTTATCCTGGCTGATATGGGCGTATTGTTATTATCTCGTATCGAAAAATTATCACTTATCGCACTGGGCATGCCATACCGCCTGGAGGGCCCAACCATTGGTTCCATCCTCGGTACTGGGACTGCGATGCCGGTAATTAGCGAAACCTGGCATTTCTCTGGAGATGTGGAATGCAGTCAATGGTATTATCCAGTGCTTGTGCTAACATGATGTATACCCACTGGCAGGTACAGGTACTTCGATGTCTACTCCGTACCGGAACTAAGGTTCAATGTTGTCTGTCTACACGTGGTACTAGTAGAAAGGCCCATGCTCGATTAAGACATTTGACTCCCAGCCTGATGATATCCATAATATGAGATGTAAGTGTAAAATTAAGGTGGATGCGGCCGCCCCTACTTGGATGCTTGTCTTCACTTTATATAGGTCCAATGTATTCTGCCAATTGGAACATCACTTGGAGTGGCCAATTGAACTTAGTGGGTCTGCTTGACTTGGAGGCCAGCTGAATTTGTGCAAATAAATCCCCAAGAGCAGAAGGCAACCCCTTTTACACCCGGGGATTAGTTAGGATTAGTTAGGGGGGTTCTAGGGGGGTCTCCAGTGAGGACCCGCCCTGTGTGGCGGTGCGTACTGGTATTACCGCATCCGGTACTTGATACCTTGCGCCGTCCATAGTAAAAGACAGATTCTGCCATGCTCCGACTCCACCGCTGGGGTAAATTACTGGTCACAACCACCCGCCCTGGCTGGCCACATAATAATACTCGCATCCGTTCATGACGGGATGCTTCTGTTATTCAATCTGTCTTGTCGTGTCCTTGTCCTCTCTCGACTCTCATCCTTGAAGCGTCATTTTCCCCCGCCATTCCCATTCCCCCGGGATGGATTAATATTCTCTTATTTTCTTCGTGTCCTTCGTTTCTCTCTTTGCAGACCTTTACTACACTTCTGCTGTGGCAGGTGTCTGCCTTCACGCCTTTTAATCCCCCTTCCATAGAATTGCCAGTTCTTCTTCCACACCATGCCGAAAAATCGCCCAGCCACCTCAGGCTATGCTCGTCTCGCTCAGGAGGAGGAAGAACGAGGCTACCTTCACGATGACTCCGAAGATGACGAAATCGCCGCGGTTTCTTCAACCGTCTCGACCTCCGCTCCTCGCTATGCCCCGATTTCCTCTCGAGCCCAGATGCAGGCGTCCGGTCTCGACACACCTCCCAGCCATCGACGCCGGCATAGTGGCTTCTCGCGACGCGGGCGACGGAATTCCGGCGTCGACATCAAGGCCATCAATGCGCGTCTCGAGCGATGGGCCGAGGAGATCGCCAACAAGTTCAAGTTGAATCGGGTCAAGGGCAAGACATACGAGGAAGAAAAATTGGAAATCTACCACTCTGTCTTCCAGGCACCCGATGGCGTTCGCCCCGTGACGATAGAGCAACTCGAATCGGATGAATTCGAGGGTCAGCAGCGGAGACAACGCGCCGAGTTCGAAGAGATCATCGAGAGCGTTCGTCTTGCTATCGAATTGGATGTTCAACCGCGCATGATTTCACAGGGAAGTTCAGGCAGTTACTTTGCTCGCAATCCGGAAGGAAAAGTGGTCGGTGTGTTCAAACCCAAGGACGAAGAACCGTACGCCTCTCGAAACCCCAAATGGACAAAGTGGATTCATCGGAACTTGTTCCCTTGTTTCTTCGGCCGCGCTTGTCTTATTCCCAACCTTTCCTACGTCTCTGAAGCCGCCGCATACGTTCTCGATGCCCGTCTCCGCACCAACATGGTGCCTTATACCGACATTGTCCGACTGTCTTCGAAATCATTCTTCTACGATTTCTGGGACCGGCGCAAGGCGTGGAAAGGGAAGAAGACTTTGCCCCCGAAGGCTGGTAGCTTCCAGGTCTTCTTGAAGGGTTACAAAGATGCCAACATTTTCCTCCGGGAGCACCCATGGCCAGATCAGGCAAACCCAGGGCTTCGTCCTGAGGATGCCCCGAGACGCAAGAGGCGGCCATGGAACGAGGCATGCCGCCCATCTGGAGCGCAATCCGACGACGAAGACGACGAAGACCATGGCCAAATGCCATCTCCAAACCCACGCGACGAAAGCGCCGAGCGGCGATTCCACTGGACTGAAAACCTCAAGCAGTCGTTCCGAGAAGAGCTGGAGAAACTGGTCATCCTGGATTATATCATGCGCAACACAGATCGTGGGCTGGATAACTGGATGGTCAAGATTGACTGGGGTAACGAGCAGGTGTCGCTTGTCGCAGACCCCCCAAAGCCCAATGACAAGCCCACAGGGACGACGCATGACGAGGATGAGCTCATGCCTCCCCCTCGCCCGGTGTCTGTGAACTCGAACGGCTCCCATCCTTATAGACGCCACGAAACTATGATGGCTGTGAGCCGTACAGGAACTCCCTTGGCCACGTCCGAGCAGTCTGCTTCGGTTCAGGTCGGTGCCATTGATAACAGTCTTTCATGGCCATGGAAGCACCCCGATGCTGTAAGTCGCCTAGCGGTGAAGGTACTTGGACCATAGCTAACCCATAACAGTGGCGAAGTTTCCCCTTCGGATGGCTCTTTTTGCCTGTTTCCCTAATCGGTCAACCGTTCTCCCAAAAGACTCGCGATCATTTCCTTCCCTTATTGACATCGACCGCGTGGTGGGGTGGCACACAAATGGCCTTGCGCCAGGTCTTTTCCCAAGATGACGACTTTAAAGAAAGCATGTTTGCCCGACAAATCGCAGTCATGAAAGGTCAGGCCTGGAATGTTGTGGAGACACTGAAGCAACCAGACCACGGCCCACTCGAATTGACTCGCCGAACCCGCGTCTGTGTATGGGACGACTTGGTGGACGTGCCCGTCGCCATCCCCATGAAAGCTCCATCAGCCGACCAAAGAAACCAAGCCATGAATTATGATGACGACGAAGAAGAAATGGATATTGGCGCGGCCAATTCTTCCCAAGACGTTGCCCACGATCTTTTGGGTCTTGACTCGTCTCCGGGCGACCTCCCCAATCCCAACCGGTTCGAGCTCTCCCGCGGCCGTTCTGATGGAGATGGACATCGAGCCACTGACTCGATTGGTAGTGGCCCTGAACTGTTCAACGATGACGATATCCCCGAAAAACCACCAATGGCACATACGCAAGGTCTCTGGATGGTGGATGGCCGTCTCTTCCCGCTCGACCCAATAGACACCATAAACAAGGCGGCTCGGTCTCTTTCCGCATGCCCCATGTCAACACTTTCGGAAGCGACGACCTCGAAGGGGACCTTGGGTATGCCGCTGCCGAAGACATGGAGGGTAATCAGCGCAAGGTCATCGTGGAGCGCTTGGAAGCAGTGAAGAGCAAGAACCCAGTCTTCACCTGGTGCTGAGAGCCCATTCATTCCCCTCTCTGACCTCACTTCACCCACTCTCCACGACAGAACTTCCTCCCTTCCCCCTGCCCATGCCCCCTTTATCATATTTCATCTCCCCGCTTCTCCTCCCATTTCATGTCATGCATTTTCATTCCTATTTAATCACGCAGATGTTTCCCTTAGCGTCCTCCTTCTAGGAGCTGGAGCTGGTTGGACCCACCCTTCTCCCGGGTCCTCTCTCATGCCAGTCCTCCTTCCCCTCTTCTTCTTCTTCTTTCATCTTTCTTTTCTTTTCTTTTCTTATTGTGACATGTCACCGACTTTTTCCCGGCACATTGGCATTCGCATTGCTGCATGTGCTCTTTGTCCCGGAATTTTCGCACGCCACATTCATGATTGGGGAATTTGTGTTGTATATAGACTTTCTGGCTGCTCGGGTTGCCTCGGCTGGCGCATTGATTGAGCACCTCATGTAGCATATATGACGAGACTTAATTCCATGATACCATCGTCCGTGTTTTCTACGTATACGTATACGTACATCGATGTCCCAGAGATAAAATAAGAGCTGCTTTATTGCTTAATACTAGGCTTTCTGTGATGGTAAATTACTATCATCTTAGAATCAATCTAGAGCCCCAGGGGCTTTGATCTAATGACATTGTATAATAATAACCAGAACACAATGGATCATATCGGGTTAGGAGATGAAAATGGATGAGTCGTAATATCTAGTACGTTAGTAGACAGAAGAGAATAGAGTGAACCTTGGAACTTGCTCCAGCAGAATATGCAGAATGCCTTATATGTATGGCATATGCTGCAACTGTTATGCTAGACATTAACTAGTGTATAGTCTGCTCGTTACGTCTACGTCTACGATTACGATACTTGTGATTATAAAATCCAAAAGCCAAAGGGCGGACAGGTGTAGTGTTGATCAATACACCAAAATAGAGAGAATAGAAAACAAACAAGAAAACAACACCCAGAGAGATACAGGAAATTAGGTTGCTCACTTTGGCAATCTGCTTCGTAACGACCCCAGGATATCTCGTAAAAGGCCATTACCGTCCGAGCTTGAAGGCGGCCCGGTAGTCCGAGCAAGAAACACTTTCAGACACAGAAGCAACAGTCTCAACACTCGGGAAACATCTTGAACACACTTGCATTCTCCGAGCCACGCAATGCCATCACGTAATAAAAGAGCATAATCATGAACAACTTGGAGTGACAGCGCAGGTTCATTCACCTCAACTGCATCATCGCCATTAGCCGGAGCTAGCTGCTGCGCAGGGGGAAGCTCATGCCAGTGCAGCTCGACCGAGGGAGTCCATTGATTCTCATCGTGCATTGCTCGTGCTACAGTCGTCAGGTATTGAGTGGCACGAGCGTTCATAGAGGCAGGCTTACCGGTTGTGTTCAATTCTTGTGATAGGGGTCCCTGCGAATTCTGTTCTGACGTTTCAGACGACCCGTCAACCTGCCGCGCACCAGTGCTTTCCTGGGAGCCTTCCGGCTTTGGGTCTTCTGCCTTCGGCAAGACGCTTGAGGATTCAGTTGGCATGGTAGACTGGGTTATTTGCACGAGAGTAACCGGGCGTGGTTGGTAGGCTGTGAGATTAACGTCAGTCGCAGGATGATAGACATCCTGCCATGTAACAACTCACATGGATCATTCCTCAGCCGGTACCAATCTGCCGCAAGGGTCTGGTGAGGTGTTATTGAATTAAGCGTGTACTTATTGGCCGACGGAGTCCTGTTGATTCAGAAGAAATGTCAGACATCAAGCTCAAGGCTTTGTTACTTCCACGACCTTTAGTGTTGGAGATCTTACTTGCGGACCCTTCCTTATCTTGACGCAGAAATCCAATAGGTTAACAACAGAGAGCAGCAGCGTCATAATTAGGGCCTAAAAGCTCCAGTTATCATTTGATAACTTTCTTTCGAACAGCCTTTCTCCGAGGCTGCAAGCCAGGTAAACAGTCTTGAAGAAACTGGCCAAGAAGATGGAAGGATTACCGGCAGGAAGACAATAAACTTGACGATGGAAAGATGACCGGAAGGAAGACCTTGAGCTTGATGATGGAGACCGTAAACTTAACGGTGGAGACTGTAAACTTGACGGTGGAAAAATGCTTGGAAAGAAGACGGCGAACTTGATGATGTTGATGGAAGATGGTGAGAGGGAAGGATGAGGAGGTGGTGTGCAAGTCCCTAGAATAATAGTCAGATGCCCTTTCAGTCTACATTCTAGCAGGAGATCACTTCTGGATCAAGGCTTCCCAATCATTTTCAATTTTACTGGTAGCGATACGTGGTAAGTATACAGAGGGTTCATCGTGATTGTGAATTGTAGAAAAATGTTCGCAAAGTCTGTATGGATAATATCATGATCCTCTGTGGAATTTTGACTTTGGGCAGCTTCGTATACAGTTTTTACATTAAATGCAAGCATAAGATCAAATTATCAGTTGTAGATTGTTATGATCAAACCGGAGTGGTAAATAAGCATGAAGCCATGAATCGACTGCCCGCCAGTTAATATAAGTGGTACGAGTACTAGTACATCAGTTAACCTCTGTTTGAAGAAAATTTTAGTCTGTTCGTGATTGATATTGTGAGCTTGGGCCACTAATAAAATATGATCAGGATTCAGGAGATTGTAGCATTTGAAGAACAAGAGTAAGTCAAGCTGGAAACTATACAAGACTTTCAACTTCGCGATGTAGATGACCTATAGCCGGAGGCAGTAATATTCCACTCTCTGGTTAAAAGAGTTCGTACACTGTATATTAATGCTCACCTGGACACACTGAGACAGCCCTGGAGTATATAGCAGGTGATATATACTAATAAATATTATACAACCAGGTAGGATACCCAGTATCCTACCAGTTGTATATCAGTAACCCTAAGTGCTCCTATGCCTCGGCGGGAATACCTGGCAGAACGGCAGATAAGGCTTATCGGCGGGATCTTCCGAATGCCCCCAGTTCCACCGATGGCTGTGAGGTCATGAGCCGCGCCCTCACACTTCACCCTCTTCACCTCTCTTTGCATCTGCCCTCCTCCCTCCTCGTTTTGACCTTGCAGATGTCGCGAGGTCCCCACGGCTTCTGTGTGGGGACTGCGTCCCTCGTTCACTCGACATCGAGGTCACCTGCGCCCTCTCTTTTCATGAGCCTCAACTCGGCTTCAACAACCTTGCACCACACTTCGCAATTCGCACTTCGAACCTCACACCCTCCTATTCGCGAAAACAGCGCGCGTGAACTCAAGATCTGATTTGGCTCTTCACATTCACCCCTTCGGCATCATGGCTTCTCAGGCAGCGATGCTGCTGGACCCAAAGGGCTACAAAAAGCGCCTCCAAACCAATGGTAATATCTTCTGCAACTCTCCCTCCCTTTTTCTCACCTAATATTCATCTTTTCCGATCGTTACATTTTACGGCACAAATCTTGGCGCATTCATCTGAATCTTCCAGCTCACCTTTTCGTCTTCTTTAGGTACAGCCAAGAGCCAATCCACTCAACCCAATCTCCCCTCCATTGCCCCTCCGGGAACCGTCCCCGTGATGCGCACTTTCGATACAGAATCCCGCAAGTCCTCTTCACGAACAACATCAGCCGGCTCGAGTCCGGCACCTCGACAGACTATCGACCCGAGATCGGTTCCAGATTCCGACGTGGTTGTCCAGTTCACTTCCTTGCAGGATGATCCCAGCGACAGCGATACAAAGCGCAGTCACTACGAGATCAGTGATAGCGAAGATGAACCGCGACACCGAAATATGATCGAGAGTATCTACGGCGTGGAACAGCGCACCCAGCAACCAATGAAAAAGATGAAAACAGAAGACCTACCGGTCAAAGGTCATACCAAGCCCATCGCCATATCTGGAGAGAGTGGTATGGGCCAGTGGATGAAAGAAGGCGAGGCAGGCCCAGCGAAGAAACCATCTGTCCAGGATGTAGTGGACTTGACAGCAGAGGCTGCAGCTACGCCCAAGGATGACGACGACCTGCAAGTTATCGGATCAAACGACTTGAGCAAACAAAGAGTTTGCTACGGCAAGATCGAGAACGCCAGGATAAATGCATTCCTGGTGCCCAAACCCACCCCGAACCGTTTCATCGACGAAAGTTACCAGTGGCCCTCCATGAAAATGGAGCTTCATCGTGATCTCAACAGAAGAAATCTACGGATTGAAGTTTCCGACGCATTTGGGAAGGTCTTTGGCCTAGTGGATTCAAGTACTGCACAAGCTCTCTGTCCTCTCATGGATGTGAAACCGGAACACTTTACAGTGGATATTGCTGCTCGTTTGGACATGCGTAAGAAGACGCCAGACGAAGCTGTCTGGGAGCCAACACAGAAGGCCTATCGGGCCTCGTTCACTCTATATGGTGAACGCCAACGCGCCGAACTTGTTGGTAATTTCCTCGGCCAAAAGAACATTTGGCTGGGCCAACCCATCGCCGTCGAACGGGGTGTTCCTGTTCATAACCCACATGCAGAAAAGCGACAGGCAATGGCATCGGCAGCAGCAAATAACCCCGGGCGTGAGCGCTCGGGTACGGGCATCAGATATGAGGTTCGATCTGCGGAAGAAGTCAATGATGCCGTGATGAAGATGTTTGATCAGCTCGTCACAGCGGATATTCCAAGCATGGAGGCCCCGCCACAGATCAAGACGCCCCTGCTGCACCATCAAAAACAAGCCCTCTGGTACATGGTTGACAAAGAAAACCGTCGCAGGTTTGGCCCGAAGGAGGCAGACAACAACTCCCTGTGGCGAATTGACCAGCTGCCCAATGGTAAAACGCAGTACCGGGACATAATCAGTGGCGTGGTCACTGATCAGGAACCGCCGCAGTCTCTTGGCGGTCTACTTGCTGATATGATGGGACTCGGGAAAACCTTGAGCATCCTGTCTCTGACATTATATACCCTGGGCCAAGCTAAGGCATGGCAAAAGGAACGCCCTGAAGACAGTCTTGTGCGCAGTATCCCGGGATTCGGAATACCAAGACGACTCTGTTAGTCGTTCCATTGAGTGCTGTCAACAATTGGGTTTCCCAGATCAAGGAGCATCTTGAATCAGAAGCAATAAACTACTACGTCTTCCATGGTGCCTCTCGCATCACTGATTTAGACGAGCTGTCCGAGTTCGATCTCCTTATAACTACTTACAGCACGGTCCTCAGCGAGATAAAGGGGCATCAGAATGCAAAACGAGGCAGCCCTTTGACTAAGATGAACATGTTCCGAATTGTCCTGGATGAAGCGCACACCATTCGAGAACAAAATGCGCAGCAAACGCATGCAATCCTGGGCCTGAATTCGCAGCGTCGCTGGTCAGTCACCGGAACACCTATTCAGAATCGACTGGATGACCTCTTGTCGGTCACCAAATTCTTGAAATTGTTCCCCTATGATGATCGCGGTCGTTTTGGACATTATATTTTAAGTCCATTTAAATCTGGTGACCCTCGCGTTTTGGCCAGCCTTCGAGTCTTGGTCGATTCTTTCACAATCCGTCGAGTCAAGGACCGCATCAATCTCCCACCCCGAACCGACGATATCATCATGCTCGAGTTTTCTGAAAAGGAAACGCAACTGCACGAATTTTTCCGCAGAGAGTCCAACGTCATGATGCGCGTGATTGCGGGAGAAAGCAGGACGTCGATGGGCGGGCGTGTCTACCATCACGTTCTGAAAGCGATGATGATCCTGCGGCAAGTCAGTGCACACGGAAAAGAGCTCCTCGATGTCGAAGACAGGGAAAGAACCAGGGGCTTGAGTGTGCAAGATGCCATCGATCTGGAGGAAGGGGGATCAGACAAGAGCGCTGCTGCAGCAGACCGAAAGTCGTACGATATGTTTGCTCTCATGCAACAAACCGGAGACACCGAATGTCGCGTTTGCCGAAGAACTTTGAAGGTTCCCGATGAACAGGATTCTGAAAATGGCTCCGTCGATCAGAATGCCCCGATCGCAATCGTGATGCCTTGCTTCGACGTCTTTTGCCCGGATTGCTTCGCAAAGTGGTACCGGGCGCAAGACCCTGCTTCCGAGACAATCAAGTGTCAAATCTGCGATGGCTGGGTACCAAACAGCTTCTCGCGAATCACACCTGCAGGACTTGAGAGCTTTTTGGCTAAGCAAGAATCGGACCGCAACTCAAAGAAGCACATCAAGCAGTTTGGCGAGTACGAGGGACCGCACACCAAGACTCTCGCCCTCATTGAACATCTGCAGTCAGCCAAGGTCGAAAGCGAAAGGTTGAAGGCGGAGAATAACGAGCCTCCAATCAAGAGCGTCATCTTCTCATCCTGGACCTCGCACTTGGACCTGATCGAGATCGCTTTGATCGATAAAGGCATGAACACGTTTACCAGACTGGACGGCACAATGACTCTACAGGCACGTGGAAAGGCACTTGAAGCATTTGCCAAGGATGACTCTATCACCATCCTCCTTGCTACAATCGGCGCGGGTGGTGTCGGACTAAACCTAACGTCCGCATCCCAGGTCTTCATCATGGAGCCTCAGTACAACCCCGCTTCTGTGGCACAGGCCGTAGACCGTGTCCATCGACTTGGCCAGACTCGCTCCGTCAAGACTGTTCAGTTCATCATGAAGGGCAGTATCGAGGAAAAGATTCTCGAGTTAGCTAAGAAGAAGCAGCAGCTCGCAGATATGTCCTTGAATCGCGGCAAGCTGGACAAGAGGGAAATACAAGAAGAGCGCATGAAGGAGTACCGCAGCCTCTTCAAGTAGTTCCCTCTCCCCCTCTCTTTCTTTTATCTCTTTTTTTGCGTTGGATTTCCTCCGATTTTTTCTCTCTCGGCTATTCGTGCGTGCGTCTTCAGCTTGGTCTTTTCTGGGTGGAATGGAACGGCGACAGGGATGGGATTTGATTATTTAAATTATTTGATACCCAGGAGAGGCAGGACATTTATTTCATGCGTTGATTTTTCACTCTAGGCGCCAGAATTCCTCCTTCAATTTTCAATTTTCTTCATCTTTATCTTTATATTTTTTTTTCTCATTTCAAGGTCCTATTTTTATACAGCGAGTGGTATGAGTCTTTTCGTTTCTGAGATTGTTTGCCATATACACTTGAAAGTTTCTAGTATCAATAGAACTCTGTTTACAACTAGAATGAATCTAAGAACCTTCAAGCGATACTGACCTAGTAGTACCCCTTCCTCCGTAGAGAGCTCTACATTACTACGAATGGTTCTTTGTCGATTAGCATGAGCCTCAATGAGTCATTCTTTGTAATACCAGCTTCTAGCTATTCATGTGGGGACCTCAACCACCTGAAAGCGGGTCCTGGAGTACTACCATTTTCAAGACCTCGCTTTATAGTAGACCCCAGCGCATCGTTCTCTTTACTAGTAGATTCTCATCAGCAAGTACGTGTAAATTTTCGCTTTATATCGCTGCTTTGCACTTCCCTTTAGAAAAAGGCATCTATTCCTAGCGTATATGGGGCCGCCACTGATCCGACTTGACGCCTGCCCTCATTATCAATTCAGCTATCTCCTCACTGGTATGGACTTTTGGAAACGACAAGACTCCCAGTATAGGGAGCATGCTGCCATGCGACCAAGGTTTTTGGAGCTGAGATCTTCGGGATGGTACATTACCACAGTCGTCTCGTACGCTAGTGCGACAGATATCTTCCTGTATGGGTTGGTCGTGCCCGTGACCCCGACTGCGCTACAATCCCGGGTTGGCTTCTCTAGTGGAAGTCTTCAAACCTGGAACTCAATTCTTTTGGCCTTGTTCGGGGTTGGTCTGTTAGCTTCTTCCCCTATTGCCGGGTACATTGCCGATCGATTCGAATCACGTCGATATCCGTATCTCTTTGCCCTAGTAGGCCTTGGCGCCGCGACTGCTCTGCTCTGCGCTGGGGAGCATATTGGATTATGGATCTGCGGTCGTTTATTTCAAGGCGCAGCATCTGCGGTGGTCTGGGTTGTTGGAAATGCGTTGGTGGCAGACACTGTGGGCAAAGACGGCGTCGGTAAAGCCATCGGATACACAACAATGGCCTGTTGTGTCGGGCTATTGGCCGGGCCCCTTGTCGGCGGTGTTGTGTACCAACATGGCGGATACTACGCCGTTTTTGGTATTGCGTTTGGCCTAATTGGCCTCGATATTGTTCTCCGTCTAGCATTGATTGAAAAAAGACATGCCACCAAGTGGCTTGAGCCGGAACTGGGGCGACCCAATATAAAACAGCCTGTTATGGAACAGTAAGTTGCAATGAAAGCAATTCCAAAAGAATCGGATATGCTAACACTACTGACGGATTTGCTAGCCAAGGTCCGCTGCTGGAAGCACCTTCACGAGGCGTACTCGGTCGACTTGGAATCCTGTTGAGCTCACCTCGTGTTATCGTTGCCATGTGGGGGAGCCTAGTCGTCTCCATAACTATGAGTTCATTCGACAGTGTTCTTCCGCTTTTTGTGCAGGAGAATTTTAGTTGGGAGCAAGGTGGGCAGGGGTTGATCTTCCTCCCGCTAATTATACCACACGCCTTAAGCCCAGTCGCCGGGTCTATCGTGGACAAATTTCCCCGATCCTGCCGCTACGTAACCGCCGGTGCGTTCCTGTTGCTTACGCCTGTCATGATCCTTCTGCGATTTGTTACAAGTGACTCCATACAGCACAAAATTCTCCTTTGCGCCCTCCTCACAGTTATAGGAGTCTGTATATCCATAGCGATGCCGGCTCTTTTCGCTGAAGTCATTAGGTTTGTCGGAGAAAAGGAGCACCAGACGCCAGATGTGTTCGGTAAGGGTGGAGCTGTGGCGCTGGCACTTGGTTTAACTAATATCGGGTTTGCGACTGGTAGTATTGTTGGGCCTTTCTTCGCGGGGTTCATTCGTATACACAGTGGTTGGGGAACTATGGGCTGGGCACTGGGGCTACTGGCCGGTGTATCCTCCTTGCCAGTCTTATTTTTCACCCGGGGGGGGGGGGGGATTGATTGGAGAGCGCTTCCAAGACCCTGGAAATCAGGTTGGAAGCTGGAGGTCGGGTTAACAAAATGTAATTTTAATATCAGATGGAAACCTCTTCTTCTGGTTCCCAATAATTCATTATGGAGTAGAGCCCCATAGTATTTTTTTTCCTTTCTTTTTGTTTCGGTCCTTATAGCTCTTCAATATCAAGACCCACGTTTTAGAAGTGACCTCTTGCACTTTGTCCCCTTGTTTCGACCTTGCCAATACCTGACAGCCCTGGAGATAGGTCCATATTTAATTATCTGTCCACAGAATGTCCACAATGCCAAATTGGAAGCTTTCAAGGGCCTATCCCATTAATTCAGACACATTCTATAGTGGATTAATCCAGAAATAAGACCTCATTAAAAGCCCAGAATCACCTTTCACAAGGAAAGGGTTCAAGTTCTCTATGTGTAACATTGTCGAGGCCTTTCTCTGTAGTCTTGATACATTGAAAATTCCTCGATGACATGCATTGATGAGTCCGCAATTCCGAGACAGGCCGCATAGACCCTACGTACTATCTACAACTTGAACTAGAAGAATGTCAGACTTAATTTTAGATGTTCCTATAGCTGTGCTCCTTTATGTTCCGGTCAGCCCGAGACAAAATCATCTCTAGGGATGCATCAATTAGCCAGAACCCTGCTCGAAAGTGGTTATGGGGTCTATTCGGAAAATATAAATACAGACCTAGATACTACTTTTTCAGATTTCCAACGAATCTTTTCATACCACGGCACGACATAGCAAATCCGAATAAAATACATCCATTTACTTCCAGTACCTCTATACAAACTTGAAACATTCAATTTCCACCCTCCTCCTCCTCCCATAAAACCGCCCAGCACGCTCAGCCAGATACCAAACCCTCACAATGAAGCTCTACACCGCAGCCACAACAACCCTCTTCCTAACCACAAGCTTCGCCTGCGATTTCCACGACATCGGCAAAGACTGCAAATGGGAAGGAAGTACACCATCCTGCGGCAGCGTCGATCATGACATCGGATACCTCGACCCAGCGGGTCGAACATTAGTGGACTGGACGCGCGAATCGAGCCTGGAAGCATTCTGCGCGGCCGAGAAGAGGAATGGAGGTAATTGCTGCGCTGCGTATGGAAAGGGTTGTGTTAGTGGGTATAAACGGCTCTGGTGCAAGACTTATAGTGAGGATAATGTTGCGCATCATGTTGGTGCGGTGGTAGATGATACGCTTCATACTGTTGATCATGTTCTTGATGATGTGCTTCATTGATTCAGGTTGGCTTTTCTTGATTCAAATTTGACCTTTTTGTGGATATGGGTTGGCTTTCTTGGTGGAATTGAGCATTCATTTCAGGGGAAGATCTTGATTATTTGGAAGGATGGGTGAAATTGTGGTCTTTCAAGCTCGTTTTGCTACATTTCAAGTCCTTAATTTGATTATCGAGGTCAGTTCTACTTCAAGGTGGGAAATTCAAAGGTTTTTATCTATATCCTGAGTAACTGGGGCGATTCAACCATTCATCAAATCCATGGACTTAAACTGCTATTGTTCTCAATCCCATTATTCTTGAAATCCACAACGCCGAAACTTGAATGCATCAAACCCCAAATGAAATAGAATAAATAAAAAAACGCTGGGTATCTGAAGCCCTTAACCCCCCCTCTCTCCAACAATAGAAGAAGCACGAGCCTGAAAGAAAAAACGGGCATAACTCAATTCTTCAAACCAACCTTCCCATCCCCATGAATCCCCACCGAAACCGCACCAAGCACATTCTCCAACTTCCCCCTCAACTTCTTCAACTCAAGCGCCTTCGCCTCCCTCTTCTCCTCAACATCTCTAAGCTGAACCTCCAACTCACGGATCTTAGCCTCCTGCTCCGCCTCCGAGGTCCCGATGCCCGGTAGCACTGAAATAAGGTACTCAATCTGTTGTTCTTTGATAATGAGATCTCGCGCCAGCTCTCTCTGCCGACTGGCGAATATGTGCGGGGAATCGGGCTCTGGGGGTTGGTTTGGGTCTTGGATTTCGGTTGCGCCGGGTTGTTGGGGTGGTGGGGGTGGTGGTGATGTGGCTGGACCGCCGCTGCCTCCTGCTGATGCCGCGACTGAGGCGGGGATTGGCGGTGATGTGGTGTTTTTGGTCATCTTTGATAGAGCGGGGGCGGCGGAGGGAACGTTGGGTGGTGGGATTGCGGGGGAATTGTCGTGGTAGGTACTCAGGTAGCCGAGTGTTGCGTAGAATTGTGTCGCGAGCTGTTGGGTGTTAAAGTCGGATGGAGATGAAAGGGGAGTGGAGATATTGATGGGTTCTTACCTGGTCTAGACAAGTTTGGAGTTGGGTGAGAATGTCCGCCATGGTGGCCGAGTTGAGAGATTGTAATGACGGTTGAAGTGGAAGTGGAAGTTGAAGTGGAAGTTGGAGATGGAGATAAGAAATGCGCCGCGGGTGGATATGCGGAGACTCGGACAAGCTTCGAATGCGGTGAAAGGAAAGCTTCAAGCTTCCCTTCCTCTCTTCTCCCCAACACCCAAACTCAATGCGAAATCTGCGACAAAATGGCCTCGCTACCAGCTCATCATGGTCAAAGACAACCCACTGGATAATTCCATCCCGCAAATTCTCCAATTCCCTGCCAAAACATGACTTCTCCCCCTTCGCCCGCCGACTCTACAAGCTCCCCACAGCACCTACTCCAACCACCCAACACAACAACCTACCCACCTTCCTCACCTACGCCTCACACACCTCCCTCCCACCAACAAGCACAGTCTACGTAGGAACCCACTACGAATACACCGTCCAAGCCACCCTACGCCAATACGCCCTATCCCTGCACCGCATCGGAGGCCGCGACGACGCCGGCATAGACCTAATCGGCACCTGGCATCTGCCGGAGCGGGAACGGGAACGCGCAGTTCGCGTGCTGGTGCAATGCAAAGCACTAAAGACAAAACTGGGTCCGAACCTGGTACGCGAGCTCGAGGGCGCTCTCCGCCAGGCACCTGTTGGATGGCGCACGGGCCAGACGGCGGGGATGTTGGTGAGTCCGCGCGAGGCAACCAAGGGGGTACGGGATACGCTTGCGCGGAGCTCGTACCCGCTCTTTTGGCTTCTGGTTGAGCGGGATGGGGTGGTTAAACAGGTGCTTTGGAATTCGAGGGCGGGCGAGGTCTTGGGCTTGGACCCTTTGGCTGTGGAGAATAGGTATGGGACATCGCTGGCGGAGGATGGATGTATCACTTCTCAGGTGGCGCTGACTTGGGATGGATGTGATGTCCCGGATTTGGAGCGGGTGGAGGTGGATCTTGCTCGTTCGGAGCGGGAATGGGTTGCGTCTTGGGGGGTGGAATTGTCCGAGGTTGGGAAAGATGAGCTATTGGATGTTGTTGAGAGGATATTCCCCGATGGTCGTCCGGAGGTGGGTGCTGATGGTAAGGTTGCTGAAGAGCATCGGGCGACGGTACTTCAAGCTTTGCAGAAGCATTGATGTACATAGCAGCTCTGTACGATTTATTTGTATAAAGGAAGAAAGAAGAAGAAAATAAGATGGAAAGGAAGTTCAACAAATACATTGGAGCTTGTGGGTATAAAAAGAATTCCAACTCCAACCATTGGGCAATTGCCCATCCTCCCAAAACGCCCGAGAACAAATATCTTCACATCAAATCATTAAGTTTATCCCTGCATGGTCGACCAGAAATAGTTCGAATAGAAGAAACGCGAGAACTTGGGATCAATATTGACAACATGAACATCGCCTTTCCGACTATTGCGAATGACTGCGCGATTGAAATTCCCCGCCTCATCGGGTTCAATATCGATACCCAGGGAGCGAAAGATCTTCAGACGCAAACTTGTGCCAAGACAGTTAGTATCCTATAGTTTCATGCAATGCAGAGAGGGGCGGCACGGTCACGGTCACTTACATTGTGGCGTCATCGGCTTCTCGTTCGCGGCGAGTCGTCTCGTCACCCTCCAGACCTTGTGATTCCAGATCGGCCAGTCTCTCCTTGAGCATTTCCAGCTCGCTCTCGAGCCGCTCGCTTTCAATCTCCAGTTCCGATGCAGCTTTGGCAATGCGGAATTTCTTCGTGTCTAGCTCGACAATCTCCGCGGCGTGTTTACCGGAGTCGTGAACCGCGACGGCCTCTTCGTGTTGGGTGGTTAGGGAGTTTAGGTTGCGGGATAGTTTGCGCATTGCTGATTCGGCCTCGCGAATGCGCAGGTCGCGCGATTGCTGCAGGGTGGAAAGGGAGTCATTGATGCGGGTGACGGCTTGTTTATCTGGATGGATATTGAAGTTGCCGATCGTATGGTGGATGAGCTAGAGGGGAATCAGGTCAGGATGAAATGGATGAGAGCAAACGAATATCAATAAGGACATACAGTTCCAGGGTCCTCGTCGAGCAACATGGTGGGCGGAACTGAGGGGATGTTTAAAATGTTAAAATGTTGTTGCGGGGAGGTCTCCACTGGGAAGAGTCGACTGTTTTGATTGTTGCTGCCGTAACCAGCCGCAGCACCAGCCACAGTCACCTGCACCGCCACATATTAGTTGGGGAGTGACGTTGGCTTGTGATTTGATTTGATTCTCAAGGTTCCGCCTAAGCTCGGCTTCAACATTCGGTCCTGTTCTTGTTCCGTTCCCTGCTTTTTACCATCCCTGATTCTCACGACTCTGCGATCAGCTATCTAAAACTTACATTCAACGTTAAATATGGGAAGAAGTCCAGGTAGGTGTCCCGCACCCATCCGTCTCCGCTGTTCACTTGATTAACCTTTTGATGCTAGAAATCGAGGCAGCCTTCCGGTTTGTCGCTCCCCCGAGCTTCCTCTCCGAAGAAACATTCGAACTAACCAGTCCTTTTCGCATTCCAGGCCCCTCCGAGCCGGTGAGCTTCAGGTCCTTCGATCGCAATATGAGAAGGAGGGCATGTATGCTGGAGTCCAGACGAAATTCAACTACGCATGGGTAAGCCGAATCAACGACTCAACTTCTTTACGCGCGCGCAAAACTGGTTCTGACAAGGCTTCCCCGCGCTGTTTAACAGGGCTTGATCTGCGAAGACCAGCGATCCGATCAACAAGAAGGTCTCCGCTTGCTAGCGGAGATCTTCAGAGCCGCCCCGGAGCGCCAACGGGAATGCCTCTGGTACATGGCCTTGGCCAACTACAAGCTCGGCAATTACGGTGAATCGCGTCGACTGAATGATGCGCTACTTGAACACGAGGGCAAGGATGAGCAAGGGAAGTGGAAGAACCGGCAGGCGTCGAAGCTGGAAGATGCCATCAACGAAAAGGTCACGAGGGAGGGTCTGATGGGCATTGCTATTATGGGAGGCTTAGCTGTTGCAGCGGGTACAGTGGCCAGTTTGGTCTTCAAGGGCGTTCGAAGACGATGAGTGGGCGGAGCAGCGCTGCAAGGGCTGTGGCACAGTCGGATGGGGGAGTCCTTGCGTCGTGGGACTCGGTTAACAAGGAACTGTACTCTGTACTCTGTACTCCGTACTATGTACTATGTGACGGTGGTCTCCTTTGTATTAGCATCTTTGCGGGCGTTTCTTTTCTTATGATTATTTATCTCTACTCTTTGCCCGGGGAGCAGGGACACTGGCACTGGCACTGGCACTGGCACTCGTTACATACTACTAGTAGTAGGCTTGAACATATATCAGTACACTGACAACCCAAATTGGGCATGGCTGGACACTCATCTAAGCTCATCTAGGCTGAAACAGCTACCTAACGGGATCCATCATACAGTCTCAAGTTGGAATGTGATAGATACCCGTCTGCCCTACCACTAGTACCCTACTCTACTACTCCTTCCAGAGAGTTCTGTTGTCTCTCTCCTTGCCACTTGCATCACAATCCTCCGAAACGGTTTCACTGGGGGAAAACGGCGCTGCCTGATGCGACCATCTGCATTGCTATTTTTATGATGCATACTGTGGAAATGGAAAGCAGGGAAAGCAGGTATTGCACTGTCCTTTGCCTTTAATTTCACTTTTTGTCTTTTTGTCGCCTTTCGCCTTACAAGCCCTGGAGTAGATGGTTTATCTAAAGGCAACCGGGCCGACGTCATATTTTCTTTTTTGTCACCACCAACATCCTCCCACGCCCACGCTCACGCCCACGTCCACATACGCTAGTGTTTACAAGTCGGGTTGCTTGCCTTTCTTTCCTGCACTGCGGTGGATCTATTTGTCGATACTTGTCTGCCTCGTCTCCCCTCTTTTCCAGTGAACCTGCCCTGTGCTGCTTCTCCCTGCCCTCCCACGGGGCCATCACACGTTTGCCCCACGCCAGATAAGCAATGACTCGTGACTCTCACTCCGACAAACGGCAATTTTGACCTCTTTGTTTGCTCGGCTCTTTAATTCAAAACTTAAAGTCTCAAACTCACCCCCTTTCCTCCATGGACAATTCTGAACTATTGATCTGCCATGCGTGTGGCGAAGACTGGGTTCGGGATTCAAACCATTACGACAACCGCCTCTTGTGCCCCAGCTGCGGGTCCGATTTCGTACAGATCGTATGCAGCTCCTCGTTCCCTGTCGTGCGTATTTCCCCTAACCGCGGTTGCTTGATAGATAGAAGAGAGTCTTGCCCCCCCTGAACGTGAACGTGACGCCTTTCCCCGCGCCTCTATAAACCCCTTCACGGACCATAACCCTTGGGCTCAAGATCAAGAATCACCTCCACATCCGGGCTCTGCAGCATACGACCCCATGGATTTCGCTTTCCCCGGTTATTCCCATCATACCTATCGGTCTCCTGATGGCCGTTTCTCTTTCAGTTCCTCTACTATCCGGGGGAGCTTCCCACCCCGCCAAGGTGCTGGTGGTGGTGGCGGCGCTGGCGCTTACTCAAACCCCATGATCCCCATGCTCCAAACATTGCAGACAATACTGGGAGACATTTCAGACGCACATGATAATGATCATCACAATCATCATCACCACACAGAGCAGCAGTATGGAAATAGAAGCCCCAGGCCGGAAGAGTCGTCACGCCGATATTTCCCAGACCCCGATCCCGCTGGCATAGATGAATATGCGGAACTCGAAGGACTATTCCCCGCGACTCAAATAGACCCCAACGCATGTCGCCGCCTGTCGAAAGCTTGTCCGAGTATGTATCCCGTATGTCGATGTACGATGAAATCCCTCGGTCTAACAGCCGAGCCAGTCTCCTAGGAACATTCCACTATAATTCCGGCCCAAGGCGTCGGACCGGAAGGCCGAACCCCCAAATGCCGATGGGACCTGACCCGCTCACGATGCTAAACGCAATGATGCGCGAAATGGCTGACCCAAGGCAAAGGGGCCGATACGGCGACGCCGTCTATTCCCGCGAAGCGCTGGAAGAAGTCATCGCCCAGCTTGGCCAACAGGATGCACAGGGTGCCGGCCCGCCGCCAGCAACCAACATCGCTATCCAGTCACTGCCTAAGAGGAAAGTCAACAACGAAATGTTAGGAGCGGACGGTAAGGCTGAGTGTGCTATCTGCAAGGATGGCGTCGAACTAGATACCGAAGTCACGATGTTGCCCTGCGAGCATTGGTTCCACTTCGACTGTATCGAAGCGTGGCTGAGCAGACACAATACTTGTCCGAATTGTCGTCGGAGTATCGATTCTACTGCGAGGTAAGTAGGCATGACAATCACACTTTAACCACGGACTCAAGAAGAGATCAATACCCGGGGACTCAGCTGACATGTTTCACAAAAAGCCCCCGCGAAGGCACCCGCGAAAACCCGGTCGATATCCAGGATAGCCCTGAACAGCAGCAGCAACAGCAAGAATCCGCGTTCGGCCGGCGCCGGCGGCGTAGCTCTCCATTTTCGCGCAGTTCTCGTACTAGTGCTCGGTCTTCGTTTTCGCGGTCCAGCAACAACTCACCCACGCAGGACGCGAATGAACCATCCCGGCCCAGGCGCCCCAGTCGAAGTGAAGGGCATCATCGTGGAGGAATTACCGGCTGGGTCTGGAGCCGGTTTGGCGGCGGTGGTAGTGGCTGTGCATGAGGAGTGATGTGATGGATCTGCTCTGCTCTGATCTTTCTGCTCTCCCAATCTTTTTTTATCTTTCCACTACTTCCCGTCCTGGCATGCAACCCGCGTGTCACACATTTTCTTTTCTGGGATTCTCATTTTTTTGGTATCTTTTTGTTTGGCGATACAGGCTGTTCAGCGTCTCTCTTTCCCACATACCCTATGATCCGGTCCGAGTCTCCCCTTTTTCAGCGGCGATGGCTCTTTGTCGAACTCCATGGCTGGTTTTCCATGGATTAACTACACTTCTGCCGACTGTACATACTTATTCCCCTGCCTCGCCTTCTGGTCTCGGCATGCTCTCGTTTCTTCCTTTTCTATCTTGTATTTGTTTGGGGGTTTTACCCGAGGTAGAATATAGTTTATATCTATTCCAATACAATACTTAGAAATGCAGGTGCATATCAGCAGTGCCCAATAAAGACTATTAGTGCTAGGTGCTCGCTGGAACCTTGGAATGTTTCTTGGGGTTCAGTTGATTTCTTCACTTCAGGTTACTTGTAGTGACCACTGGCAGTTGCCTGACCACCCTTTCGTCTTAGGCCCGGGCATACCAACCTTCCAAGGTTGGAATGGGTAATTCTAGTACTTCCAAGGTTCAAGTTCCAAGGTTAGGCAGTGGTCACCCAGCCGGGTCCATGGATATACTACTATAAAAGTTTGTTCCATCGGCGACCACCTAATTACTAAAAGAGTTAGACGAGATAAATCTACCGATAACCCCAGATTGAAAAGAATTAAAGCGAACTGTTTCAAGTTCTGCATACATAACGCGGTCAGTTTCTCATACTAGTCATATAAAGAGCACTTAAGTGTTGGTCATGGTCAACAATATCATGATCATGATGCTCACCTCATTCACCTCTTTGACCATCAGCATCAACATCGGCTTGTGCTAGGAAAAAAAAAATGCAAAAAGAGAGGTCCTGCCCGGAATCGAACCGGGATCGGCGGAATCAGAATCCGCAGTGATAACCAATTACACTACAGAACCAGTTGATGGAAAAAGGGTGTACTTTATGCCATCATGAGCAAAAACTTATCTCGAGCTCCTAGTAAAACGTAAGACGCCGAACTGAGGAGTTCCTAGATTAACACAACAACACATCCAACATTACGAAAACCAAAAAGTTCTGGTTCAAGTTATAAAACATCGAATCAGGATTGAAAGAGACAAAAAGACGAGGTCCTGCCCGGAATCGAACCGGGATCGGCGGAATCAGAATCCGCAGTGATAACCAATTACACTACAGAACCTGAGATGGAATTTGCTCGAAATATTTGGATTCATAAGACTGAAGCTCAAATACTTAGCGCTGACCCAGTTCTCCTCTCATAGTCTTATTTGTTGGGGCCTATAGGAGGTCAGCACAGCACATAGGCGCTATTGTGGGTATACATTGACCCAAATATACTATATATTCAAGTTCTATACCTTGACTTCTCTGATTCTCTTCATCCAGTTAATACTAGTATGTTATCACTTTACCTAGATAGCTGGATTGGGAAATTTCCGTTTTACCTGACGAAGTGGAATACTCATTATGCCTGAAATAATTTTTGCCAGGCTAAGTCGAGCCAGAAAAGTTTCGAACACATGGGCATAATTCGTAATTCATCTTCTCAGTAGTAGTTGGTGATTAAGGTCGAAAAATATGGGTCTCACGGACTGCATTTGACGTTATGACTTGCATACTGGGGAAGTGGGACCGTAACATGCATCAGAGTTCTGTACCAAGCTCGCCTTGGCGCCGTTATGTGCTTTGGGGAAGTTAACCATCGCATAATACGAGAACCCGTGAGATTCTTCAAATTATGCATTAATGTTAGGGCATTAGGGCCGGGAATTTAAAGATACGGCACGCGCTCAGACTATGCAAAATGCTTATGAATTAAACCCCGGGCATAGCACTTCTGCCCGCGTACGACCACTCTCGGCTCGCCCGGGGCTTCCACGAATAAAAGTTTGGAAATCCCACCACTTCTCCTCGACCATTCTATTTAATTCTATATACCGCCTGTATAACCAAAGAACGACTTTGGGGTTTCCAGATCTAAAAATAACACTGTTGGCGTACATACCTATTCCACCATGCAGGAAAAGAGTAAGGAGGATATCCCCTTGCAACCATTGACGTATTCCGGCTAATACCCCACCGAAGAATTCTCCAATGATGGCAAGTCCAGCATACAGGATCTTCTGGACAGGTATCGACCGGACCTCAAACCGTTCGAGGACATATACCGGGATCTACACAGCCAACCTGAGTTATCAGGACAAGAAGAGCAGACAGCCAAACTAGCAGCCGAGCACTTGAAGTCTTTAGGCTATGATGTGCACACAGGAATCGGGGGTCACGGAGTAGCGGGTGTGCTCAGGAACGGAGCTGGTCCAAAACTATTACTCCGAGCCGACATGGATGCCCTGCCTGTAGAGGAAAAGACCGGTTTACCCTATGCAAGTACTCGAGTCGTCAAGGGCCCAGATGGTGTCAGTACACCAGTTATGCATGCCTGCGGACACGATTCACATGTTACAACTCTCATGGCAGCTTCATCGCTGTTACATTCTGCACGCGATCATTGGAGCGGAACGTTGATATGTATCTTCCAGCCGGCAGAAGAGCATTTAACCGGTGCACAGGCAATGCTGGACGACGGACTATACGAAAAAATACCAAAGCCAGATCTCGTACTTGCTCAACATGTTATGTGCATGCGAGCTGGTACAGTCGGTATTCGCGAAGGCGCTTTCCTTACAGCTGCGGATGCCTTCGACGTGCGTGTTTTCGGCCGCGGCGGCCACGGCTCTTCGCCGCAGACAACTATCGACCCGATTATTATTGGTGCCTCGATTGTAATGCGCCTACAGACTATTGTATCTCGTGAGGTTGTTCCTGGGGAATTGGCTGTGGTGTCGTGCGGTAGCATCAATTCGGGTCATTCGTCCAATATCATTCCGGATTATCTAGATCTACAGCTGAGCGTGCGGACCTTCAAGCCCGAAATACGTGAAAAGGTCTGCAAGGCTATCCATCGGATTATTGAGGCAGAGTGCGAGGCTGGGGGCGCTGTCGAGAAACCTAGGATCACTCGGACATTCTCTGGCCCCTCTACAATCAACGATGAGAAGACGGTTAGCGCTCTACGCTCTACATTCAAGTCGTTCTTCCAGGAGCGCCTCGTCGAAGTGGACCGTCCGGCTGCCAGCGAAGACTTCTCACTTTTGGCAACCGCTGCTGGGGCACCTTATGCCATGTGGATCTTTGGGGGGGATTGACGAGAAAACATGGGATGATGCCGTGAACAAAGGCACAGTCAACGAGCTGCCGAATAACCACTCACCCTTCTTCGCACCAGCTATAGAGCCTACTATAAAAACTGGGGTTGATGCCTTAGCACTGGGCGCACTGTCATTCTTTAAGCGAAAATGAGTTTGAATAGCCGCTGCATATTAGCTATTTCAATTGCAAGTATCATGACATCTGGATATACTACATGTGAACATCAAAATAAACCCATCTCCTGATGCCAATGGGCCTGCGGTTTCGCCACATGAACAATAATCTTCCCTCTCGCTCGCCCCGAGCGGAGTTTCTCGAATGCCTGAACCGTGTCCTCGAATTCATAAACACTATCCACCTGCGTCTGTAGATTACCTTCCTCCATCATCTCGCCGAGTTTAGTGAGATGCTGCCCGGTATTCGTAAAGAAGAAGATAACATATTTCCTCTTCCCACCACCCAGAATCGAAGGCCAAGCCAGGCGTCCAGCAAAAGTAAGCATAGACGATGCGCCGACCTGCACAAACACACCATCCGGTTTCAGGAAGTGATGACACTGGAAGTATAACGGAGAAGGAAGACCGATATGATCAATGATATGGTCGTAAATCACACCCTGTCGCTTGACTCCGGCCACGAGATCTTCCTCGGCAGTGTAATCGATCACATTGTCAGCTCCCATTCGGTAACAGAGCTCGACGTTTCGCGTCGAGCAAGTCACAGTAACGTGACAGCCCATGTTCTTAGCAATCTGAATTGCAAACAGCCCACAGCCCCCGGATCCGCCATTGATGAAGACCTTATCACCTTCCTTCACGTATCCAAGAAGAGACTGGTACGCCGACTGCCCAGCGATGCCAATACCAGCAGCCTGGTCGATCTCCACGCCCTCCGGGAGAGGCGAAACAAACGAAGCCGGGATAGAAAGAAACTCGCCCAGCGAGCCAAATTTCATTGGACGACTATGCGATCCATAGACGAGTTGACCCGGTTTGAAATGCGTCGCGCTCGGCCCAGTGCTCACGACGCGACCGCAGAAGTCCATGCCGGGAGTAGCGGGCATCCCAATCACTAGATGGGTGGCAGCCATCCCCATTTCGGGGACCTTGAAGTCTGCTGGGTTCAATCCGGCGGAAAGAACTTTGACGATCACCTCATTGGTGCGGGGAACAGGTGGTGCGCGGATGGAGTATTTGAGCTCGAGATTCTTCTCCAGACCACCGCTTGTGCCACTGTACAGCCAAGCTTTCATGTTTTCGGGGTGAGCTTCGGCCATGATGGGCGGCTCTGTGGGTCCAGTACTCATATTGGATAGGGGCGTTTTTTAGCTATCTGTAGAAAGCTCTGCGTTGAGGCTTGTTTGGTGCCACGCCTGCCTTTCCTAATCGGGTGCTGCTCACCGAATGTCTTGTGGCTTTGAGTGACGATTGAGCAGACGAGTAAGAATAGCCGTGATGCAGGCTTCGGGGTGCTGGGTGCTTATTGCCGATAGTCAGGCGTCCTGAAGCGATGATTTCACCTTCACCTTCACCTTCGCGGTTGTTGGTCCAAAGTTAAGTGGGGCGGGTGAGGAACGCACTGGCCACAATTTAAAGTGTCTAGGGGTTATCCGCCAAGACTCTACCATGAATGTTTTGTTTTCATTTAACAAGTATGGGATGTAAAGAAAAAATATGTGTACATTGCTCTCTAAGTCCGTTCAACAAAAGGGTATAAATCCATCTCTTGGGTCAGAGTCTCGTTAAGTAAAATCTGAGCCTTCGCTATACCTATAGATTCGCGTAAGAAGCCGATCATCCTTCGAAACCAGGTCCCCCTTGACAGAGAATCCATTTTCTTGACCAATTTATGATGTAGACATAGAGAGCTGACGTATGCGGGCCAAAGAGTCATGTAGCCCCAAAGAGTGGGAATATCAGTCGCCGAAGCAAAATCAGAGGAACCATCAAAAGAGAGAGCCAGGAAGTAAGGTAGTGAATAGGAAATCTCAGTGCTCAAAGATATAAGCAGATCAATCGTGCGGGCTTCCAATCCGGAATATTCTGGCTTCAAATATGGTCGTTGGTGCAAAAATTCGAGAAGTGTGATATTCAGGCGAATGCGAGTTGCTCGGCACAGGATCCATTTGCTCGCTGCCATGCGGTTCGGGTATGAGTACATTCGCTCGGGAGCGCCGGGACCTGAAAGTAGATTTTTCGACCAATTTGGACGTTTGATATGCGAGACGAGGTTGAGAGTCACATCGGACCATTCTGGAGGCAGATCTGCGGTCCATCCCTCTAGCCTTAGGTCGAGTTCGAGGGTTTCGTTGAGGATATCTAGGTTCGTTTGATTGGTAGAGCTTCCGAAGCCACCACATGTCCCGAGTATAGAGCAAACTCTTGCGGAATCGGACATCAAAATGATCAGACGTTTTTTGGGATCATATTCAAACGGAATCTGTTGGATCCAACGATCGAGATGCGGTGGTGGACATTTTCGTTCTGTCAAGTAATAAACGACCTAGATAAAATCAGCACCTTGGAGGTGGGGTCGTTGTGACTTCAGATAAGGTTTACATACCAGATGAGAGCATAAAATTGAAAGATAGCTGGAGGCATCCTTCAGACTGGTATTATCCCTATGGGCAATAACTGATTGGGTGCCTTGCATGTGCGTTATCCACGAGCCATCACGTTTAGAAGACGTGAACATCTGAAAATGGTTAGCTTATACAAATTATTTCACGCGGCTAGTCAAGGGTATATGTACCTACCTCGTATAAGCTGAAGAGAAATATCACCATCAAAGCCTCGTCCTGTTGCATCTCATTGGGGTCTGACATTAGCATCGCAAGCTGTTGCAATGCCTCGCCGTATAGCAATCTGCTTGCCTCATTCGCTTCTTGACACCCGTAGCGACCGTGATAGTTGGCATGGGCAAGGGCTTTAACGACTGTGAAAATGCACGAGTCTTCGGCTGCAGTTTCGAGGATCTTGGGGAGTTTGCCTATCACCCCGGGGTATCTCATAAAATCATAGCAGAAGCGATTATACGCTAGTTGGGCCAGTGAATCATTTGGGTATTCCTGAGTCGGCACTTCTATTCTGAATTCTGCGCGCTGCCGCCACTTCTTTGTTGCATTGGACTGCGCCTTTGAATTTTGGTCGCGGTGAAGACGGTCGAAATCAGCTTGGTAAACGCAATCGCGAGAGCCTTTATGACATCTTTGACATGATGGCTTGCCCTCGTCACACTGTGCCGATTTGTTAGAAGGAATTGTTTTCTGGAGTGCCGGTAGGAACTGAGAGGATACCTTGACTTTTAATTCCCTGCATCGTCGGCATCCTTTACTCGGGCCCCGATTATTCGGCATTATGTCTCTGATATATTAACTAGCAAAATGTGGAGTTTAATGCGAGGCCCGTGAGCTTTGATTCTTGGAAGAGGTGAGAAAGGAGGGTTTTGGACCCTATTTACTGTTGACTCGAGGCTGTTCTTCAAGCCGGGCGGGTTCACAGCCCCAAGTGCCCTTCGCTGATAGGCTTACCGCAAAAGCTGCTTCAAATCGCCTAGCGTCTCACGAATGGCCCCCACCTGATAAGTGGGCGAGTGTCATCCAATAAACTTGAGAATTTTTGGGATCATCGGCCGCATCTGCTTCCCCATTTGGAATGCAGGTTGTGAGGCTTGTTTAAGGCTGATGGCGCCCAGCTGAAGACATGGATAAGCACGATTTACCTTCTTTTGTGAGGGATTTGGAAGTAGATCATGTCCTAAAGTAATCAGCAGCATCTGGACTCAACGGGGCTGCGCAAAATCAGTGTGCACTCATTTACGGCTATAAAGGTCACTGTCTGCCTTTGTGCCTCTGTGCTGTCTTCAAAATAATTATACAACAAGATTCACTTCCGAGCGCCATATTTCCAGGTCAATTGACCATTTTCCCTAACGAACCCAGCACTCTATAATCACAACGGCGGCTGAATTTCTCGACTATTATTCAGACTCAAAATGGGGATTTTTAGCCATGATGACAACAGCAATACAACTTGCCCGATGCCGAAATATCTTGTTGCTGGTGCGCTATTCGATTTCAATGGATTAACTCGAATTGGAACCCGAAACTAATTTTGCTTTCAAATAGATGCACCTGATAACGTTGTCGGTGACCTTACTTTTCATCAATTTAATATGATCCTCTCTGGCGCCTGCACGGGCCTCACTTGTTTGGTGATTTTCATGTCTATGTTTAACCATGCGATTCACTTGAGCGATCCGAATAGGCAGATTAAGTAAGTTCGGCTCTCTTGTTCTATAACAATAAAGCTACAGGCTTTGGGGGACACCTGTTAACGGTAACCACTTGAAGAATTATGAGGATCGCCATTATGTTCCCGATATACTCGATCTTCTCATTGCTTTCGATCTGTTTCCCCGACACATATGTCTATCTAAATGGATGGGTAAAGTTCTTCGAAGGGATTGCCATGTATTCCTTTCTTATGCTGCTATGCGACTTTCTTGCGCCCAACGACCGACACCGAGTCGAGTTCTTCGCATCCTTGAGAATTCCCAGCAAATTTGACAAAGGCAAGACAACAGACGGACTGTCGTGGTTGAAGGTTAGTGACCCTAACTTTAATCTAGCCGAAAACTCAACTAACCCGCTACGCTATACTCACAGCGAAGTTGGTTTGTGGTTCTGCAGTATCCATTTGTCGCCTTCATTCTCGCCATAGCGCAGTGCATCACGCAGGCACAAGGGACTTACTGTCTCGAAAGTAAAGATAAGCATTTTGCTCATATCTGGGTAAGTGGAATGTATACCCTCCAAGTTCGAGAGATCATCTGTGTCTTACATTGCAAACAGATAAACATTATTGGAATCATATCGCTCGGAGTAGCGATCGTCGCCATTCTCGGATTTTACAACAACCTGAAGGGTTATATGAAAGAGCATAAACCACTGCTTAAGCTGCTGGCTTTCAAGCTTGTCGTTGGTCTTGAGTTTTTGGAACAGGTTAGAGAATTCTCCCCATTAGCCGGAGGACTAAATTATGGCAAAATCTGATGACTCAAAAGATCATATTTATGATTCTCCACTCCACCGACGCCCTCAAGCCGTCCGATACGCTAAGCTACGCAGACACAATCATCGGCTTGCCCACCATGCTTATCTGTCTTCAAATGGTTCCATTCGCATTTTTATTTTACTACGCGTACACTGTCAAGCCATACAAAACGTCAAATTCCGGTGTCAAGCATAGCAGCGACTCTCAACAATATCTTGCTGTTGTCGACAGTGAGAGTGGTGGCCACTACATCAAACGCTACCAGGGAGGCCCACTTGGAATTTACGCATGGCTTGCATTGTTCAACCCGGTGGATTTTTTCCGAGATATTAAATCGACATTTGATATGTTTCATGATGCTAGGACAGGCCCGTCGAGGGAGGCTGGAATGAATATGCCAGATTACAGGATGTAGATTGAGGATCTGTGGTGGATTTTGAGTGTGGTGAGGCCGCTGGAATTCAATTCAATATTTTCTTATCTGATGTGACACCTGGGCACAGCGTCAAGTTCTTTCCAGACTTTGTAATTTTAAGGTTTCCGAACTCGGTCTACCAGTAGTACTCCAGGGTTAGTGGCAGCCCTCAGGCTGGAGGGTGTGATATAATTTCAAGTTACATCGCCACCTGGCTGTAGACCTCGGGACCGCGTCTATATATTTTGAGCATCAGCTAACCCGATAACTTATTGGATTCATGTAGCAATTAGCTCTCATTATTGTGGTATACTAATACTAGTAATAGCCTTCAAATAGCAGTAGGTTGACAGGTTGATTCCCTAGTTTCCTAAATTCTTTATTTTATTTAATCTTGGTCATCTTGATACATAATGTTAGTTTTAAGTGATACTAGTAACTTGTCCCGACACCTTTTCGTGTCCCGCATTGACTATATTTCTTTATTGTAGGAAAATTACATCCAAACACGGTTCTGTAGTGTAATTGGTTATCACTGCGGATTCTGATTCCGCCGATCCCGGTTCGATTCCGGGCAGGACCTCGCTTTTTTGTCGTTCCGACAACTGTCGGGTGTCGGAATGTGTTTTTTTTGCCGAGAAAGTACTTCGCAGCAGCAACTTTGGTTCTATATGGTGGTGATTATTCCAAAATCGACCTCCAGCCTTACTCTTTTTTCTCGATATATTTGTTATTTGCCAGAATGGTGCAGCCCTTTGACGATATCGTCTATACAACGCTTCACTTTATATTTCTTCTTCTTCAACCATACATTAGTATCTTTCCATCTGTGGCCCATGTTATAATTAGTGCCCAAAAAGTCCTGAATTTAAAAATGCGTAAAGTTTTCACCCCCTACAACATTCGTGGCTTTGCTAATTGGCGCTCTCTGATCATTCTTGAGCGCTGGAGTTCGAAGAATTCGTCAAGCGAGTTCAAAAGATTCAAGAAGAACTTTCAAAGAAGCCGACGGTGGGTGCGAAGAGTATAGCTCACCCGCAGTATGACTAGCTATTGACCAGAAAGCCTGGCGTCTTTCTTTTATTACTTTTGCCTGTATCGTTCCTGAACTTGGATCTCTCTTGTAGATAGCTATAAGGCCTAAATTTCTACACTCAGACCTGTGGTTTCCACAATATCTTGCGCTCCCCCAACCATACCACGTTCCTGACAAGCACCGGCCAAGCCAGCAACATAATTAGCAAGCCTTCCACATGCAACGCATAGGATACTTGTCGAAGATGTACAAAGATCAACGGCAATGTCTCCGCTTGTTTCAATATTAACACACCCACCTTTCCCGTCGCTGCAACATAGCTCGCTATCTCCTCTTTGGTCCAGCTTACCATTAATGCTCACCACATCTGCAAGTGGGGCGTCATAATTCTTCCCGCAAGTTGGTGACGATGGATTCGGAGCGGTGCCTATCTCCCAAGAGAAGGTGCCACACGAGATAGAGGCATTGCCGTCTCTATAAATACTGTGGGTATTAAATTCGCCTATATTTAGGTTTGAGTTAGTATCAAATCAGTAAAATTCTTTGCGGGGCCTATCTTACATCTTTTCAGTCCGCTTTCAAAGGTGGACTTGCAGTTCGCTGCATTGCAGTAACCGGATCCTGGATTCTTGTACGCCAGGGTATACTTGACGTTCCCGTCAATATATGACTGCGTGTGGCTGACGGACAAATCTTGAGCACAAAAGCTATCAAGGTAGCCCGTCAGCGATTCTGCGGAGCCCCCGATATTCTGTGCACCGCAGGACATCGTAGGGCTGTCTTCTGTTTTAGCCGCCGTATAAGGCCAAACGCTCTCAATTTCTGCAACAATCTCGGAATAACCCTGCGGCTTAGGATGAAAAACTCTGGCAGTGCCGGGACCAAGGGGATTATCGCTGTTGGTACTGATGGAGCCATTTACAGGTTTGAGGCTCGAATCTTTTGAATAGGCAATAGCAATTGCGCAATCAGCCAGCTCTCCCCAATCCCCCGAGGCATCGGCCTCGGCCTGGCAGGTATTGACATCAATACTCCCGATGGACTTGGTTCGAGATGCGATATCGAAGAAATAAGTGTTGTCACCATCTTCGATGTCCTTGCCAGGCTGGCAGAAGCGGTGCTCATCGAACCGATGAGACCAGTTCACAAATATGACTTTGTTGTCACTGCGGCCCTTAACAATCTCCCCAAGTCGATCGTTCAGCTTTGTGCAGACATCATTGAGCTGACGCCGCACATCTACCGTTAGCTTGGGCTGGTAAGCGCCCCAGTATCCGAGAGACTTTTCGTTGCATTCATCGGACAGCGAACCATCAAAAAAGGGACTATACCCGTTTGCGAAGACTCGAAATGTATCTGCAGTATTTTTCGCTATGATAGCATCCATAACACCATTATATGTGGTGGCAAAATCGTCGCTGGCAATAAATTTGAGGGATGTAGACAGTTCATCTTGACAATCATGCGACGCCGGGCCCTGGAAGTTGAAGATACAACCGTCGAGAAGTTTAAAAAAACCGGCGTCATTGCCGCCGATGGAGACCGTAACAAAGTCAGCAGCAGACATTCCGTCTATCTGCTTTTGAATTGCCTTTGAGCTGCCGGAGCTGCTGCTGCTTGCTTCCTCCATGAGGGCACCAGAACAGGCGCGGTAATCAAAGCTGTGGTCACTCCCTAAAATGCTACTGCGATTGAGTTGGCCTGGATAGCCGTCGCTATATCTCCAGCAATTGCTGTCTAGCTCATCGCCAGCCATAATGCCTGCCGCATAAGAGTCACCCAAGGCCGTATAGCCTTTGATATCCAAAGGTATGGTGTCTCGTGCCGTTAGGGCTGTGAGACATGTCAGCTTGATTATTAACTACCACGAGAGAGTGATCTACATACGGAAGGCATTAACACTTGCACAGCACACAAGAACTAATGCAAAGACATAGTGTGCAGCATGACCAGGCATATTGAAAACAAGGGTCATAAGCGTAGTACTCAAAAATTCGTATATAGTATATAATGCAATAAACTTAAGCAGAGAATATTCTGATTTAAGATTACACTTGGTCTATTTAAGTAGACATTCATAATACCAAGGCACTTATTCTACACAGAAAGTACTATCTTCCAAGCATAGAAGATAGATTAAAAAAGATGCCATCCTAATTTTGGCTATAGATATGCCGGTACCATATTTGCGGGGCGTGGGGGCCTGGGGCCGGGGGCCATGCTGACAGGAGGTGGGCAAGGTCAAAGAGTTTGCAAAATATCATTGGTTATGGACGCATGGGGCGGTGGCTTATATTAGTTATCGTGACAAGTATTGCTGCCCTATAGGATCATGGCTCAACACTTGATCAAGCCGAGTCTTTCGATTGTTGGCTCCTGCGACGATAAACAGTATCGTAGGATTGGAGAATGTATATCATAAGATTTATGAGGCTTGGGGCTTTTACATGCTACTATTTAATCATTTTATTCTATCATCAATATGCAGGAAGCTTATGGGAGAATGAACAGTAACAATAGAGCTTTTTGTTCAGAATAGTCCCATTCACTAGTAGCGACTAGCCATAAATACTCCCTCTACTGACGTCTATACATCTCTTCCATGTCCGTTCTCTAAGTTCTGCGCCTCCACAAGGGTACCCCCTACTCGGCCCCCAGACATGGATTTGATCCTTTATGCAAGTTTTGAGGGGGGATTACCTTCATCTCGCAATGCCCGAAGGTCTCTGTTCAATAAACGAACATCCTTATCGCCCCCATGTATTCGAATAGCGCAGCTGAACTATCCCGTCTTTCCTGCCCCCAATACATGAAACAGCCTTGCGGAAAGACCGGGCAGGTCGTTTTTACATAGTGGAAATTATTTGGAAGATTTTACTTGGCAAATATCTACGTGCGCTGAATGACAGAGAATTTCTAAATCTGGCACAGATACTTTTGTCTAGGTGCAGTGTTTGTTAATATATGCCGAAGCATGCAAGACGATTGCAGTATATAAAGCGGATTCCTGCGTCGAGAAGTATAGAGCCTACTACTAAGATTAATTCTCCGTTGCAATTTTCAATATTAGATAACGATAATCGTCAAACTCTACCAATATGCAGCTTCATGTTATTTTATCATCTTTGACCCTTGCGTCTCTAGTATACGCAGCCCCAAAGGCTCACTTCTCCAAGCGAACATACCCCAAATTCGAGAACTGGGGTACAGATGCGGTCTCCAAAGACCACAAAAAAAAGTTGACTGATGCGCTACCCGATGCCATCGACTTGGTTACCCGAGTATCCGAGGACTATAACACCTACAAAGACATCTGGTCCAAGTACTTCCCTGAGTCCGACCATGATGATGTCAAGAAGGTCTATGCGCAGATAGTCTCAGACCCAACCAAACCAGATAATGGAGAAAACCGACTCGAAAACTGTCAGATTGTCGGAGAAGATTTCCAAAAAGGCCAACCTCAAGACTCGTGTGCCGAAGGAGCTGAGGCCTGGACCTCGAACCTTCCTGATGGCTCGTTCGGTAACCCGCCCGGAACTAGCATCACCTACTTCTGTGATCCAGCATATACTGGCCCATTGAAGTACCAAGACATGCGTTGTGTAAATATTGGGAACACGCTAAGTGACAAGTTGGACTTTCTGGGAGCGACGATATTACATGAGTGGACACACAACGACGCTATTGGCAAGGAAGCCATTGGGACTCATATCGCCGATATCGGTGGGGAAAAAGGCTATGGGCCATGGGGTACTCGCCAAATGCTACAAAATGACCCGAGCTCATGCAAGCTTAATGCTGACAGCTATACCTGGCTAGCATTGGAGGTCTTCTGGACCAAGCTTTGTCTCAACGGCAAACGGTTCAGTGACCCAGTCAAGCCGGCGACGATCTCGTGCTTTCACGCGGGCGACCCAAGTGGCCACATGGGTGTCTGTCCCAATCTCGGCTCTACGGGCTGGTGCGACTGCGGCAGCGCCGGAAAATACCCTGTGCTTGATGGAGATGATATTTGCGGGTATACAGAGCAACCAGATGTAGAGGCCATGGATATCTACTCTACCGACTGCGGCCCTACGGAGGCGGGTCCTTCATCGCCAGAGTGTCATAACTATACGGCGCCAGTGGCAGATGTGCAGAATATCAATTCACAGTTGAACTCCTGGGGGGGATTCAACTATATGCTGTAGCAGTGGAAACGGTGGTTGTGTTAACATCGCTACCAGCGGAGATATTGCGGTCGATCTGTGTTCTAGCGAAACCACGCCGCTCTGTGTTGGTTGCGCAAGACTCGGAAATTATGTTGCTGGCATGATTGGACAATGCCAGAAGGACGGCAAGGTCGGTGGCAAGCAAGATATTGTGGAGGCGCCTGGGCTTAATGTGCAAATCTAAGGGCGATGCAACGGAATTGTTAAATTTACATATTTCTGAGGTGGAATAGTTAGCATTGAGCGTTTGAATATTATCAGCAGTTTATGGATACAAAGGGCTTCGAAAGCATAATCTACAGTAAAAGAGAGGATTGTAATATTCCAACCTTGGAAGGTTTCTAGGTCCCATTTGTCACAAAAGTCGTGATTTGCCAGGAAATTCCCTAGTATCATTCCAGATAAGATACAAAAATCTTGGAAATAGAGAAATAATGTAAATAATCGACTCAATAGCCCATCCAACTATGTACTGATAGCGTCATAGTCCTGCCTGTCGGATAGCAACGGCGTATTTTCGTCAAGGGCAGGGCTGCTAGTAGCCTCCTGAGTTGCTGACCTCTCGTATACATAAATGCACAACGCCAAAATTATGGCCTCCTGGCATCCTTTGATAAGAAGGTTAATCCAGGAGTTCCACGCAGCAAACCAACGACCTTGTAGTGAGACTTCATCCAATCTTCCATACTGAAATGCAAGGGACGCCGCCACCAAGAAGTAAGTTGGTATCTGAGTTGCCATCGTGAGAAGACTGAGGCTCCCCACACGTCCTAGATTCCAGGTATAATAAAGCTGGGGCAAGCTATAAACGAGGGTGAGAATTGAAGAGAGCCCTACAGTCCCAAAAGACCAGGACTGAACTATTATATAGTACCCTGGGGAGAGAACTCGTGGGTTGATGGCAAAGAATAGCGAGGGGATGAGCAGGAAAACTTCGAGGACAAGACCGACGATGATCGCGACTCTAAAGGGAGTGGGAAATTTACGCCACCAGTTTGGTTCTTGCTCCTGTACCCGGTCCTGGTCTTGCTGTTGATCCTGTTGCCCATCCTCACCTTGTACATGCTCTTGTGCCGGTGCTTCCCCTTGTTGTCGGGGTAAATCCAGAGAGGTGCTTGAGGAGTAGTACAGACAGAGTACGAATCTGCCAAAATACACTTAGTAAATGTTGTGAAACTAGCAGAGAGAGCCTTACATGACATGAGAGCCGACCCAGTCAGCTGAAAATTGCCAAACATCCATCATTTCAATCATACATTGACCGGTCGGGCTTTTATCGCGACACCCTTGCTGTATCTTCCATGCCGATGGAAGTACCAAGATGTTGGCGAGGCAGCTTGTGGCATAGATGGAGCGTAAGAAAATATAGACAGATGATATCCCATAAGTTCTAAGACGACTCTTGATGCGAAAATATTGAGGGACATAGGAGATGAGAATCAACAGAACGAGCAGACTACCTAGGTCAGTATCCCGGAACGACTTGAGAGAAACTCGACGTACAAATTCAACACTTTCCCCAGTGTGGAGGAACGGAATGCGTCCCTGTCGCTGTAGTCCAGTAGATCCATTCTAAGATAAAATCGACGATGTCAAGCCGGAAAGATACCACATTGTACGAGAAGGGAGGGTGCGGGGGAATGAAGTATCAACCTTGCAACACTTCAAAGTTGGGGGCCTAGCTTGGCACTACCTGGGCATACTTGCAATCATTTTGGCGTTTTTACGGCCCCAACTTGAAGGGGGCCAAATATAGACGAATTTAGTTGACCAGGCCGGTTTCACAGGTGTCCGACCGATTAATTTATTCGATTCAGCCTTGATTCCAAAAATACTCTCAGCCCAATTTTAGAAAATGTATTTCGGGCGTGGGCAGGTTGGCCGATCTGCCTTGCCTCTCAGGCCTTCATTGGCGCTAATGACAGGCCATAGCTTCCACAGGACATCGACATCTCCTCTTCTTCCTCACCCATCGAGACTCCTTACCCAACCTTGTAACCACAGCCAAACGCTTGATAGCCTCAACATGGATCGCCACATCAGACTCGAAGTCCACGTTCCTCCTCTCCTCTCCTACTCGGATCCTAAAGATCCTCAGCTCACTTTGACTCTGACCCTAATCAATAGCGCCACCCCGGTGACGCTCGTTCGACTGGATGCTGGACTTGTCCCCATTGTCAACTGTCTGAAAATCTCCGAGGCTGATACCGGGATCATGCCCCCATTACCTACGGTCGACACGTATCGCAAAGGGCCCCCGGGTACAGCGACCCAAGAAGATATGGATCGCTTGCTCACACTGCACCCTGACGTCCCGTACGTAATGTCTCAGAGCTTTAGACCGCTTGGGCATGAGAAATTCACACCAGAGAATACCGGCGGAATAAGCGAAAATAAATACAGGTTTTGGAGGTTAGGAATGCACTTGTTGAAAACAGGACAGCCGTATCGCTTGAATGTGATCGAGGGCCTAGGTACATATGCGTGGATGGAGGGGGATAAAACCGATTTGTTCGGCAAGTCTTGGGAGAACTCTCCAGTTAAGATACCCATTTTACCAGGCGAAGGAGTGAAATTTCGGATAGAGGACGTAATATAGAAGTCGACGTATTCTATCGTTTTAACAGTGGAGTGGAATCAATCACGAGACTGGCTGGGAGATGATAAATGAATGTCAAAGATGAAAGTAGTGGTGATATGAAAAGAGATAACTCTAGGGAGCGAACCTACCTAAAAGCGGTCTGAATCCCTGAGGCTGGGGACTGTGATAACCCACGCCTCAAAAAATTGATGATATGTATTCTTCTATAACTATTGTTCGATAACGAACGAATAATTCCGCAGCGAAGACTTCGTCGTGTAACTATGAAGAGCCGTTCATCACAATCTCAGGCATCGTCACTGCCACCTTCAGGGCGCCATGCTTAGATGGTTCCCCAAACGCTTCATAGGCATTATGAATGTCGTCGAATGAGAAATCTGCACAAAAGTCAGTATGATCTAGGGAGACAAATTTCATAATACGTACTGTGCGAGATCAAGAAATGAGGATCGATGCTACCAGTCTTTACCATGTTTAATATATCTGGAGTGCTAACAGCATCAATGAGTCGGGTCCTCAAACCTGTTGAGAAATCATTAGCAATTGCTAGTCCCGAATTGAGGGTATGGGGATGTGGGGATGTACAAATATTTCGATTCCAGAGTTTCTCTAGGTGCAGCTCGCATGACTCGCCGAAGACACCTAGGCTGGCTATGGTTCCACCGGCACCTACCAGCGCCTGCGCAATCTCAAAAGACTGCGGCGTCCCCACTGCCTCAATGACCACATCATATCCCCGCTCCTGGGTTACCGATAAAGCAGATGAAACCGCAGAATCTTGACCATCAAGGACACTGAATGTATGATCGGCACCCATGGACGTGGCCGTCTCGAGCCTTGGATGACCCCTTCCAACGACGGCCGTCATTGAAGGGCTGAACAACTTCCTTGCCATCTGGAGAATCGTCAAACCAATCGGACCAGTCCCTATAATAACCACAGTAGAGCCGGGCTGGATGTCGCCATTCAAGATCCCACATTCATATGAAGTTGGAACGGTATCAGAAAGAGTCACCGCAACTTTCTGGTCGATGCTCTCTGGCAGCACATGAAGAGATAATGGGGCATGAGGGATGCGTACATACTCGGCCTGGGTCCCGTCAATCTTATTTCCCAGGATCCAGCCACCGGTTTCACATTGAGATGGCATCTTCCTCTGACAATAGTAACAGGCCCCGCAGCTGGTGATGCAAGAAATGACCACTATTTGCCCAACAGTAAAGTTCGTGACATCGGCACCCAGAGAGTCAATCATTCCAACACCTTCGTGGCCCAAAATGCGGCCTGGGGTACATGTTGAGACATGGCCTTGCAAGATATGCAAGTCTGTCCCACATATAGTGGTATGAAGAACCCTGACGATGGCGTCGGTAGGATCTAAAATCACTGGTTTTGGACGATCTTCAACTGATATCTTACTTTCGCCTGTGTAAACAACGGCTTTCATGTTCGCGGGTGTTTTGGAGCTTGCAAGTTAAGCAGGGTCTCAAATGTCAGATAAAGAAGAGAAAAAAGAAAAGCAAGTCTGGTAGAGTCTGATTTTATACTAGGCTGACATTTTTACCCTCAGAAATGCGAAAAAAAGAAAACCCGATACTCCGTAGGATTAACAGCATTGCCCCGTCGAGGCTATGCAAGCGAATGTGACTAGAGACGAGCCATTTTGTTCCGGGGAAGTTCTAACCGACAAGCAGATGAGTGTTAGTTTAAAGCGACTAGTTTCTAGTACCTATTAGCAAGAAAAATAACTCGAAGGCAGTTTGACACGATGCAACTGAAACACAGACAGACTAGTCATGCATGCAGATGGCTTGGTTTAGAAGAGATATTTTTGCCGATGAACTTCTATGGACTGAAGGGTTTTATCTGCAACCATGTTTGCTACCTTTATCTTGCCAAGATTTACCTCTAATATGCACTCTTACCAAATCAACAACACTCGCGAGAGGTTAGGCGAATCATCTTTCTTGAGTTTGACGGGCATATTGTGGATAAACGAGCGCCCAGACCCCACTCGTATATTGCTCCCGTCTCACGATCTGCCATGAGGTGGACTGCCACTGATTTTGCCAAGGATATTCCCATGCGGAAATAGAAACAGCAAAATAGTAAGTGAAGACAAAAAAGAAAATACAACCAAAAAAACATACAACAGATATTGTATGTCAGTGGTCACCCAGCGCCCACGATTATTTTCTAGGCGGCTCGCCACCCTATTAGGCGCCCTTCAGCCCATCGCCTAAAGAGCTCAATTTGGCATCTGAAAGTCGCATTCGGGTATTTTAGTAGGGTAATAAATAGCAAGACGCTAAAGTATACCCAAGCAGATAAAATAGATAGATTTTGCTTTTCTTGATTGGCCTATAATTATATTGATCTAGCTACTACAACTAATTCATACTTAGGTATTTCTTTTATAGTCTCTATTTTAAGAACGGGGGAATGGAGGGCTTATTACCCGATCACGGCTAAAAGAGGAATCATATCATCAAAGGCCAGAATACCGTAATGCGATACCCTGCCCCCTCGTTGGAAACACGCTAGATAGCCATGTGAGCTTTGCAAAGGAGAATGGCCTTAGGGAGATACCTTGATTCCTTCAAGTTTCTTCGCGCATCAGCTTTTCAATATCTCTAGTCGAAGCAGGATCTAGCCCGTTTCGTACATCCAACCTTCTTGCCTAATCGCCCGTCATGATATTTACAGAGCTAGCAGCTACTTGGCTACTTAAAGATTCCTATAAGTTTATTTATAAGTAGTATCCATAGGTTTTATGATAATCATAGAGACTAAATGATAAATCTATAGTCAGGTTCCAGCTTTGAACATGTAGAAAAGGGCCATCATCAGACAGTAGAACAGTAGATATCACTAATGCTAAATGAGTTAATACTCTAAACATCAATAATAATGATAAGCAAGTTGGCCCTTTAAATATTATTAACCATCATAAAATGCTTAATATTCTGAATTTTCCTAATATATTAACTCTACCTTTGTAACGAACTGGTGTTGTTACCATTCTTGGATGCCTCATGCCTACGGCACCACTCTAGGCATCCACACCTACACCTGTATATCTAGCTTTCCATCTTAGCTTCCATCTTATTTTGCTCGAGCTATTACTTTCGTCGAACGCTACTACTTCCTTTGCTTGCTGCACTACACCGTATCCTGATCTCTGTGAGTACCTGAGCTCCTCACAATCTTAATGTTCTAGCATAGCAAGATAGTAAGATAGGAAACGTCTCCAGAATATCAAATTACCTAGCACACCACTCCTTTAGTTCTAGCACTAACGCAACACCCCTTTAATATTACTCCATGCCTCCCGCCCCACCCCTCCCCACCGCATACTTCAATACAATAGCAATATGGCCTAGGCTTTGCTTAACATTTATAATTTATGCAAATCACCTGATCTCAAAAGTATGCCCCGGATTTGGGCATGCCAACACTTGGGCCGATTTTCAAATAGGCATACTCATATATTTATGCAGATCTTCTAGTTATTACCTAAACAAAGAATGGAAATATAAACATTACGGGGTATCACAAACGGAGGCTTCGTCTTCATATACTAGTACATCCTCATAAAGAATAAGCCCTAGGGTAGCGTCCCCTGTAAGCGCAAGCCGCTTATTGCCTAGCTGGCCATAGTAACACCGGCAGCCTCCAGGCCCTTCACAAGAAGAGATCATCATAGAACGCATAGTTAATAATAACTTCCACAGCACAGATGCTTTTGGTTATCATTAGTAGGAGCATATTGATGGATCTGGGGTAGATCGGGATCCGAAAAGTAGAGGATAAAAGATTAAGACGGCTTAGAAGGGATGAGACTGGAAGGAATTGAATATTGATTGGGAAACAAAGGTCGGTGCTGATCCCTCTCTCTTTTTATATCGCTAGTCTTTCGCCTTGCTTTTCCAATTTAATCTCACGCCATAATTCTGGCTGTATAGGATGACCATGTCGAAAAACAGTGCCCCTCAAGGTTTGGAATCCATAGAGCAAGAGATACTAAACATTAAACAAAGCTTATTTATGAATACTGCACCTAGTCGAAGCTCTGGGCATTTGTGTCGGCTTACATGCGCACTAGCAGTCAGCAAACGCCTTGAGCGAGTAGAATGGCAGTAGGGAGTAGGATTCAAGGGTCCCAAGGAACGAAAAAAAATATGTAGCCTATCAAGTCTCCGTTCTCTAGGTTAGAAGCACAGCTTTTGTCTTGAGAGGAATTAGGCAAATAGGATGAAGGAAAACAGAAAGAGCGAACTAGTTACAATATGGGGGATATGATGTCGTCAGGGGCTCCAGGCAAAACACCAAATAAGCATCTGGGCATCTATTTATATCTGGCTTTTCACCGCCGCGTCCTTGTTAAGCACTTATTCACGTAAATTCCGACCGCGACTAATTACCAATGCGGTACATATTTTGACCATGAGACAGTTTGATACGCGCTCTCCGGCAAGAATCTTAGTCCAATCAAGTCTTCAGTTAAGATGATACCTCGACCCACACAATAAAAGACACAAAAAAGAGTGACTGGAATCAAAGCTCGAAGGGGGATTTCCAAGTTGGGATCTTGATTAGGGTCAATATTCCTAAACCTCTCAGCAAGACGGCTGGTCCATTCGTTTTCAGTCCCTATTTTCCGCTTCACATTGGCCTGTGACATTGCTTTTGTTAACCCCGGCTGAAACATTTTCTTATGGAGATATAGCGAAAGAAGGCCTCCAAGCAACCCATAGGTTAGGGTATACACACTAGCGAGACGCCAAAGTAATTTCTCTGTCGCGGAAGGGAAATCAGAATTCCACGCAAAGAGGAATATAGAGCTGAATAGAAGGATTGTTGGAGCACAGATTATCTCCGCCTGAGTATTCACTCTTGGGATAGAAAAACTTGGAATGCGATCGTATGGTTGTCGCTCAGGTCGAGTAAATAACGGTATATGCATATAGTGTAGGATTTGAATGTAATATCTCCAAAATCGAGAATAAAACCATTCATCCCGCGAGAGGAACTCGAGCGGTGTTTCATACCACTTTGATTCATAATTTTGATTAAAATTGCTCCGAATTATAGCCACAGATTTCTTAGGCTTCAAAATGATCGGTATGTTGACATCCATAGGCTTATGATACCAGCAGTAGGATGTCACGAGAAAAACCAGGATAAAGGAGAGAGTAGTAATCTCGAGAGTGGTAACAACAAGTCCTTGAGCGAAACGAGTAATACAGTTCAAAGAAAACCAGAGTGCTTGGGCTACTGTAATCAACCTTCCTAGGTCAGTATGATAGATAAAGAAAAGTGCAATTCGGATCAATTACTTGGCCACTCCATCTGATTTACTCTTATCTTTGATTTCATCCTCTTCCAAACGTGGATATTCAATATATCCCCCCTTAACGAGGATATAGAGCTGCTTAGCGTCTAAAGGGAATGGCGGTAAGAGGTCTATATCCGGTGGTTCAATCTGAAAGCCTCCCATATCGGCAAAGAACGCGTGCGTAATAGTCCAGCCCTTATACCCAGCCTCGTGGAAATCCTGAGCTATTAGCTTCGACATCAAACCGACTGGAGGGTAGATTATCACTAACATGAACTGAACGGCGTGCAGATGACCATTGGCCCAGAGCTAGCATCAATAAAAATTCGGATCCTAACAGCGTAATAAAAGCAAGATCGAACTTGTATCTCCATTTTCTGAACGCACCGTCGGGTTGGGCGGGCAGATTTGGGGATACGGACGTCCAGCAACAGAGAATGATTGTGAGAACGCAAGTAGATAGAATGCCCCATGTTCCTCTTCCGTCGGGCTCAGAAACCCAGTCACGGGTATTCGTGCGAGTGATGTTCATCATTGACATATCATTGAAATAGATGTTGGCAAGAGTTAGGGGAAACCTAATATAATAGCGATTAAGTTGATGTAGTGCTAGCTTCGTTTTAAGCTAGTCTCCGATGCAAGAAGCTCGAAATATCATTTTGGCACTCTGCCAGTGGTTTCATTACACGCCCCCAGGACTAACGGATATGTAGGAGTCTAGAAAATAAATACCAGATTGACCTGGATTCAGTAATTGTTGAGTCTGCCCTGTGCCCGCGACATCACCCCTGCATAGACACTGCCTGCTTCGACAAGTTCAGTTCCTAGCTTGGGTGGCTATGTGCAGATGCCAAGAGACTAGGAGTTTCCACGCGGACCAGAACCTACCCAATCAAGGCTTACCCAGTTCACCTTGCAAGCTAGCCCCTGGGGTTGGGTTTTCCCGAACGCGCTCTATGTTTGGTTACAGGATGAAGCGGGTACCCAGCTCGCGCCCTATGCCGAGGCGCCCATGCAGTGTGATTTTTGCCCGGCACCCACCCTTCTCACACTTGGTCGCACAACGCTAAAGCGCCGATCACCCTGAACTCGCCCGGGCGAAACCCACCCGACTACTGGCCGTACATCAGCTGCGCTCCGGTACAGGAAAATTTCTCCAGCGCCTCCAGATCAAGGAGGATAGTATTTTTATTTGTCGAAGTCAACATGCCGTTTGCGCCAACGGTCAGCGGTTACAACCCCTCGACAGTTGCGTGAAGGCTTTCTTTTCAACATCCATGGTTTTACTACCAGGGTATTGCTACTTTCACCAAGATGAATATTGTCTCTTACCCGGCCTAACTAATAAAAACAGTGATACTTTAAAGCTGCGGGCCGCTCCCATCAAGGCACTAGCTTGAAGTATATTAGTAATGTTTAGCAATGACAAAATCTACGCACCGCCGGAGAGCAATGCGGGTTCCTAAGAATAGATTACTAGATTACGCATTCCTCTCAGTTACCGACCGAAAATAAATCGGCGCTACGGGATGGGCCGTGATAGGCTAGGGCTAGATGCACGCTCTCTAGGGGGAACAGAGCCTCGGAATTAGAATGCAGTGGCTGCCTAGCTCGAATTGTATGTAAAAGGCACATTTATCTTCCTGTGTCTGGTAGCTGAACGCTCAAATTTCATATGTCTCTGAACGATGTTAACAAGTGCAGCGAACCATGTTGGCTGGGTTGACGAGCCCGACAGAAGAGAGACATTGGCTATCCTCTCAACCTACATTTTGATTACTATTCGTTGCTGCTGGTCTTCTGTTTATTCAATATTCCTCTAAGATCGGATATTGCATTTGAAAAAGGTGTTGGCATGATCAATCTCTTCTTTAGTGGTCTTCTTAGAACGGGAATTCTTGCTAGTTGTTGCTCTTGGGCAGCTGTCATCTGCTCGGACTTCATTCAGGGTATGTATAATGGCGTTCTAACTATAAGTTGCTATCCTAAGAGATTGAGTAGAAATTCTGTGATGTAGGATATGAGAACTGGACCACGACATATGTCCTCTTCGCTAATATTGGGGTGGGTGGTCTTCTCGAATCTCCTTGAAGTGAAATGTTTCCAATTGACGCTGAGCTGCTATTTCGGTTGGTAAAAGATGGGTACATTACTTACACAGATTAAGATAACGAAAAAGTCCAAGATAAGAGTAAACCCGATAGCTTGACAAGGTGAGCTATCCTAACCTCCTTAATTTGTTATGTTCTAGATAAAGAAAATGTTTGAAAGCACTTTGCTCTCACTTTCTCGCTAGGTTATTACCTAAGTATAAATAAAAAAGTCTTCTTACAAAGGGGCTGCTCACTAAGATAGAAAGCCTATTTCTAACCTTAATTTGAATGATTGCAATAACACGAGCAGCTTGATTTTTAGCCAACTGTATTATCTGTATCGCCCAAAATATTTTTCTCACCACTTGTTAACTAGCTTCAGTATCTTTTATCCTTATTTTCTTCGTTACATCATTTTACTGGTAACACAAACCTAAGGACATCACACGAGCTATAATCCTCAATAAAACCCCCTATTACTATCATCCGCTCAAGATACCATCCGTACCCTGAAGAAAGATTGCACTAAACACACTCGATTTTCTTTCCTGTGAAGAACGGTTCTGGAGTCACTTGTGGCGCTACTACGTTCGGATTCTACATTATCTAAATATCCCAATTTTCGCCCAACTAAGCACTAAACCTTATAGTTACTTACCTTCTGATACCTTCTTGCGTCTTGACAGAGTAGCGGAGGTGCTTTTTTTTCTGTGCAAGCTACTATCCCCTTGTATGTTTAGGTTCGCTTGGAATTTGGTATTTCTCACACCTACAGGAAGGCTTCTCTAGCATATTGCAGCAATTTACTAAGACTTATTTGGTTTTGTTTGTATAATCATTACCTGGTATGCGAATGTGTTCATCCTTCCCAGGTACTTGGAAAGGGCTGGGCACAGTAAGCACCTGCCACAACAGTTAATTGATTGGCTTGCATGGAGGTTAAGAAATACCCACCCCGACAGAGATCCAGACTTAGCGATTCCATTAAGGATCCTTATCCCAGCATCTTTTCTGTGTCCTGTATTGTCTATCTCGGGACTTTACCCTGATAGAGAACTTAATTGGGTTAGAAGCATACCGGGGAATGCGTTCCAGATAGTGAGCTGGTCGAGGTATATTCCTCGCTGGCAAATATACCCTTCTAACGCAAGCTTGATTCCTTTATATGATGCACATTCCCAAAGGAGAAAATACAGAAAATACTACCTATAGTTTGAGGTTTAGAAATTAGAGTAGCAGTCGCCAACTATAAATTGCGCTTAGAATGATGGAGTTAGCAAAGCCGGGTGCTCCTAGAGTAGAATAACGTGTTAATCTGAATTGAGATCTGACAGAGCTGGCTTTTTTTCAAGTAGCTCAACCATCAAGGTCCAGCAAGGCTTCCAAACCTATTTAGCATTTTTTACCTCATTATTGGAAGCCTTCTTGCTGTCCAGCTCGTCCAAGTACACGTTATGAGCAATTCAAGTAGAGATATTCGCTTCCACATCTTGAGTGTCACAGTCGACGAGCATATTCTGGGGCTAGACAGCATCCACGCCTACATGTACTTAGTTCTATCTCAGCTTCCTCCTTCTCCCCAAGCTATTACTTTCGTCGAACAGCTACTGTTTCCTTTGCTTCGTTTGCTACGCCGTACGTTGATCTCTGTGAGCATCTGAGCATCCTCACATCTATGAAAAGAATAAGAATACAACAAAGCAGGTAGATTCTGGTGCTTGCAGAGATTATTGATACAGAGGAGTAAATAGAGAGGAAGACATCTGGAAAGGAAGTAAGGAAAAATGGTCACACACGATTTAGTAACTATTCGTCTGTAGCTTAGTTAAATTTCACTGAGTCTTTGAGATTGTAACGATCGAAGCTCTCTCGGTGCCTGATCACGTAACGCAGGCAGCCGCTCATAGGTAGATAGTTGTGATGGGAGCTTCTCTCCTTCTTCTCTTCTTCTCTCTTAGCTTAATACCTTCGTGCAATACTACTGCTATCCTTCAAAGCATCTGAGTCCTTACAGAGATAATATAAAGTAGCCAATCCCGGACCAGACAGCAGTTTTATCAACGATGTATCTAGTCCACCTATCAGGAGCAGACCGGAGCATGGCAAATTAACAGGGGTGCATGTGTGATGATTAAAAGCACGGCAGGTTTAGCCGAGTAGCCGCTTCATCTGTGCAGGGAGTTCGGGTGAAGTGCTGAAGCGACTGAAGAGTAAAGCGGTAGAGGCACTTGCCCGACGAATGGAAAAAAATAGCAAAAATAAGAACATACAACAGCAGGGATTCGCATGTGGTCACCCAGCATACTACTAACCTGCCGGCGTGTGGCTTAAGTACGGCTGAGCGGACGGGAAGCCCTGTTCTCCACACCCTATGGTCGTATGTACTGTACAGCACTAATTAAGGGAATATATAGCCTCATATATCAAATAAATCAACTTGAAGTCAGCACTATATCGAGTGCATTGATTTTAAAAGTATAAATTAGTAGAAATTCAGGGCCACTTAATAACTTGAACTTAAGCGTTCCCCAGAATCCGAGTATTAGACCAGTAGCGGCGAAGTTTCGGATATATTTTGGCTGAAAGACGTTTAGCCGCGCACATTCATGATCTTACCAGCGAAAAGCTCGTCAATATGGTTATTTACGGCCATAGAGTCTGAAGGAGGAGGGTCCCTGTACTTGAAGCCATGCTTAAGCCACGTAAGAAATTTCCTACTTCATGCTGCCGGGCACCACCTTCGGCGCAGTGCCCAGGTGACGGAACCGCGCTAGATCGAGATGCCTCTTCGTACAGCTCGTCAATTAAAGCAATCATTCATAGTCGTCGACGACTAAATGACAAGCTTCCATCCACTGCAGAGCCGCTCAATGGAGTCATAATTTTGATGCCAAATACTTCAAAACAGGCGCCGCTGAACACCGTCCCAGCTAAAGTTGATGCTGTGTTGGCTGTTTGTAACTCGATTGGGCTGTCATCTGGTCAACACCGACCATAACTCGACGGAAGAAGAAACGTAGTGTGTGAATCGAATGTGTTGAGGCATTGTTGCCTCGGACGCTTACGTCCACAGGCATCCGCAACCTCAGGCACCAATTTTAGGCAGCTATCCCTCCCATTGCTAGATAGCTTCCGTCTCTCTTCTCCGCTCTTTCATCCGATCAACACTTCCATTGCCTCTTTACCTCGGGAAATTGCTAGAGGAGCAAAATACTCCCGAGATCGGATTCTATTTCATGCCAAACCTGCGCTTGCAGGGAGCGATGCGGGGGCCATGGTGAATGGTTGGCTAAGATTTGCTTATATCATTGGTCCAACAAATCAATACATACGCACTTGATCAATTAGCCTCACTTGGGTCTCCTTTATGAGCCTTCCCGTTTTTTAAAGAGAAGTTTTCAAACGCAGAGACCCCTATGGCGGACCATAGGCCCCCTCGGAAGATATTTTCCAAGCCACTTTTCTTGTATTAATCGTTTCTCGTTTCTACTATCCATTGATGATTGATTATCCTAAGCTTTGCGGTAGGTGAAATCTTAACCAAACACATGTCCTTCGGTTTCTCTGTCGGAGGCTTCCTCGCTGGTGCAAATTTAGCCTATAGGCTCATACGCGCACTATCGGAATCACGAGGCTCTAGTATGGAATACTAGGAAGTAATCCAGGAGCTTGGCTGCATTCAGCACACATTCCTACACGTGGAACTCATAAGCTCTAGAAAGGTCTTCAGCCAAGCAACCATGAACGCCATTTCGCATATATTGGGCTCATCGATGGAGGCAATGGAGAGATTTCTTCAAAAGACAGAAAAATATCGAAAGAGCCTCTCAGGGAACAGTGGGCAGTCTCTGGCAGCAGAAAGCTGGAGGAAGATTGGGTGGAGCTTGTTCCAGAAAGAAGAGTTGATCGGCCTTAGAAGCACTTTACAGACACGGCTGACAGCAGTCAATCTTTTAGTGTCTGCAGCCAACAGGCAAGCAGTACAAATGCCTCCCGTATGATACCATGAAATTGACCAATGATAAAGTCAAAACCACCATATCACACCTCCGACAGTCGGAAAGTTCCAAACAAGCAGATTTGATGCCAGACCGAATCATGTACTGTCAAATATTTCGCCCAAAGCAACCACCGCCATCCTCAATGACGCTTACAGAGTACATGGGGCTGATGCGTACGCCAAAATCGAAGATCAAACTCAGGTGCACGATACTTTCAGAGATGATGAGGTGCAGGAAGCAATACAAATTCATACTCCGAAGCAATTGCAGCTGGAAGCTGTGTTAGAAAATACTTCATATATAAAGGAACAGACCGATTTCTCGAAACTCGAGACTCGCGGAGACGGAGAGTACTTTCGACGAAGATTGGCTGAGTTCGACGCCGTCCAAGCCCTGGCAAAGCTTAGGATGCTCCAAGAACACCCTTCCTCTCCCCCTCTTGGCTCTCTCCCGACTGCGAGCCCCAATTTAAATGAAAGAAAAAAGCCAATCAAGTTTAAAGATGCTGTTGGTCGGAAGTTTAGTTTTCCATTCGAGTTGTGTTGCACCTGGCAAGTAAGTAACAATTTCAACCTCCAATATCTATAAGGCTGATTTGGTCATTGACCTCGATATCCGATACAGGGAATGGAGGATTTTATCAATAAGGCATTTCTTCACATCGAAGTACTTGGTCCACACGTGGCCGAAGGTCACTATGACCTTGTTGGACCAAATGGTGAAATAATCCTTCCTGAGGCGTGGGATAGTGTAATTGAGCCAAACTGGTCTGTAACAATGCACATGTGGCCAATACCAGAAGCACCGAAAGAACCAGATATGCCGCCCCCCCGACATGAACCAAAAGAAAGAGTCCCAGAGCTCTGCGAGAAATATTTGGCAACATCTGCCAGGCTGGTCAAGATTGGGGGTTTGAAAAATAATAGTGAGAGAGGCGGAAAGATGAGATGCAACATGAAGATGATGATCGATGGGTCTATACGATGGCGGAGGGAATCCGCGCGCTATATCTATCTATCTTAAACTGGCGTTTAACCGGCGTTCGATCGGTATGCAGTCGCCGATGGAAGCGATGGAAGCAATTCAACACAAGCAAGGGTAGACCCTAGTCCTGCATGCATGAAGTGCGAGCTGGCAATTCTGCAGGCCTGAGGCTGCAGGGCCTCGGTAAAAAGTTATCCGTCCAATGAAGACCAGACCTTGCAACCATAGGCTCTTGCTACACTTCCAGTCACAAGGAACGTTTAATCAGTCTCATCCAATCAACGTCACTATTGTAACGCTTTCATTCTGTTCTACTGAAATATCGCTAAAATCACTTTTTGCGGTTCTCTGAGCCAGTGACACCCTCAAAATTGAAGACCAGCGTCGATGGTACAGAAGGGAAGGAGAAAGAAAATCTCCCGGCGAACCATCAAGTCACCAGGAACCTGGTTTCCCTTCCCTGCATTATATGTAGAAGCTAAATTTCTTGCACGGATTTCCATCAGTTTGCTATTTTTACGCGCTATGCAATCCTGCATGGCTTGGTCTTGTCATTCCCACGGGGCCCGGGCCGGGCAGTGATGTATAGACAAAATTTCTTCCTTTTGAACGGCCTGTACGGAGTATAGCAAGCAATATACGGCCTCTTCCTCGATAGAATCTTGGCTTGAATGGACGCGAAAAAGGGGGTGGCTGTGTAACTCGCTTACCAACCACCTTAAGTGCTGACTACCTATTTCCTGAGCCAGCCAGCACCCTCACTCAGGAGCTGTGTTGGGGTTGAATTTGGATGCCAATTGACTTTCTATTCTTGAAATCATCCAGGCTAGAAGAGTATCAAGGTCAGGAGGCCCAAACTCATTTGCTACTCGTATTGATATGTAGATCATAACAAAAAGGACCGTTATGTGAAACAATGGGGGCTATTTAGCCCGCTGTGGAGAATTCTAACTACAGTGCCTGGCCAGTGGATTAGAGCCGCTGCAAGCCACATAAGGTTTATTGCCTTGTACTGCATATACTACGAAGCAAAGGTTTCTCTACCTTATAACCCCTGGTTGAGGGAGCACTCAGCTGTTTTAGTTCTGTAAGTTACAATGGCGGGCACCAATGCAAGCCAAGATGGCTCCAATCCACTGGCCAAACACTGCAGTACATGGATGACCTCGATTCGTAACGTGCGTAGGACGCCCCACGGGACCAGCCACTGTGGTCCGCCTATACAAAAACGGGAACGAAACTGTAGATCTCAAGTGTAAGACAAGGCTGAAGGAATATACTACTAACCCAAAATGTATCGTCAGCCCCCTGATGGATTCTCCATCTACGCAGGCCCAGGGACAATGGTACTGGGGAAAAATAAGGCTGTATTAGGGAGACGGCCCTGATTATTAGTATGGCAATATACGGACAACTCCCCAGCAGCCTTTTGTTTTTCCCTACTCAGCATCTTTTGATCGTCTTCCGAAACCAAGCATTCCATTATTGTCACATGAGTGCTATTCACAATGGTCTTCCTGAGTCAACTCTCTTTTGCTATATTAAGCACCAGTCTGTTCCTAACGGGTGGTTCTGCTTTTTCTGACAGCCCTGGACACCCACTCCAGCTGGCCAAACGCCTTCCAAACGATTGGGATATTTTCAATACCTGGCAGGAGAACTGTGAAATATATCCTTACGAGTGCAGCGAGCCCTACGACGGTGCGGTTGGAAATTTTGACAAGAAGGCCGGAACCGCCGATTGGGTAGGCGAGGAATGCATAGAATACACCGCCACTTTTAGCCCGAAACCCATAGCCTCTGGCTTAGCAGCCGCGATCTACAAAGGCTCCCTGGAGACCAAGAAGGATGGAGAAGTGACCAAAACACAAGATGTGGTATTCAAGCGAGCCCCAGGTGACAGTTCTTATGAGGTCCTGTATGGTGCGTCTCTGGCGAAGGATCTCTCTAACGACGGTGATAATATCCTTGCGCCTATCGATTATTTCATGTCAAACCCCGATGGCCGTAAGGCAGGGAACGCCGTCTACCCTTATGTCTCGGGAGGCTCCATTGAGTCAAGTTGGGGCTCGTTCACGAGCCAAGACTCGGTCAATAGTGCATTCAAGCAGATGCTTGCCGCATTGAATACTGTCGCGTCGCCGGAGTCATTCACCGGGATATAAAGCCGGAGAATTTCCTTCTCGATGGCGATTCCGTCAAGCTGATCGATTTTGATACTGCGATTAAGGCTGCACAAAGTGATTTTTGTTTCATTGGTACCAATACATATGCTGCCCCAGGTATGGCACTCTTCTTTCTTGGGGATTCCTTTTTGGTTTCACTGCTCTAGATTGATATTGATTACTCTCGTTTAGAACTCGTCAATCCCGTAGGCCTCTACACCAACAAAGTGGATACCTTTTCTCTCGCGATGAGCTTCATGGCCATGTCAGTGGAAGATTTGCGGGTAGCAGACACTCGCTTCAATTTCTGGCGCGAGATGATTCAGCCCAATGGAAAGCTGTGGCCATCATTCGATGACATCAAGGGTATTTTGGGAAAAAAAGAACTACGAAGTGTTCAATGAAAATGACAAGCTTCTCGACGTTCTTGCCAAAGCTCTGTGTGAGCAAAATGCCCGTTATACCCCGCAAGACTTTAAGACCGCCTTTGAAGGGGCGATTTAGAGCTGGTGGGCTGTTGTGTCGATCTGAGAAGTGGTATCTTATCACTCAGAACAGGCTGATTCGGCGTCTATCCACTCTCCCATATGTTTTTGTATAGTAAAGGGGGTCACTTGACCATACTATTTCCCCGGTCCTTCCTTGCTGTCGATAAGGAAATAGCTGAAGAGTGTAATTTACGAGATGTCTTTCCTGTTGAATAATTAAAACAGGAGTCTATATAATCAGGGAATGGGAATGAAATCGTTTTCGGATAAGATTTCCAAAAAAAAGAATTACTATAGAAGCATTTGACGCAGCCCCCGGGAGACATAATAAAACACAGTACATTATTCTCTCTGCCAATGAAGTGGTTCATATAAATCCTGGTAGGCGGATCCTTACAAATATATTGTATTTTCAAGTTTAAGGGGTATTTTCCCACGCCTCTGAAATATTTCTGTTGTCAAAGCCTCTCATCATGCTGTCAAAGAAAGCCATATCGACACCCTGGAATGCCCAGTCGTCCACCCCGGCAGTTAGGACAGGATCCAGAGTGTTCTGCCAGAGGGAAGTAGAAACGGTCTCTTGACATCGCGATGCGAGCTGTGCAGGCGGACTAGTAATAGTATCGAATGAGTTGTAATTCGGGTTGTTCTTTGATCTAGAAAATGCATCTTCGTCGAAGTGGCCGGAGCTCAAATCACCTACTCCAGCTTCTGAAATCTCGGAGTTATGCATGCCACCCACTGGAGCGTAGGGTTGATCATCGATTGCAGAGGATTGTGCGTTGGACGTTTTCCTTAAAGCAATGCCCCCACGGGCAATACTAACGATGCCAAAGTAAGGTATTTGCACCTGGACAACGTTGCCGCTTTCGCTTGACTGCCACGCTGGACTTTCTGGTGTCTGAACCCTGACACTCTCGGTACTGAAGCCATCTGCTGAATCGGAATCGATGACCAGCAAGCTATGCAATAAGCTTGCACTTTGGGAACTTAAATTATCTCCGTTAAGACGACTGATGCGTTCCATGTTCACCTGCGCCTGCTCTATCATAGCACGATCACTAAGATATTGGTGCGCTAGGAGATTGCTGGTCTGTAAAAAGCGGTGACCATCGAGATGCGCCAGAAGTAGGGTAATGGCGGCCATCAGTGCAAAGAAGTCAACTGTCCGACAGCAGAAATTATTACTGTTAAAGCCACGAAACATGAGAAATCGGGAGAGAATTTCTCTTGAAGCATTCACGCAGGTCATTCTGGAATAGTCGTACTGCCGTTCAGATGATGAACGAAGCATGTAAGGCAGGTGAAGCTGGTTGAGCAAGTTATAATGATACAACTGGTTGAACAGCCTCCCCATATCAAAAAAAGAGAGCCTGTGGGTCGTCGATGACACGGTCTAGGTTCGGCATAAGCCACCATTTGCTAGGCATGCTTCTACCCGCTTGCTGTAGCTCTAAGTCGAGGCTTTGTGTCAGGGCAAAGTCATTGGCGCATAGGCCAGACTCGTTGCGCTCCAATATACGAGACGCAAAAGCACAGTGCATCCTCTCAAGGCGACCCATAGGGATGTCATCCCTGTATGCCGTACCAGTGGCCATGCTCTGATCAAAGGAGCCTTGCGTAAGGCCCAACATGAGGCACAAATTACAATCGAGTGAAACAATTCGAAACCACATGAACTGTGGATGAGCGTTCGTTCCGTTGTCAAGGACCTTGTATTTCGCTCGACTTTCACTTTGGTGGAGGTTCATCATTTGTGCAATAAACATAGCCCTCCGGTTCGCTATCCAGCTTCGTCGTAGATTTCCCCCATTATGGTGGTACGTGCTTTCCATCATGACACACTCCAGTGCTTCAATGCTACCGAAAAACTCGTCGTTTGTCGTGACAAACTTAACGGCAGTTTCTGCCAATCGCTTCATCAGTGTGGGGAGAGGTTCTTGCGAACCATTTCTCGCCTCAAGAATACCAGGGTGGAGATGCTGCAGGAAAGTAGCAATGTAAAGCATGTGTCTTGCGATCAGTACTGGATGCGAATTCGCACTAGGTATTTCGAGTAAAGTGTCCGGAGACTTCAGGCCTTCCGACCTGAGGACAGAATATGGGGCTTTCAGCATCTCATGAAAAAGTATGGCTTTCCTACCGCGGGCATTGCATATCATTTCGATCACTTGTCGCGAGGGCAAGGATCCGTGCAATCTTCGACATAGTTTTTCATATCTCCCCTCAGATTCAACTGGGCCGTGATCCTGATGAAATGATAGTAAGTGAATGTTTCATTATAAATTGAAATTCGAGAAGAAACGCTTACATCAGAAGGCAAGAAACGTGAAGAAGGTTCTTGGTCTATTGACGCCGAAGCAGTGGGGATTCCATGGCTACTACCTGGTGTAGGTATTTCGCCAGTTGTGGATACTCCGAATCCCCCATGACTGTCCACTTTCTTGATTAGCTGCTCAACCAAGGCCTCAACCCTCGCAACACGATGTTTATCTTTACTCTTGGCGTGCTGTCGGCCTTTGCTCTCGACGTTTCCTGCATTCTCTCTACCACCAACAAATTCAAACTCCTGACTGACACATTTGGACCCTCGCTGCTGGCAGCCTATACAGATGGCTTCAGCATCGCTTGGAGAGCTGGAGTCTGCATATACACATTTCATCTTGCGCTTTTTGCACTCCCAGCAACTCTTAGTCCCTTTGCGGATCTTCCTCCGCTTCGCCTCTGATTTGGCAGGTGTGCGGTATTCCATATCCATTTTCAAGAATAATTCCAGTCCATCCGTCGGTCAGTCGCGGTATTTTGGGTGTGAAGGCCGTAAAAGACGATGGAAGGTCAACAAGCAACAGATTGGACCGCCGGCGGAGAAACCTTGGAGAAGATGACTCAGCGGATATCATTCGACCGCCGATATGCAACATCCGGCGGACGAAGGTTCCTTCCCATTTACACTATTGTAACTGAAATTTTTGGTGAGATACATAGCGGATGATGGTTTCGACTTCGGAAATGATACGAAAAATGACTCGCAACTTAGAAGTAGCGTCAGCCGCCGAAAAATGCGGCGGCGGGCCAGTCTGTTTACTCATTCGTTCCTCCGTCCGGACAAACGTCCAGAAGAAACTCCGCAGGGGACATTCTCAAGTTAGGCAACATTTGTAATACATGCTTTTCGAAATAATGAGCAAGTTTTTAAAAGGCTCATCTGTATGAAAATTCATTATTACTTACTTCATTTTGCCCCGCTGTGTCACCAACATTATCTCTCGGAAATCATTGACTGGTTAGCGAAAATGAGTTCAACATTCGACCTCGAAAAGGAGCGCCAGAACGTACAATCAAGTGTGCATTCATCAATAACTAAGACTGCTTCTGCGCCCAATTTAGAGCCCGAGAGTCACAATGCTCAAATTGGGCAGGAGAGTTCTCACCCGCCGAATAATTTAGATTATAAACCATCGGATGGGGATGACGCGGCTCAGTATCCTCATGGTCTCAAGCTACTCATAATTGTCGTGGCTCTTGGCATGAGCATATTCTTGGTTGCCCTCGATATGGTATGTTCCCAAATGCCTAAACGAGGAGAAGAGCGTCTCCTCAAAGTGCCATCATTATTGAATACAGCTAATGTTGAAAAATTAAATAGACTATTGTAGCGACGGCTATACCAAAGATCACCGATAAGTTCCACAGCCTAGATGATGCCAGTTGGTATGGTTCGGCTTTCTTGATGACTACTGGGGGTTTCCAGTCAACCTGGGGAAAGATATACAAATATTTCCCATTGAAAATCTCGTTCCTGGTTGCGGTTTTCATTTTTGAGCTTGGAAGCTTGATTTGTGGTGTGGCTCCGAATTCACTGGCATTGATTATCGGTCGTGCAATTGCTGGAATCGGCGCAGCCGGTATTGGAAGTGGAGTCTTCATTATCATCACTTTCATTGCCAGTCCGAAAAGGCGCCCACTCTTCACCGGCATCATTGGCATGTCTTACGGTATAGCATCGGTTGTTGGCCCCCTTGTTGGTGGTGCATTCGCTGATAAAGTAACCTGGAGGTGGTGTGGGTACTCCTGCTGCTCATTTGATCAAATAAAGTAGTTGTTCTTCGCTAGACACTGGACTTCGCTGATTATCTTCTTTTTTCATCTAGGCTTTTACATCAATCTGCCCGTAGGAGGCCTTGCAGCCACTTCCATTATTCTCATCTTCCATACACCTGAAAGCGCTTTGACAACCAAAGCTAAGTCAAAGGAGAAGCTCCTACAGATAGATCCTATCGGGACGATCCTTCTAATCTGCACCATCATCTCATACATCCTGCCACTGCAGTTTGGTGGGCAGACGATGGCATGGAGCTCAAGCACAGTGATCGGTCTTCTTGTTGGCTTCCCTTTCATGATAGTTGCCTTTGTGGCGTGGGAATGGTTCCAAGGAGAACGGGCCGCTTTTCCGCCCCGATTGATGTTGAACCGCCTCATCCTTGTGAATTCGATCTACGCATTCCTTTTCGCAGGTTCGTACTTTATCATTGTTTATTACCTACCATACTACTTCCAAAGCATTCAGAACGTTAGTCCTACCATGTCCGGTGTACGAAATCTTCCTTTGATTGTCTCGATGTCGTTGGCTATCATTGTCTCCGGTGGCAGCATCACCAAAACTGGTCATACTGCTCCTCTCATGGTTGTCGGTGGGGCCTTTGCAACCATCGGCTCAGGGTTATTATACTCGCTTGATACTGGTACCAGCACAGGCAAGTGGATTGGATACCAAATTATCGGCGGTCTTGGATGGGGATTGGCCTACCAGGTTCCTATCAATGCGGTGCATGGTGCAGTGGCTCCCAGTGATATTGCAACTGTGACGGGTATTATCGTCTGTGAGTATTTTTTCCACTATTCCGGGATTATCTGTGGAAACCTGCTGATATCCCTCGTTCCTCAGTTTTCCAAACTGTTGGGGGTGCGATTTTCGTGGCTGCAGCACAAGCTGCTTTCGTCAACCAGATTATCATCAAACTTGCCTCAACCGCACCAAGCATCAACTCGGCCTTGGTGGTCTCAACTGGTGCGAGTGAGCTTCAAGACGTCTTTACAGCTGACCAAATGACTGCTATTATGCCTGCTTATATGACAGGTCTCAAGGTCGCTTATACTATTTCGATTGCTGCGGCGGGAATCGCTTTCTGCATCAGCCCCTTCAACAATTTTAAGAAAATTGACGCCCATGCAGAAGCAGCAGACTCTGTAGATGCCCCTACTGGAGCGACTGTGTGATTGTGTTGCATTGCAGCTGTCAGGGGTTTTCTACTTTGTATGGCATATTGAGATTTCTGTTCAAGGTGCCTCGGATTTGGGTCTGGCAAAGAGCTTAGTATTGCGGCAGATAGTACTTAATTTTATTTCTTGCTCTGGCGCCTTTTAACATTTTACACCAAGGCTCAGAAGCATTCTCATCACGATGATTGAACATATACGAACATCGGTGCTTCCTTACAGAGCAGAATGCTTTCCAGCCTGATCAACTTGCGGAGAAGAATAATCCGCATCGTCCAGGTCCATCATTTGGATTCGGTGATTCGTCATATGTTCTTCAGTTTTGCTCTCGACCTGGTCTTTCATTCGCGTCTCTTCTCCGAATCCGTCCTGGCTATTGAGGGTCTCGTTGGCATTCGATGAATTGCGGTCTTTCACACCCGCCTCGCGCTCATTTTGGGTTCTTTCCTGTTCCAGTTTCTCATCCTCTGTTGCCAGAGCAGCCTCCTCGCGTTTAATCTCGCGCATATCAAGATCTTGGAGTCCAATTGAGGAAATGATCTTTCCGAGCAGGAATTGATATCGGAGATGACCGCTGATTATATCGCTGACGTCAATGTTCTCAACGCCTGGTACGTTTTCGACAGGCTGTAGCCCGGCAACCCCAAGCTGAAGACTGCTCGTTCGATAAAGGAAGGCGAGTACATTATCATTTTCCGAGAAAGCATTGACAACTCGGCCACTCACGACGCTGCGAATGCGGCGCCAATGCTCACCATTTGATGGGGTTGGAGAACCCATTAAGATGACATTCTCAACCAAGCCATACGCGCCTCTTTTTGCCAAACTTTGGAGACAAGAGAAAATCAAACGTGATCCTAAAGAGTATCCGATCAAAGTGACAGGTCGCTCGCCTTGCACTTTATCAATCAAGGCATCCGCTAGGACTTCGCCCGCTTTATCGGACCGGGATTTGGCAACGCTGAATGGGTTGTCAACAATGCCAGCAACCTTCAACAGGCCAAGAGGAAGCATTACGGCACTCATGATGGTCGAGAAGACAGTGCGGGCCAGGACTTCTCGCCCAGCAACAGACCATGCTGCACTGGTGACAAGCGCAGAGATCGCATTCCCAAGTTTCAACAAGGGCTGCGTCTCCCAGCGTAGCGCAAACACTTCAGAGTTGGCGCCAATCACTCGCCAGGGGACAACAAAGTTTTCTTCTTCTTTCAACCATCCGGTGACTCCAATGGTAACCCTAAGTCGATGATCCTGTTTCGCAGATTCTGTTTCCTTCTCCGTCCGCTTCCGGGATCCTCGAATCGGAATGAAAGCAAAGTCGTCCACTTCACGCGCGTAGTTGTCCATCATGCGACCAGTCATGCGCCCACCATAGGCACCAAAAAGACCGCCGACAACCACACCGCTGCCAGCCAGGGCACCCAGATAACCAGCAGCCGCAGTCGCGCCAAGCCCCAGTCCACCCATGACTGTTCCAAGTCCAGCGGCTACCAAGGGCGCAGCAAGGCCACCAGTTATGCCTATAAGAGCAGCACCTGCAACCGAGGCAATCCCGACCTTCCATTTTCGAGAATTGTCGGGTTTCTTGGCTTGTGTTTTAGTGTCTGGCTCTGAAGCAAGGGCCAAAGCAGTGTCGAGAAGGCCCCGAGCAACCTTGACCTCATCTTCGTTGAGGATATCGACGTCAATCTCCAGACTTGATGCGACATGGAGTAGTAGAACCCGGGAATGGGCGCTATAATGCTTCAGACTGAGTAACAACAAGAGAAGTGAATGTAAAATAAGTAATCTGGTCGACTTCGGAAGATGAAGCAAAGGTGTTTCTATGGGATGGTAGATCTCGCGCAATTTCTCTTTCCTTTTCGAATCTTCGTTCAATTGAAGACTTTCCGACTCTTCCGGGATTGGGTTGCTCTGTCGCTGTTGTTCATTCTCAGCATCCTTGTTGACGACTTCGCCAATCCGCAGCAATACAGCATCTCTCCAGTCTTCGAATTGAGACAGTGCTGCCTCTCGAGCGCGGGGTGGGAATGCAGCCTTTTCAGGGGATGGGGCTGGTTTTCGCTTCACTGCCTTGTCCGAAGGTGACGTATCCTGAGGTCTCGGAGGTAGTGACGGCGCGGATTCATCACTGTCCTCGTAAACCGGGGTTCGACTTGGGGGAGTATCATTTCGAGATACCTTTTGAGGGTTCTCAAAGACCTCTAGAAGACCAACGCGCATTGATTCAGCAATTTCAGCGACCAACACGGTGAGGTCGGCACGTTGCGACCGGTCGAGGATTGACGTCAGATCCTGGCCGTCATTGCTCTTGGAGTCCTCCGGTTTCTTTGACTCGAACAAGCCCCCATGTTTCTCTTTTAGATTTTTGAACATGGTGTTTTGAAAACATAGAGATCCAATTTCTTATCAATAGTTTCGTTTTTTTTGGTTATTTTCCTCGGCGGTCGCAAGGATTGGGGGAGTGTCGAGAGGAGGAGGGGCGATGGTTCTTGAATCTTGGCTTGGCTGGGGGCCGAGGCTCTTTTTGGCCTCAGGCAGAACTTATCTCCGAATGCATTCAAGAGAATGTTGTCAAGTTTTTATACAAGAAATGATAATGTGAAAGGTTAGACAGTATACAACACAAGAAGTGTCTACTACTTACTAGTACACATTGTTAGTACTAGCTTCCAAGGTTCAAATTGTTGCCTTAGGGGCCTACATGCGCCAGTTAACTACACGACAGCTGTACCGGGGCTTATCATCCCGTTGATTACTCACAAACTTGAACAAGAAGAAGTGCATAAAGACCCTTGAGAATTTTTGTAACGGCTGTTGATATATAACTATGTAGCGAAGATAGCTGAACGCCAGCATTGTCTCTGTCCGCCTCTGATCATTCATCATCTATAAAATGATTCAATTCCCTTCATGAAATATTACGAACGACGTACTCTAGCTTCAAGAACTGACTCGTTTCCACGGCTAGAACTCCAAATCTGCACGAGATCTAGACCGACCGTATCAAAGAGATTCTTCCACTGGGACACGGTTCTCTCCAGTCCCGCAGTGTGAAGCCACATGAGAATATCCATTTCTGCAGCCCGGAGCTCAGCACCAGTATCAGGAAGCACATAATCATCAATCAACAGTGTTGAAGATTCAGGGTCCATGACCTCGACTATTCGGGATAGAATTTGGGCGCTTTTGGCATCAGACCAGTTGTGCAAGACGTCGCGAAGGAAATAAAGCCGAGCCCCTGAGGCCCAATGAAGTTAGTTAGTTACACTTTAAATTGGTAAATAATTTCAGGGTAAATGACAGAAGCATACCTTTCACAGGCTGGGGAGTAAAGAAATCATACTCCATTGTCTCAATCCCACCGGGAATCTTTTTAATACGTTCGAGAGTCAAGGGCAAATCTTGGAGAACAAGTCGTCCCGGTATCTCGGGATATCGCTCCTTGAATCTTGCAAGTTCCTGACCAGGCCCACCCCCGACGTCAACCATGAGTGTATCATTAGGTCCTGGATGGAGATCTTGGAGCTTCTCTGCTGCAGGGTAGATTTCAAACCATTGAGGCATATCGTCAATACGACGCGCAGCCATATAGTCATCGAATGCTTTCTTCTGTTCCGCATTTTTCTCTAGGAGGCCAAAAATTACGTCCGTGCCATGGGCGTACTTGAAAAGCGTGATAGCATCGGGCTCGTCCGCGAATTGCTGGATACCTGGGCCGCGCATGTATTCCACAAGTTTGCCGCCCTGTTTGTTGTTAATATTCTATGCACCTTGACATGAGTCTGATTTCGATGCCTCACCATTCCGAAATCTAGGTCAAAGCTGGCAAAGGTATTAGTTGGCAAATTGATCTTCCCTTTATTGCCCTGGCTTACTGGTGCTTCTCAGCTGCAATTGACCCCGGAAGAATCTTGAATCGTGTTTTATCATTCGCAGCATATCGCTCATTGCCGACTTCATCGCATAGTCCAATAGCGGTCAGGACACGCATAACACGGACTAATAAGATATATCTCAGTATTCTTTCTCTCCTCTTTCCTCCTCTGGGTCTTTTGCCCACCTGTCAAAAGAATATCGGACGACGTTTCCTTGGCAATTTCGCCAGCAGATATAGATTGGCCATTCCTTTCGACAATAACATGAAGAAATCGGTTTTCAATCGCGACACGAATAGATATGTTTTGCATGATCTGGCGAGTAAGGTAGTAATTAGTGACTTGAACTCTCCAATTCCGAAGCCTCATTAGAAGATTTCACTCGCTTGGAAATTGAATCGTGATGTTGTCTCCAGCGGCGTTTCGGCAGCTAACTGCAGCTCACGAATTGCCTCAAGGAGACCGGCGTGTGCATCTTTATCGCCCGCTTCCTCGGCCGCAGCAAGCTTCTGAACTCGTGCAAGCGCTTCTGAGACCGACATTAGGAAAATGGGCAGTAGGTATGACAAGGAAGGGAAAAAGGGTGGTTCCGAATGAGTAACAGGGAATTTATCGTTAAAAGCTCGTGAATTTAATTAAGGACGGAACTGGAATAGACGGGGTAGCTATTGGTCTATTAACGGTCTCCTTCCAAAGGATCGCATCCCATGGTGACCGCGGGGCGATACCCGGCCAGTCGATTCGAATCCAGTTCAAAATAGTAATTTTTTATCGGCGAAAGCCGACCAATTAGTGAACTCATCTTCAGTGTACATAGAATTAACCAGTGGACTCGGATAGTTTCTATCTCGGCCAATATGATTCCTTGCTAGATCAATGGCGACAAAATGTTGAGCAAGTCTTGTCATTCAATCACGCATTTGTGAGAGAAATTCTTTCCGGGCAGTAGAATGTTTCCAGTCCTCGCCGTATATTTGAGTACTTCTCTGACACATATGACCTCCAGCATCACGACCTAATAAAGTTAGCAAGTGACGGTTTCATGCATCTCCAAGGATTAAGAGACACTAGAAACGAGCGTGTTCTGGTATTAATACAAAATTAACTCCGCAATCAATACTACCGCGTCAATAGTCTCTCTGTTAGATAGTCACAAGCTAATGCTTATATGAAACACTCCTTGATCTACGCCATTCGATATTCTGCGCGTGGGCGTTGCTTAGGGTGCCATTAGCTTTGGCCTGCAATCTGCTTTTCCTCCACCAATACTATTTACCAATTTGGATGGAATAGAGATATCGAATTCAAGCCAAAAGGTAATTATGCGTTTTAATCAATCCAAACACATTTTAAAATTCGATTTCGAATGTATTCCCGCGCTTATTATTGGGCGAGAATTCGTACAAATAAACAACAATCTTGAGTTGCCCGTTCTATAGCTAAAAAGAGCTATCCGCCATTTCACAATCTCTGTGAGACCACACTCGTATCCTTTGTAACCAGTATATGCCTCCCAGTGGGCTCACTGGCTCCTCTTGGTATATTGTCTGTATTGTGTGATGCGCTTGTAACCGCGGATTCATAGGTAAAGTTGGCTTGAGGATCATCGTTCAATTGTATCCAAGACTCCCGTTGGCTTCGACTTTCCCTTACATACGCATGACTATTTACCTTGCTCTTTGAATAATTTCCTGTTGCCATTTTGATGTCTTGTGTAAATCGAATGAAAATTGGTCGAAGGACAGGTATAGATCCAAATATGATGATAAACCACATCTCAGTCAAAGTCCAGGTGTCGAGTCTGGCGATGGCATATGTCAGATCATCGGCTTGGGTAATGGATGAGATCGCAATGGTCTTATTAATGCCGGCAATTCCTGCACTGTGAATGAAGTGTTCAGCAAAGTCCGAATTCCCACGTTGAACTGCGCATCTTACATCAGTCCACCTCCCATAAGTAGACAAAGCCCGATCTTCGTCGAAAGCTTCATTAGTTGAAGTCTTCCAATAATAATAATTGGATAAAATGCCAGAAAAAAGTCAGAAGCTGCTCCAATGCCTATCTGTGTCAGTATTTATCCTGAGTCCTGGTCGAGGATTATCACATACTGCCTTGCGCAAACCCGACCTGGGAACAAATCACCACTTGGTCGCATGTCCCTGGAATATCAAAATCCCACAACTTTTCCACCGGCGTGCATTGCTTAAATATCAGCACAATCTCGATAATATTGATCAGTGCCTGGATTGTGCCCACAAAATACAGGAGATATCTGCTCTTGTACATTGTTCTTCCTTGAAGGGCGAGTAAGAAGGCAATGACGGCTATCCGAGCGATAACTAGATCAAGAATGGCAAGAACTTGGGCAACCCAGCTCCAGAGATTTGCTTTGACAAGGTCATTTTTTAAAAGCAAGTCCTGATGATTCCCAAGTCCATATCGAACGCTCACGGTGATGCTGCTTTGAACCGCTAGGGCGACGGCCTATCATAATTAGTTCCGATGCCCTGTAGTTAATGAATATGAGGAATAAGGAGGACACCACATACGAACGCCATTATTACCCAGACAAAATCCCATCTTAACCCAAATATCCCAGAGGATGGTTGGCCTGGCGGACATACGGAGGCGGTTTTCGCTCGAAGAATGATAAGAATGAGCGCCAAACCCATCTCTGCCCAGGTCACCCCTGAGGACCAAGGGCCCATTTCCACCATAGGTGATTCTCGATCCATCTGTCATCGTAATAACGTCGAGCTAGTCAAACTGTTTGAAAAAAATTAGGTGAGTGTTCTCCTGTGAATGACTAGGCTCTCGAATCGTGCCTGTTCACTTCCATATTTAGAAACTGATTTCGAGCTTTCCCTAAATCCATTTCGAATCCTAGTCAACAACAGATCCTTGCGGACATATCCAACAGGGCGGGACTGCTTGTGTTACAGTGGCCTTGTGAGCACCTCATACCGGGGCAACACGGGGATCCGATGGCGCTGGTTGTGGCTCCACCACCAAAGTCAAAAATATTAAGCCAACGGCCCGCCCCGGTCAAGCCCGTCTAGCCATGCTTAGCGCTCCTGGAACAGTGGATCAGGTCTGCGATTTGCTGGGGGTGGACCTATGGTTCGTCCCCGGAAGGCAGCCTGCGAGGCGGACATGGCCCCTAGTTCGCCCGAGTCAAAGTCGGTATCGTCAGCTGTTTTATATGCGACGCAATAGGTAAACGGACTCCGTACTTCATAACGGGATTGCTTCCTTCCGTACGGAGTACTACAAATCAAATTGAAGAGCCCTGTCCAAAAGTCCTGAAGAATTCGTTCAAACATCCTTGGCGTCGCTTGTGATGGTCGGAATCGAGTAGGTACTTTCAATGGCGGAGATTTATCAATGCAACACCCAAATTAGACAGGAAATAGATCAGCAATAAGCTTGTGAATCTGGATGCGGTGTTTCATATTACTATGTCCTACCAAAAGGCACTGTAATGTAGGAGGCCCGACGGGACCGGGCACGACCTCTTTAGTTTGATGCAGTGGTTACATGGCGTGTAAAAGAAGCTGGTAACAACAACATTTCACCCCTGCTGGTAAGGCTCGTGGGACAGACATTTGATCTCCGCATTTTTTTGACTTGCCTTTCCCTCCTTTCTTCTGCTGTGTTTCTGCTTTCCCCGGAGTTTTCTACAATGTCTTCGCAAGCGAAAATGGTCCAGGAAAAACAGCCCGGATATCTCAATACTACGGAGATCGACGAGGAACCCGAAGCCCTCGAGGGCTACATCGTCGATCCTAGTCGTTATGCTGATAATGCAGCCAGGTTGAAGACCAGCCCCGACGGGCGTTACGTTCTAATACCTCAACCCTTAGACACACCCGACGATCCTTTAAACTGGAGCGGTGGTAAGAAGTGGGCCATCATCGCGATTGTTGCCTACATTGCTCTGCTGGCAGACTATACCGGAGGAACAGCCATCATCACCGTCATTCCTCAATCTATGTAAGTCGTCGACACCTCCGATCGGAAATTATGTACACCCAATAACCAAATATTGAAGGCAATGGCAACTCGCTCAAGCCACAGTACAACGGGCAGTGGTGGGCAACTTATTCACGATTGGAGCTTGCGGGCTTTTCGTCGTTCCACTAGCAAGCTACTTTGGCCGTTGGCCTGTCATTTTATTCTTTCAATGTGTCATGCTGGGAACGTGTGCGTGGTCTGCAGCAGCCACGAGCTTCCGATCATACCTCGCAGCTCGCATAATCAACGGGTTCTTCTGCAGTGTAGGCCAAGGAGGTGCTTTGATGTGGATTAAGGATCTTTTTTTCTTCCATCAGCACCCACAGGTCATCAATTACGTCGAGTTTTCTATCATTCTCAGCCCTTACCTCGGCCCTCTGATCACCTGTTTCATTGTAACTGATGTCAGCTGGCGATGGGCATTCTGGGTATGCACGATCCTATCTGGCGTGGGATTGATTTCGATCCTATTTATGGACGAGACCTTGTTTGATAGAAAGGCACCTCCGAGCTCTCGTGGTAATTTCTTCACTCGCTTGTTTGGAATACAACATGCCAAAGCTCCGCGAAGAAGCTTTGTCCAGTGTATGGCGCGTCCAGTCGTTGCCGTTACAAAGATCCCAGTCTTGACGATCCTGATATACTACTTCTTGAACTTTGCCTGGGTAATTGGAGTCAACACTACCATTGGGATCTGGTTAAGCAGTATCTATAAATTCTCCACGAGAGAAATCGGTATGTAGATCCGTTCACCCTCACAACAAGATATTGATCGTTCGGATACCAAACTGACAACCTTCAAACCTCCTCAGGATACTTCTACTTTTTCGGCATAGTTGGCGTTCTACTTGGTTGGTTTATCGGCCACTTCCTCCACGACGCAGTTGGTCGATACTATTCAAAGCGTCACTCCGGCAGACTCGACCCCGAAGCCCGTCTGATAATCACCTACCCTGCAACAATAATTTGCTGTGTCAGCCTCATAGTATTGGGATTTGCATTTGAAAGACAATGGCATTACATGATCATCGCAGTATTCGCCGCCTTGCAATGCGTCGGTGTGATGATCGTTACCACTGCGATCAACGCGTATCTCCTTGACTGCTACCCGAGGGATCGGGTGAGGTCGGCGCATGGGTTACAGCCAGTCGCAACTGGGCTGGATTTATGGCAACCTATATTCAAATTGATTGGGTCACACGTCTTGGGCCAGCCAAGGCGCTGGGGATCCAGGCCGCTATCACGTTTGCATCGGTGTTCTTCATGGTATTTCTTCAGATGTATGGGAAGCGACTGCGACATTGGCAAGGTCGCATGGTTTTTGGAAAGAAGAATAAAGTGCATAAATGATCGGACTGCGATGGTTAGGCAAAAGGCCTTCAAGCTGTGTATATTTGTAACAAGGGTTCGGCGTTGGTATTTATATGACGCTAATATTCAAATGGGTATTCTAAATTATCTTACATGGTAATTTCTGTGAGATATAGTACGATCTGGAGTAGATAACTACCCCAGAACACACGCAGCAGATGCTAAAATGGCACAGCTATCATGTCGACTTGCCTGTGCCTTTAGTTGCACTTGCGCCTGGGCCCGTCTCAACAACAAAGTATGGCCCCTTTGTCTTGGAGGCGGATTGGAGAGCATATCCATCCCAAATTGAGTCCTCTGATCTCCCAGTTTTCTCTTGTTCAACTCGTTGGATTCGTTTCCTCCTTCCGCTGACATGTTCTTGTGCCAATGCGTCCTTTAGACGGTCCAGGCCGATACTCGTCTCCTTATTTGCAGCCAGTGTCTCGTCACGAATGCTGCGTAAGGGCTCAACGCCTATGGTATCGACACTCTGCATCTCCTTCACGAAATGTATTTGCGATTCGAGGGTCTGAAGCATGGATCTTTCTTCTTCGGGGGTAGCTGGTGGTGGAAGCGCGGAGAGTCGCAATAGATGGTGAAGTTGTTTCGGAGAAATTGATGGTGCGCTTGACTGCGAGGCAGAGTCTGGAAGGAGAGAGCGAACAGACCAGGTAGGTTCTGAGAGTAACGACGCGATGTTGTTGCCTTGAGGCTGTGGATTGGAGGAATAGCGGCGCAGCATGCATTGACTGCGGGCCAGCGACCGCGTCGCTGCACGAAGGTGCATGATGGTCGCAAAGGAGAAATTGAGCTGATTTATTGATTGAGTGGTACCAGCGCGACCAGATTCAGGTGGTCATGTCAGCCTTGACAAGAAGTGAACGTGGTGAATGGGAAGAACAGTAGAGCAGGTAGAAGTAGAAGCAGCAGATTGACCGATTGACCGCCTGCCGCGGGACCGCCGATCTCAAGTTGTTCTTCCCCATCAAGAGACGATAAACCCAACCCCGACCTTCCCCTCCTCCACTCATTCCTCCCTTTCTCTCGACTTCTTTTCTTCCTCGTGAAGCACCTACAAAATGTCTCACGATCCGCGTGTTCTTCTGCAAAAGGTGAGTCTACCCTTGCCCTTCGTCCGACCTCTCCAACTTTGGAGCTAGGCAATGACGAAATCGCGGGAGACCTGACCAACGCTCACAATCTGTAAACATTTAGGCCGATAAAGCCCTCTCCAGCGCCGGCGGTGGCTGGAGTCTATTCGGCGGACGTCAAGAAAAATACGAAAATGCTATCGATCTCTATAAGGAGGCTGGAAATGCCTTCCGGGCCCAGGATATGGGTGAGAGAAACCACACCCCGCGTTTGCCACGTTTTCAAGCTCCGTCCCTCGCAGCTAACACGCTATTTCCCGATGTGAATAGATAAAGAAGCGGGTATGGCCTACGAAAAGGCAGCTTCGATCGAGGAGAACAAGCCTATTGAAGAACCCCTCGACGCTGCCAACACTCTCCAAGATGCCTTCAAGGCCTACGGCAAGAGCAGCCCCGAGGATGCTGCTCGAGTGCTCAACAAGGCTATCAACTTTTACCTGCTAAAGAACCCCCGCCGCGCTGCTACACAACTGCAAGCTCTCGCCAAGCACTACGAAGAGCTTATGGGAGATGAACGCCAGGCAATGGAGGCATACCAGAAGGCCGCGAAGCTGTTCGAAAAAGACAATGCTCAAGCGTATGGATCACCCCATACCACCCCTTATATCGATATTACCGGTCGTACTAATACGTGGATATCATCTATAGACTTGCGAACAAGAACTGGCAGAAGGTTGGAGAATTGGGAGCGCTCGCAGCCGATTACCAAAATGCCATCGATGCTTTCATCAGAGTTGCCTCCGATCCAAACGGACCCTACCCAGGCCATTATACACAGGGCTTCTTCAACGCCATTCTCTGCATGTTTGCTGAAATGGTACGTACATTTTCTCATCTTGCGTCGTTTTAAGCTCGAACATCTACTCACGATATTTCTTCTCTAGGACCTACCCGGTGTGCGCAATGCCCTGGAAAAATACCAGGACCCCAATAAGTACCCTCACTTTGTTGGCTCCAACGAGTACAAGTTCCTCTCCTACATGTACGACATTCTCTCCACCCCCACACAAGACCAAGCGAAGCAGTTCCACGGTTTGGTAGATGGTGCTCAGGGCCGTGGCTCTAAGGAAACCCGCTCTCAGTTCGCTATCATGCTAGCCCCATTCAACGACTGGAGACAGATTATGATCACTCGGGTCTACAGAAAGATCCCCGAATCTGGCAGTGTTCCTGGAGTAGATGCGTCTGCGGCCGATGATTTGGAGGACGACTTCTCCTAGGTGGAAATTTGTTTTACTTTGTCTTTTGATTCCCTGCCTGTGTCGAGTCAGAATCTCTACCTGGATATTTGTTATACTTGTTCTTTTTTCCCGCGCTCTTCATGCAGACATATAGTTCCATTTTCATCTAGACTGGACACATTCCTTCCTATGATGGCATTGGGCCTTTCTTTTTCTATTTTTGGATTGGCGCCCAGTGGGTTAGACGCCATAACGATGAATGAGCGGCTCTTTTAGATGAATGACGGATAGGCTTCCTACGACTACGGTGCTCCATAGCCGCAATCAACCCAGTTTTTCTACTAAGATCATTAGTGTTCCGTAAGCTCTGCCACTCCCTCACTGAAGCTATTCTCCCAATAGCTACTAATACGTAGTATGCAAATTGCTCAATTTGGTCCTAACAGTTCAGGGTACTGCCCAGGTGAGTAGTATATAATGCGGTACTACTCTAGTAGAATACCAAATGGTATATTACTTATTTCTCTAATCCCGGGGCCTGCCCACGTATCTTCAAGAAATAGCAGAGAAAGTCGTGATTCATTATTGAAACGTCTCAAGTCTATTTACTTTTGCGGATGTATCATGACGCCAATCCTTCCCACCAAAAAAAGGCAGCACAGGACTACTACATAGTCCCGACATACCATCTCAGGTCTCCAAAAAATAAAAATTTCATCCATCTCATACAAAAATAAAATAATCATGAAGCAGAAAGTACTTACGCGCCAATCTCCTCGATAGCCCGGGCCGGACGAGGGAAGACACGCTTGTACAAGCTGATGCCGATAGAGTCTTGCGGGTTGATCTTGGCATCGAATGTAGCCTTGAAGTAACCATGCGTACCAAGACTCTCCTTGATATAACCACTGCGACCACGGCGAGTCCACAATTGCAGTGCCTTGAACCATGCGACGTCCTCGGAGTTGAAGAACATGTATCGGACGGTAACGACCTTCTTGTGAATCTTGTAAGGGTGACCAGCGAGAACGGCACGTTTGGCGATCACGCGCTTCTGGTCCGGCGCAACCACGGTGCCGGTACCGATCAGCTCGAGTCCGTCGAGGCTGGGTTGGCTGGCCTCTGCGGAGTCGAGCATCTCCTCGTCTGCCTCGGACTTCTTGTTCCTGAAAACGAGCATGGGGACGGCGCCCCAGGTCATGGGTCCAATCCAAGTAGCCATGGCGCTGCGGCCGGGATGCAGGAATCGGTCGAACTTGTGGACGTTGTTGGGGGTATTGTCGCCGGCGGAGAAGACGGGCTTGACGACCATTCGGCGCGCACCGATTTGGACAATGAGCTCCTCCTTTGACCTGAGAGGTTGATCGACGCTCGAGCTCAGGGTCAAGTTGACGTTGACAACAGTGTTCTTGTGCTCGTGACGGAGGAGTGAGAAAAGCGAGAAGGGCTGGGCCTTCTGGCGCAGGGCAGCCGGTACGGCACGCAGGTGAATATCGACACGGATACCAGGGTTCACACCACCAGCCAGAGCTTCGCGGAGGACACGGTTCTTGGTGCCCTTGTAGTCGCCGAATTGCAGCAGGCGGCGCCATTCTTCGGGCTCAAAGGGACGGTCTTCGGAGGTTTCCCAAGGACTGATCTTGAGGTTCTTGAGACCTCGGAATCGGGCAAGGCGCTCTCTGGCCTGTACGTTGGGGTGCAGCTCGATCTCGTCAGGGAATTCCAAATCTTCCTCGGCCTCTGTCTTGCGGCTGGCTCGGTAGTCTGCCAGTTCCTGTGCCTCATCTTCAGGAGATGGGTCGAGGAACATTTCGGATTGTGGGTATTCAGAGGGACCACCCTCGGTCATGGCATCTTGATTATCGGGGAAGATGCCATCTTCAGGCGCGCCAGTTGTATCCATTTCCATTTCCTCGTCTTCGTCCTCGAGGTCGGACCCAGAGTCTGAAACGTCCTCAACATACCAAGCGGACTGGTATTTGGAGGTACCCTTAGGCAGTTTCTTAGGAACTGCGGGCATATGTGAATCATCATCAGAGAAGTAGTGGTAGTCATCAAGCAAGACACCCTTGCGGTCAGTCTCGGCCATGGAGACGACGTCGTCATCCATCTCAATTTCTTCCGGGGCAATAGTAGCCATGTCATCTTGGTCTGCGGAAGGGGTATCCAAGACCTGTGTGGTCTCGTTGGTATCAACAGCCATGGCGTCATCTCGCTTGCCCTTGGTGATCGCCAAAGGAGCAGCAGTAATTGAGTCAATCTGGAAATCACCCCAGCCGGGAATATGAGCGATACGATCAGCTTTCAGGCCGTGTCCACGAACAACACCAGTAACCACAACATCATCCACCAGCTCGGAGCTAGATTCTGGCCACTGAACATTCTCGATAAACATCCAGCTACGCTCGTCACGCCATCGGATACCCTTGGGGGTAGCAGTGCAGAGAGATCGAATGGCATTGGAGCATTCCTGTCGAGAGTCAAGAGACATAACCTTCTCGACAGTAGGGAAGAAGTGGTTGACGAAAGACTTCAGGGAAGAGGCGACTTGGGGACGCTTCTTGGCCGGGTTGATCTTGTCGAGACCCTGAACCACCGTGACGACGTTGGAGATACCCTGGCCCTCGATCGAGCGCAGCAAAATTTCACCCTCTTCCTCCACTTCCGTCTCAGAAGACACGACCAAGACCACGAAATCGGCCAGGCGGCACACATCCAGCGCACTGATCAAATCATATTTGGCGGGAAGATAGTGTAGACTTTGCTTGAAGCGATCAACCCGCACTCGGGTAGCACCTTCAGAGGAAATCTCGGAAGAGATATCAACACTCTCATTCAGCGAGCGAATGACAGCAGTGACATCGATATCGGGGGTGAGTGGGACGATAGCGACATGACGGGGGGCACCACTTTGGCCGGCGAAGATACTCGCGGCTTGTGCCTTCTCCTGGTGTTTCAGTTGTTGTCTCTGGCGGGCTGTATTGCGGCGGTCGAGTTTGGACTTGAGCTGTTGGTGGGGGGTTTTGCGAGTGCCCCGCTCAACTTCGATTTTTCCTAGAAGATTGTCAGCATGGGCAATTTTGATAGGACCAAATCGATGCGAGAATATTTGACAATACCTTTCGCCAGATCCTTCAAAGCACTTTTCGAGGCATGCTTGCTCTTAAAAGGCTTGTGGGAGACCTTGGTGGTCGAACGGTGGGAATGCACCTGGGTGGGCGCCATATTGGCACTGGACCCTTTAAAACGATATGGGAGGGAGTCCAGCTTGGAAGTAGTGAATAGACTTGTCGAATAGTCTAATTTCCAATTCGAATAAAAGAGTAAATTGGAGAATTGCAGCGATCCCACCAAGACCAAAAAAGAAAATGGCGATAAGAAAAAACAAAAATTCGAAGTGGAGGATAAGCGAGCGGTGAGCGCCAACTCTTGGCACAATTTTTCAGGAAAAAAGTCTCCCGCGGTCCTCATTGGAATTTGGAACTTGGAACTGTCTGAACATTCAACCGCAAAGATGGCTGATTCCGACTCTCGCAAGGCAGTCATGTCGGCTGAGGACCGACAGGCTAAGATGCGCTTGGCCGAAGCCCAAAAAACCTACGGCCGTGGCAAAGCTCCCTCCATGAAGAACATTCGCGACAAGAAGCTCCGCACCACCCTCAAGGCGCAGGAAGAGAAGCACAAAAATGCCATGCTCCAAGCCAAGGACGCTGAAATTCTGCTGGAGCACGAGGCCGGATTCCTGGAGCCCGAGGGTGAATTGGAGAAGACCTACAAGGTTCGACAGGATGAGATCAAGGACAGCGTTGGAATGGAGACAGCGAAGAAAGGCTTCGAGCTACGACTGAACGACTTCGGACCCTACCGCACGGATTATACTCGAAACGGACGCAATCTTTTGTTGGCGGGACGAAAGGGTCATGTTGCGACAATGGACTGGCGTGATGGCAAACTCGGCTGCGAGCTGCAATTGAATGAAACCGTTCGCGATGCGCGCTGGCTTCACAACAACCAGTTCTTCGCTGTTGCGCAGAAGAAATACGTCTACATCTATGATCACAATGGTGTCGAAATTCACTGTTTGAACAAGCATCTGGAACCGCTCTTCCTCGAGTTCCTCCCTTACCACTTTCTTCTTGCCAGTGTCGTGAGTTACCTTCTTTTACTTTTGCTATGAAATATACCCGGGCCTTGATCTAACAAATTATACAGGGTATGAGTGGTTATCTCAAATACACCGACACCTCGACCGGTCAAACAGTTGCCGAATTACCTACACGCCTAGGACGCCCTACCTCCCTCACCCAAAACCCTCACAACGCCATCCTCCACACCGGACACCAAAACGGAACCGTGACATTATGGTCACCAAACTCGCAGACCGCGCTCGTTAAGGCACAGGTCCACCGTGGACCCGTACGCTCTCTCGCAATCGACCGCCAGGGTCGCTATATGGTGTCCACCGGCCAGGACCAAAGAATGAATATCTGGGATATCCGTATGTTCCGAGAGGTGCACTCATACTCCTGCTACCAGCCCGGAGCATCCGTCGCTATCAGTGATCGCGGTCTGACGGCCGTGGGCTGGGGCACTCAAGTCAGTGTGTGGCGCGGCCTGTTCGACGCCGCCGTCGCCGACCAAGGCAAGGTGAACAGCCCATACATGGCGTGGGGTGGCGATGGTCAACGCATCGAGAACATGCGCTGGTGCCCGTACGAAGATGTTCTAGGCGTCGCCCACGACCAAGGATTCGCAAGTCTTCTCGTCCCCGGCGCCGGTGAGCCTAACTTCGACTCGCTGGAGGCCAACCCGTACGAGAACACGAAGCAGCGCCAGGAGGCTGAGGTGCACTCGCTGCTCACCAAGCTCCAGCCGGATATGATTTCACTCGACCCCAGCATCATTGGTAGGCTGGACACCATCAGCGACAAGAAGGTGCAGGAGACTCGCAACCTGGACCACCGGCCTGAGGACCACATGGAGAAACTTAAGAACCGCGGTCGTGGTCGCAACAGCGCTCTTCGCAAGTATCTGCGTAAGAAGGGTCGGGGTAATGTCATCGATGACAAGAGACTCAAGGCCGAGGCCCTGCGCGAGGAACATCGTTCGCGCCACAAGGAGAAGCTCCGGAAAGAGCGCGAAGAACTGGGACCTGCTCTGGGCCGATTCGCCGCGAAGAAGGATTCTTGAGTATAATTTCTTGCCTTTCTTTCACGGACAGTATCCAGATACCCAGCCACGGCTCTCCTTTTTGGTTTTCTTTTGTAAAAAAAAAAGTGGAGATACATTTTGAAGCCCATGGTGACTGCAGCATTTCAGGCGTTGAAAACGGAGGGAAAGATTCGTTCATGACATTCATATATTTCTTTGTATAGAACCAGTACTAGTACTCAAAAAGCAGAAGCAGAAGCAGGATTCAATATCACTGTGCCACTCCAGACTTGATTAATGGTTTGATCAAAAGTGTCCCAATCCAAGTCCAAGTTCAAGTACCAGTAGGTAGTATACCAACATCAACATCAACATCACCTCTACTCATCAACACTCCCCGACCCCCTAACAGCCCCCTCCTTCCACCGCTGCAAACTAACCTCATAAGCCCCACTCCCCTTCCAAGCACTAATAATCAAATTAACAATATGCTCAAGCCCCTTCCCATCCTTAACAACCGCAAAAACAGTCGGACCATCCTCCCTCATCTTCCCCGCATCCCTTTCCATAACCTTAAGATCCGCCCCAACAGCCTCAGCCAGATCAATCTTATTAACAACCAATAGATCCGAGCCCGTAATTCCCGGTCCACCCTTCCGGGGAACCTTATCACCGCCCGCAACGTCAATAACGTAGATGATGAAATCTGCCAGTTCGCGCGAGTAGTTGGCTGCGAGATTATCGCCGCCGGACTCGATGAGCAAGAGGTCGGTTGTGAATTGGCGTTGGAGGTTTTGCAAAGCGAGGAGGTTGGCGCTTATGTCTTCGCGGACGGCGGCGTGGGGGCAGCCGCCTGTTTCGATGGCGCGGATTCGGCTGGGTGCGAGGGCTTTGTGGCGGGTTAGGAATTCGGCGTCTTCTCTGTTTGTGGTGGATGTTGTTAGAATTTATGCTTCTTTCGTTTTGGTCCGGGGTTGTGTTGGGTTTTCCGTGGTTTTCCCGGGGGAGAGCTGGGTTGGGAGAGAGCTCCCAGGTGGGTTTTCATAGGTAGGTTCAGCTATAGCTACCAGTAGCTATAGCTGTGGGAATCTTCGTACCTGGTGAAGATATCGTTGGTAACGGCGGCAATGTTATACTGATCACGGAGAGCGTGGCAAAGGGCTAGCATAAGAGCAGTCTTGCCAGAACCGACGGGTCTAGATGAGGGTGCAGGATCGAGTCAATATTACAATTCTATAGAATAGTTGAGCGGGTAAGAAGGAGAGGAGAAAGTCCAGATAGAAACCCAAACTCAATTCCATCTGCTTCTCTGCAAACATACCCTCCAATACCGATGGTAAAAGCACGATCCTTCCAGTCACGGCCTTCAATCAGCGGCATTTCGCGGTTGAGGTATGAGCCGGGACCATCGAGGATGTCATGGGAGTGGCCATGGCCATTGAAAGGGTCGTCGTGGGAGTGGCTAACGCCTGCATCGTGAGAGTGCGACATGGCTGCAAAGAAAATTACAACCTTAGTGTGGAAGGAGAGAAACTTGGAGAGGAAGAAGAAGAATTCCAAAGTCGTGGGGAGAGGAGGGGCAGGTTTATGCAAGGGCCGTTGGTGGGGAACGTCACGATAACAAGTCAGGAATGCCGAGATTCTCATTATCACATCGCGTTGGCCGATGCCGAGCGGAGTTCGCCGATCCGATCCGGCGAACTCATCTAACAGGGTGGAGTTGGATTCATATAGCTCCAGGGTATTCAGTAGTATTAGGCAACGCATAGCATAGTCTTTGACCTTTTTCACATCTATACGAGAGTCACGCTACCCCATTTTTTACACCGTATGTAATTGCAAGTTGCTGGTAGTATGTATGGATTCGTCAAAAAAGTAATTTGCGGCAAAGCGATGAGCCCCAAAGGGTGGGGAGGGGAAATCATCATCAAAGAATCAAGGCCCAAGACCAGAACGAGCCCAAAGGAAAGCCCCCAAAAAATGCACGCGGACGGAGCTCCAGAAGAAACAAATAAGCCCGACGCCATTGCAATCGCCAACACGGATATCAAGGATTCGGCCAGTTCATCCAGGCCCTCAACAAGGAAAATAAAGAACAGATAATCACAATCACAATAGAGAAGGGCAAACGCCCGGAAAACAAGTAGTTATCAATCCAGAAATCGTCAAACCCCGGAGCATGGCAGAGTAAATTTCGAGAGACGCAGGGGTGGGGTGGAGGGTGAAAAAGACATGCAAATTTCAAAGGCGATGATCCCGAGCCAACCAAAGAAACGCTGAAAAGGGAGGAGATAGAGTACATTAGAATCGGAGTTGTTAGGGGGGAACCACTATGAATAGCTGCCCCGCCGCCCGCTTCTAGACGCGAATAAGAGCGTCGGAGAAGAGACAGGTAGGACAATAATTATACCCCATCACCGGTATATTTTATCGTCAGAACCGAAAAACGAGGATTTGAAGGACAACTCCCCCTTCGGAGGAGGAGGGATCATGAGGATCTCTTGCTCAAAAAAGGAAACAATGTAAAGGACGGGCCGATTTGTCGCCTTGGTATCCATTTATGCGGGAGTTGCCCCCTCTTGAAACGTGAGACAAGATGATCAAAAGCAAAAGGGCAGTATATGCCACTAAGGGAAGAGTTCGCTAGGATGCAGCTCCCTTTTGTCTCTTTGGTACCCGAGGGCTGGCTTTCACTTTGGTCGCACCCTGTGCGCCAGTGCCATTGACTTCGTTGCCATCCTCGGACTCCATCTTCACGGTACTGGCACGTCGACGTTTGTTGCCGCCAACGTTGGGGCTATTATTGATGACTGGCGACGGCTGGACGGGCATTCCGGGAGCGCCGGCAATCTGGCTCTGGGCAGGACTCGCATGTGCTGAACCGGTCAGATGGGGCGAGCCTTGTGCCCCGGGAAGACCAAGATGGGCCATAGCAGGAGAGGCGAACTGCGAAGGACCATTCATGCTGGGTTGGCGAGGGATAGGCTGCATTCCTGGATTCATCGGGGTCGCAAATTGGGCGGTTGGGCCCTGCGTGTGAAGGGTGTTGACGAGGTTGCGGAGGGCTTCAGGTGGGGAGAGGTTTGGGTTCTGTTGGGAGAAGTTGAAGAGCATTTGCATATGGGAGATGGTTTCTGCCATCTCGAGGAAATCCAACACTCCACTGGGAACGCCGTTCGGGGTCACCATCGACTCTGGTAGCGTGAAATTCGGCGCTTGCTTCTGCGCTCGCTTTCCGGAATTTTTAGTCGCCTTCGGGCTCTGCTTCTGCTCCGACGCCTCGAGAGACTGGAGCATAGACCGTGGGACATATTCATCGTGGCCGGTGACGGTAAAGTCCAGCATATCAATCTTGTTGTTGACATCGAAGTATGCGCGAAGGTGACCATGCGTGAATAGTCGGCACTCATTGGTGAACGAGTAGATAAAATAAGCCTTTGGGGCTTCCACGATATGTCCGCCATTTGGCAAGTCGCGTTCACGAGCACCCTCGACAACCAATTGAATCTGCTTGATACCGGTGTTGAATTGTGTGACATAAAATCTCGCGAGCGCGGGAGTGGAGATCTCAAATTGCTTTGACCCCCCCTTGGGTGCTCCAAACGCCCTGGCGCAGCACTCCGCCGGGAGAGTAGAATTTCTCTACAAAGTTATGCCAAAACATGAAGTCAGTCGCCTCGCCACGGCTTGCAAAGTTCCCAAGGTGCTCTGCGTAGGAATGGAGACACAGAGTAGCTTGGCCTTGCCTATTTAACCGTTGCTGTTGCTGTTGCATCATCATGGCAGCCTGAGTCTGTTGCTGGGCTTTGAATTGAGCTTCTTGAGCAGCCAAGGCCTGTTGGCTTGGCGGGCCTGATATCTGACCCTGTTGGCCTTGAGGTCCTTGTTGAGGCTGCTGTTGCTGACCGGGTTGAGGTTGTTGTTGACCAGGTTGCTGGGACTGGGGTAATGGCTGGGGTTGAGGGTTTGGCGTCGCTTGGGCTTGCTGAGGGCCTTGTGATTGCGGTGGTTGTGTCGAAGGGGTTTGCGCTTGCTGGTTCGGCTGGGGGGGTTCCGCTTTGCGGCAGTGCGCCATGCTGAGACTGTGGTGTCCCAGCCTGGGTCTCGTGCATGCTTGGGGGTTGCGCGGAAGCACGTTGGGGGGTATGCTGGCCGGGTTGTCCGTTATTTGCCATGGCCGCCTGCTGCGCATGCTGCTGTTGCGCCTGCTGGATAGCCATAATCTGCTGCTGCGAAAGGCCTTGCTGACCGTGAGGAAGCTGTTGCTGAAGGTGCATCATGTTGACTTGGTTCATTCTAGGATTCGCTTGCATTGCAGCCATCTGGGCAGCATTGAGCCCCTGTGTCCCATTTGGTAATGAAACAGGGAGACCATGTTGCTGCTGTTGCTGTTGCTGTTGCTGCTGCTGCTGCTGCTGTTGCTGTGCCTGTGCTTGTGCCTGTGCCTGTTGCTGAATCATGACCCGCTGGCGAAACATCTGAGCCTGCTGCTGTTGCTGCATCATTTGGGGATTATTCGCGACTACGAGACATAAAACATCAGCATGTACTCGTAATGCAGGAACGATTGCCTTGGGGGTTCCAGTTGAGATGGGGGAGAGAGAGTCCATCACTGGCAGTCGCGCGTCGATTGTGAAAGACGACCAGGAGATTCCTGAGGGGAATAAAATATGGTAGGGCTGGATGTAAAAGCAGAACTCACAATTTTGAGGAAAACCCTGCTGCTGAAACATGTGCGCATTCGCGGGGTTCAGATGGGAGAGGGCGTGGGCGTTCGGGACGGGACCGCCAGGACCAGCGGTGCCAGCGCCCGGGGGCATGCCACCCATCATGGGGCCGGGCTGGCTCACCTGGGGCCCGCCCGGTTGAGAGACACCAGGGTGCATTTGTTGTACCATTCCAGGTCCAGGATGTCCGGCGTTGGGATGTTGTCCGGCCATTGGGTGGTGGCCCGGGGGCATGCCATGTTGCATGCCTTGATGGGCGGGAAACGGTTGCGCCATCATCATTGCGGAGGGAGTCAAGGCCGACTAGAAACCTCCAAGGGTATCAACGTCAACCGCGAAAGCGACGAGGGGAGGCGACCGAGGGGAAAAGCGATGTGCGATGGAAGTAGCGCGCCTGAGATGGGCCGGCGGTGGGTTTTAGCGTTTCGGGGTGGAGGCCAAGACCAGGCGAATTGATACAGCGCGACACGGCCGGTGCATCGATAGGGACCTCAGCCTATTCACACACTCTCTCTCTCACACCCGGTTCGCCCTCAATGCAGGCCTCGTTCTCCTACCAGAACCCGAGTCAGTAGGGTGGGAGGGGAGGGAGTTGGGTAGAGGGTATCTCGGGAGGTGGTGGAAGAGGCGGGAAAGAGAGAAGAGAGAGGGAAGAGGGAAGAGGGAGATAATAGGGAGGCGTGTGGAGGGGCTGGGCTGCTGGGCCTCTTCTCCCCTTGGGAGTGAATGGGGGTGGGGGGATGGGGGGAAAGGAAGTGTGATAGTGGTAGACAGTAGATGATAAGTCAAAGAGAAAAGAAACGACATACAGAGACCAAGACCTTGAATATGTTGAAGAGGGAGGGACTTGTCGCGATCGCCCATAGGTTCCAGGAGGATGATCGCCCGGTGGGAGCGAAGAAGGAACTGGGGACGGAGGAACCGGGTCCGAAGTGGAGGATGTAACCGAACTGACAGAGCAGATTCTACAGCATAGGCATATGTCAATAAGTGTAAGTGTAAGTGTAAATGTAGAAGTAGAGTAGTAAATCTACTCTATTTACATTAATCATGAAGATATCCTTTCTCCCATCCTCCTCTCTTCATTTTCACTTTCACTTTCATTTCCACTTCATTTTCAACCAAACCGCGCTAACCCGATCAACAAGTCATGTGACCCCAGTGTATTTCAACGCGGTTTTTTTTCTTCCGCTCCATCCAGTTTCTTCTTTTATTCCTCGTGTTGCTCGCCACCGCATCTTCTGCCTTTGCAAAATGAACCGGAGTTATCCGAGTGTGTCTTGAGAGTATTTGCCTCTGGGTCGTCTTAATGTCGGATGATCCACGCCACTAACCATCAGCTCATCGCTGCAGGTCGGTCTTCTCATGGTAAGTTGAACTTTTGCTATCATTTCTTCATTTCTTCATTTCTTTTTTCCCCTTCCCTCAACCACCTCCCCCTTTCGAGGATGACAAAACCTATTTACTTCTTTACCTTCCAAATCGAACATGACGAGGAAATACGGACCTTCCTTTCCCGGTCGGTCTGCTACTTGCCAGTATATCTTGTCTGAGAAAACTACACATGCACATGCTATTTGCTATTTACAACATGCCATTGAGTTGGGAACATCAGCTAATCCAACTTAGTCATTAGGTCGTCCACTTCTGTGAACATCATACCATCACCCAGTGACCAGACGATACCATTCTAGACTAGAATTACAATGCATAACCCTCTCTTGAAATCTCGCTTTCCCACACTTGCTCGTAATAGGAAGTTATCTTTCGGCTCGTAACCCAACACAAACTTTATTATAATCCTGGTCGAAGATCACCCTTAACCTAATTAAGCTTGATATCTACTGAAACTCGACTCCATTCAATGCCCTCGAGTTTGCTTTAACCTATCTGTATATGCAAAATTCTACTATCGAGCACATCACAATTGAGTTTCTAGTATCAGTCCATACAAGTTGCGCCAAATGTAGTAGTCACAACTTGAGGACTTGATCTATAGGAATATGTTCTAAATCGAGTACATAACCAGGATGCTATCCATATCCTGACCAAAGACCTGTTAAACATGCATTTTTTGCCCCAAGGTATTTACAATTGCACCTCCACCTCTTCCATAACTCATTTTTGATCGATTCCTGAAAACTTCTTATCAATGAGTATCACGTGACGTTTATCACTCCCGCGGAGGCGCCTTTGGGAACTGCATCTGGATCTGGACTTGCGCAACCTCCCCTTCACCTCCATTGCAGCCATTCGCTCCCTGTGAATTCCTTGGCGTACAGTGCCCTGGATGTATCTGTCAATGCAGCAGGTTCGGCTGCCCATCGTACGCCTTCGCCCTTGTCGACTCATCGCCCGTCGCCGTTTTCCCGAGCCCGCACCTGCGCGACGGTTCCACCTGTCGCGGCAATGGCTGTCATCGACCTCACCTGATGGCCCAACGCCGCCTACTAGTACGGACGCCAGAGACGTTATAGATAATCGCCATTCCGACATCGATAACTCCATAAATGACACCACCGCTACTTCGGTCTCTGAGAAAACGAAGCCTCCCGCACGGCAATATGGATCCGCCGTTCGCAGAGCTATGAGGAACAGACAAACGGAACAGCAGCAACAGCAAAAGTTCTCGCTAGCAGCCAGTATTCCTACGTGGTTCAAGGCCAACATAACCCATGGTTCCCCAGGTCAAGCCGATCTCCTGCAATCTCAGCACCAACTGGATATCACGAAATCAAAGTCGAAACCTGGACCCAGTCCCGATAACAGTGATGCGGTGGGGGATCCGGCTTCTGGGGGTAATGGAGGAGATCCTTCGGCCGGTGCGACTCCATCCGAATCGAGCTCAGATAATCGCTACTCCCTCGCAGAACCCTTGTGGGAAGAATTGCGCGCGTCAGTCAAAGCAGGCTTACGATTGCCGCCTACGCAATACGCAAAAGAACCATCGGCCAAGAAGTCACATCTTGTTCTTCAATACCCCGGCAACGATGGCATTCTTTTCCTGAGACTCTGTCGTCAAGCGATTGGCGCATGAATTGAATACCGACCTAATCACATTAAATGCGCAAGATATTGCTCAGCTGTTCAGTGAGCATGATCTTGCAGAGTCGGGTGCGACGTCAGCCATTCGCTCCCTCGGATACGAAGTGTATCGCCCTGCTATAATGGCAGCCTTCGCTGAGCCTGCGGAAGGCGGAGACGCTGACGAAGATATACCCGAGATCGCTGGCGCGCATCCCGGGACTCACGCCGAAGTCAGCACTCCCCGTTTTATCACCATCGAGGCCAGTAGGGAGTCCGGCGACATCCCGCTTCCCAATTGGCTTGGCCTGAAATCACTCGTGGCGTCCATCAATGGCCAGCCGGACCAGGAGCCAAACACCTCACGAGGCTACGGACAACGCATGGAGCAGCGGTGGATAGGCCTTTTGAATGAGCTCCTTTACTCTGCGAGTGGGGCATCCAAGTCATCAGTCCCCAAGGAAACCAAGGCCGAAAGTGAAGAGGCCCAACAGCCCCTCGAGCCCGTTACTGAAAAGCCCCTGCCACGGGATACCATCATTCACATACAAGATTATCGTGAGATTCAAAGCTCTAGGGAAGGCTCCCGGGTGATCACTCTTCTCCAAAAGGTCATCCAAGAACGCAGGCGCGCAGGATCGAGGGTCCTACTCATTGGAAGCACATCCCAAGAGCTTCAGCACACAAACTCCCGAGACGGCCCAAAGATCTTGCAGAATGTCTTTGACGACCAGTTCTCAAAAACTTTGGTAATCATTCCATCCATGGACACCAAAACAGTAGAGAAAACCTTCTCTGAAGACCATCAAAAGCGAACAATGGAAATCAACACCCGCCACCTTCAAACAATGCTACGTTACAGATTGAGCGAGACCTCCTCCGCCGTGAAGGATGATATTTTTGGCACTCGCGATTGGCCACTTGACCCATCCACCGTCAAGCAATCTGGTATGCGGGAGCGTTTCTGGTCCTACAACCAGGTCCACTGGCTGTCAACTCTCGCGCTTGGAAGCGCAGAGCCGGATGAACCCTTTGGTTTTGAGCATATCCGACGTGGAATTGAACTCATGGATGGCGGCGATCGAGTCACTAGCGATTGGCTGCAGGAGAAGTCGCCCAAGGCTTCGGAACCTAGTGGCCAAACCCGGGAGCAGCTCCTGAAATCTTTGCGTCAGACTTGTACCACTCATGAGAAGAAACTTCTCAACGGAGTTGTCGATGCAAACAGCATCAGAACTACTTTCAACGATGTACACGTCCTTCCCGAAACCGTGGAGGCTCTCAAGACTCTGACTTCATTATCTCTCATCCGCCCCGAAGCTTTCACATACGGTGTTTTGGCAACAGACAAAATCCCAGGCTGTCTCCTCTACGGCCCACCGGGAACCGGAAAGACTCTCCTCGCCAAGGCTGTCGCACGTGAGAGCGGCGCGACTGTCCTCGAAGTGAGTGGCTCTGAAGTCTACGACATGTATGTCGGCGAAGGCGAGAAAAATGTCAAAGCCATCTTCACCCTGGCCAAAAAACTCAGCCCCTGCGTGGTCTTTATCGACGAAGCAGACGCCATTTTCTGCTCACGCACAGGAGCCAGCAGCCGCACGTCCCACCGTGAACTGATTAACCAGTTCCTGCGTGAATGGGACGGAATGAACGATATGTCAGCATTCATAATGGTCGCCACAAACCGACCATTCGACCTGAGACGACGCTGTCCTCCGCCGTCTTCCCCGAAGACTTCTCGTCGACCTTCCGACAGAAGAAGATCGCCACGCCATTCTGAAAATCCACCTCAAAGAAGAACAACTCGACTCCGCGGTTGACCTGGCAGACCTCGCCCATCGCACCCCGCTCTACTCCGGCTCTGATCTAAAGAACCTCTCCGTCGCCGCCGCATTGGCATGCGTGCGGGAAGAAAATAAGGCGGCACTCGAACACAAGGGTGATGAAGCCTATCAATATCCGGAACGCCGCACGCTCACGCCTGCCCACTTTGAACTTGGAATGCAAGAGATCAGTGCGTCTATTAGCGAAGATATGTCCTCGTTATCTGCTATTCGCAAGTTCGACGAGCAATACGGTGATCGTAAAGCTCAGCGCAAGAAGAATACCGGGTGGGGATTCATTCCTGCGGGTAGTGAGGAGAGTCGGGAGGAGACTGCGCGTGTCCGTACGGCGTGATTCAATCGCGATGTTAGCAAAGACGGAGATGTAAATGTATGAAGTGGATGGAGGAGGGATATCTGATGATTTCGTTTTTTGTTTCCACCTTGCAATGTAACATTATATTAGCGATGATAGACATGTACCAATACACAAAGAAGATATTTACTATGTACACTGGAGCCATTCACAGTAAGCCCTCGATCTGAGTTCTTCAAGCTGTACAATCATGGATGCACATTCGAATTGGACTCGGAGCCTGGGATTTAGCAATCCACCCTGGGGCCTGCGCTTGAATATACTACCGTGACGGTAAACGCCCCTCGAGTTCCATCTCCTCACCATATGGTGCTCTATATTGGCAATCGACACAGTGTTGCAAGGTAAACACCTGGGCAACACCCGCGACTTTCCGTGGCAGAGAAATGAATATCCACAAACCTGCGGATTCGAACATTTCTTCTTTGATACCTATGTATGTTTTGGGAAATGTAAGTGAGATGTGGACCCATTCTCCAGAGAGTCTACTAGGTCATTTTAGTAAATCGTCCTAGGAGATCGTTCAACCTCGTAACCTCTGGGATCCGTCCCTGCCACCACATCCGAACAGCAGTGGAAATCCCGCCCATAGCCATGACGCTGAGAGTCAAGTTGCGCAGACATTTAACGAGGCGATTTTTGATGAGCTTATCTGCGCTGAAAAAAATAGCTTTCTTCATCTGAATTTGTATATTGAATCACGATACATATCGGTGCTGAGATGATCAAAGGGGACCCCGGTTGGGCTCCAAATGTCCTAGATAGGGCTGATCTATACAGCTACCAGGACAGCTGAGGCGGGAGGATGCCGCTGTGTAACATAGTAAATCAGTCACAGCCCAACACGAGAGGTACTTCACAAACATTACCCTTCCCTCACAAGTCACCTCAATAACACATATTAGTTCAGAATGTCCCCCTGTACGTCTATAAGTTTGCTGCCGCTGCTGCTGTCGCCTCCGATCACCCTATTTGCGTGGGCACGTGCCCTCGATGTCATCGGATCCGTCTCCGCCCGCCACTCGACAGCTTCGCTTCACTTCCACTCTTCTCTTCCAGAGTTCGGGGAGTGCACACCATTGCAGGGTCCGGGCGCACTTGAGCTCCGGAGTTGACTTCCATTAGGCGCCTCCCCTCCTCGCAACCCATCTCTCTCATCCTGCCTACCTCAAGGCCCAAATATCCTTGGTCGCAAAACCTCAAATCAAGGATCCCCACATTAAAACCATGTCCGCCGACAGTCGCGACGCTGCCGTTCGCGAGGCAAAACGCTTCATCCGTGAGGTCGTGCGTAACGACTGGGAATTCGACCCCATCGCAAACCCAAACGGTATTCGTCCATCATCCTCTTCCTCTACCTCTTCCTCCATCGGCACCCTGTCGCAAGGTCGTCAAGTCACCGACTGGCGGCCCCGCGAATTCGATAGCTCCGGCTCTGAACTCGAACCACAATCATCCGATCAATCTGATGATGACGAGTTCTCTCCAGGTGCTGCGAGGCTAGGAGGAGATCCAGTCGTCGAGCAACGGCGCCGACGCCGTCGACAGATGGAGGAGGAGATGGTATGGAACGAGGGGTTGAGGAGATGGATCGCACAACGAAACGCATGGTCAGGAGCTCGGACACGGCGGCAAATTCGCGCCAAGGAGCAGAAGCGTAATCTAGCCGATACGCATATACCATCAAGGGACCAATCTACTGCGAATACGACACCTTCGACGGAGGAGAGCGGTGCGGGGACTTCCCCGCCCCCGGCCACCCAGGCCGCCGCCGACGGCGACAGCGAAGCTGGTGAGACGGTCGATGCGTCAGTTCTAGCGAATAGGGCCGAAGCGACGCTATCTCTTGCAGAAAGGGAGAAGATTGAGGAACAGCATCGCCGGCAGGATCAGGAGGAAGAGCACTCGACTGCCCCGGACGAAGAAGCCAAGCGCAAGGGCTCAACAGAGACCAGTATCACCGTGCCAGATCAGCAGGCGTCTGGTAAAGACTCGACAAGCTTCTCGGCTATCGACGATTCCGATAGCGAGGGCGAAGATGACGAGGAGGAACTTGAGGAGCTTCTCATCCCTGTTGCGCCGCCATTGATTTCGCCCTCGAATCCTATCCGTGCAACCATCAATCCGAGCATATATCCCTCCATATATACCAAGGTCGTTGTGCAAGGCATGACTCCTACCGTGCCTGTCAATCTCGCAGATCTTACCAAGGCAATGGTACAAGGCTGGAAAGCAGATGGCCAGTGGCCTCCTAAACCGGCCGTCACCTCAATTGTCCTTGCGGACGATGCCTCCGTTCCAAAGTCTGGGGATGGAGCGAACGATGGAACGACATCGAGAAGGAAAAACAGCATTACGAACGCCATGCGTAAAGTATTTCATAACCCATTCCACCGCCGTGGATCGAGCCACGATGCTGGTGTTTCAGGCATCTGAAGCTAGCTAGCATTGCGGAGATACGAAAGGCGTTTATGGGACGGGAACCTCACATTGGGCATTATCATTGAGTCTTCGGTCATCTTACGGCTTGTGCGTGATGCATCTGGCGTTTCTTTCTTTTTCTTTTTTCTCTTCTCTATATGCTTACCATGGTGCTGCTGTTCGGTTTGGTTTTTTCTTTTCCTTTTTCAGTACCCCTTGTTGTCTAATGATGATGTACAAGGCGCACGAGAGGGTGGAAGGATGTAGTTACGAAGCTCTGCTTCTTTGGTTTTATGATCTTTTCCTTCCTGGCAATGACTTGATGCCCGCATACTAGTCTTGCAATAGTACCCTTGGGATATCACTCCCCAGACAAAAATAAGCAAGCAGGTCTTGATGATTCATGACATTTTGTATTTTTCATTTCGTTTTGCCGACATAACATAGTACATGTTGATTTCAACGTAAGACGTCCCTGGTATCGTCGAATCCGAGTACTTGTCCTTCAATATCTTAAACACCACCGGACGCCATTGCTATGGATACATACACTTCATTATCAACATGATCAGAGAGACATAAAGAGAAAAAAAAAGAAAAAGGGTTGTGAAGTAGAGGTTGATCCGATCAATCTCTCACTCATGCTCATCCGCGAAAAACTCAAGCTGATCGATTCGGTTTAGGAACTCTCCCACTGCATCACTCAAGGCTTTCCTAGCCTCGGCATTATTCCCAACGAGATGTTCAATTTGAGGTTCAAGGGTAGCTTCCTTCGAGTCATGTCCGCTTCGAGTATGGTAGTATCTACCACCATGCGAAGACCAGTTCTTGAGACAAGATTGATGTTCCTCAAAAGCAATGGTACGGGTTGCAACGAGATGTGACGGTAAGCTTGGGGGTGTTCCTAGAGGTCTCTGCAGGCCCGAGTCCGTCTGAATGTTCATTTCCGACATCGAACCCGCGTTGTTGGCATCGTCGAGATGGGAGAGCACACTGACGGCAAAGTCCCGAAACCACTTAATGTATGAGACAGTTTCATCAGCAACACCGGTCAAGCGGTCGATGAAGTCCACCACGACAAGTGTCGAGGATATCATTTCGATGAAAGTGGCGAGCATCACAAGATTGCATGTATTCTGAAAAACAGCCGGGCGATTTGAGAGTGGATGCAAAGCGCGATACGCAGAGCAGAAAACGGCATCGAAGATTCCAAGCACGGAAGAAACGCAATTCGAGTCCGTGGCGTCCATATCAAACAGCAAGTCCTTGAGAACAAGAGTCATGCTCCGGATTATGGATCGACTCAAGAGCCAAGCAGAACGAGCACTGAACACGAGTTCGATATACCCAGGGAAAATGCATTGTAGAAGGATGGCCCGGAGTGTGGGCTTATCGGGATCACCAGCCTCGTAAGTATTCGCCATTGCTGCGTGCAGTTGATCGGTGAGATGATCCTGTTGACCCTCCATGATAGCGCGTTCCACGATGCCTTGAGTAAACATGATCAGTGCCTGAAGTCCCTGCTCAGAAGAGAGTTTCGGCACGTAGCGCTTCAGTCTTGCAACAACGTATTGAGGATCCGAGGACGGCAGAGGGAACAGCGCCGGGTTTATGAAGAACGGATCCACGGGTTTGATGTCGTTTGTAAGTTCTTGCAAGAATCGGATGATTCGGTGGACAAAGTTGACATAGTCGCTCCGGGCATCTGCCACGGCCCCGCCGAGCTCTAGATAGTTTTTCTTCATCGCACTCATCATTTGCTCAAGTACTTCCGAGTATTCTCGCTTTGTGACAGACAGATTCCGATCAGCTGAGAGCTCCATTCCCAGCACATGTTCGCGCATGTTCGACAAGACGCTGGAAATAAGCGAGATGCGACGCTGGGCAAGCTCTTCGATCGTTAGCTTATATCGGACAGCCTTCTTTTCCTTGTAAAAAGGAAGGTTTCGAAGCAGCGGGTCTTTTGGGAGATCATTGAGCAGAACTTCCGTCAAACAATGCTGGAATTTCAGCAAAGCGGATCGCTCCATCAATGATGACATCCACATTCCCATGACAAGGACTCGACAGTCAGAAAGTATTCGAGAATCTTTCTCAATGCAAGCAGCGAGGAACCGAGGTGAGAATTTGCGGGTCTGAGCCTTCTCGCGAAGTCTTTTCCACGATTCGTCACCGAAAGGATCCAAATAATCTTCCCAGCGCTTGATGCCATGACGTACTAAGACCTGGGCAACTGACGTCCAGCAATCCACAGTACTTTCGAGAATCGCATCATCTGGGCAATCGTCTGCTCCAAAGCAGTCGGAGACCAGGCGAGAGACGACAGGGTGGAGATCAGACTGAACATGTTCAATCCCTTCGCTAAGGATTGTCGGCTCAACCATGACGGCATCGATATCATCCCAATCTCCATATTCTTGGCTATCATCTTCTGGTGCTGGTAAAGCCGCCGGCGCGGGAAAATCAGTCGCAGACGATAATGCAGGGCCATCTTTTTGAGTATACGCCGTGATCACCGCGAGAGCCTCAGATACAACGACGTTGACTCGCGACACCTTCGGATCAAACAACGGCAGCAGGGACTCGAAGGGGGTTTTCGAGATCAGCCGATGCGCATGCTCCAGTGTCGGCGCCCGTTTAACAGCAGTAAGCAAACCATCGAGTGCCATGCTCAATAAACTTTCAATCGGAATCTGGTTGTCAGAAATAATAGTTCGGATGTTCTGTTCGGTAGTGCATCCCCCCTTTTTGTGCTGAGCTTCACCCTCGCTTCGGGCAAGGAGGTGTTGCTTCCGAAGTTCATTCACGAGATAGCTATGCCATTCGGCAAATGGTTCTAGGCTCGAAACTTCCTCGTCGGTAGATAGCTTGAACCGAACAAGTCTTGTCCATGATTTCAGGTTGATGTCGCATGTTCCGATGTGGGAAGTTGCCGGATTGACGAGGTTTCTGATAGTTTCCAATCGAGGCCGGCAACCATCAGGAACAACCCAGTACAAGGTACAGAGAAGGTCGTGATGGTTCCTCAAAGCATCGAGATCCTCATAGCTCACATCATCATCTTTCGGATACATGCGTCCATGATTCGGAAGAAGGCGCCAGGCGAAGTTTCGAATTATCTTCTTGTCGTAGCGCTTAGACAAAAAGCGCATCCCACTTGCGATGATCTTCAGGAAAGTGTGAAATGTCGGTTCTCCAGCTCGGATTTCTAGAGAAGGATTTTGATCCAGCTCGTCGAGAAAAGAAGGCGATCCATGGCTTCCTTCGAGTTTCAGATTATAGAGCGTCCTCTGCGCGAAGAATTCATAGAGAGTGTCAAGGATGGGTTTGCAGTCTCTCCAGCCCCAATAATTGATTAGGCGGTGACATCTTTGAAAGAGTGTTCGGCAGTAAGCGTTATATGATAGGGTCCGGGTCGCAGAATGAATATGGTAGCTTTCAAAGACCGGGGAGAGGAGCTTTGTGACTAGAACCCAGTTGTCATTTCTCGCTTTGAAGCGAAGTTCTCGACGGGCGATGCCCTGTTTGTCAATCTCATGGAGGGGTAACTTCATAAACAAGCTATGCCAAGCGATCTCCAGATTCCCGATGTCTTTCTGATTGCGAATGATGCCTTCGACATAGGGCTCAACCTCGTAGTCCTCGAGCACTCGACCAAATACCTCCGAGGAGCGCAAAAGTTGATCGGCAATGACGCATGCCTCTGTGTATGGGAATCCCTCTCGAATGCCCATTTCACGCCGTTGATCGTCTTCATTTTCCTCCAGTAGACGCTTGATTTCGGCTCTCCCGGTTTGACTTAGAATTGCGCGAATTGTGTCCTTAACACAAGGTTTGATTAGATCTAGTGCTTCCTTGCCGAGAGAGAGGCTAAGTAGTCTATGGTTTGCGACCTGACGTATCTGGTTCACGAATACCATGTTGTAGCAAGAAATCCTGGCAATGTTCTGATCATCGATATTGCTGGCCGCAAGAGCTGAAGCGATGCGGTCTCTTAGATTGAGAGCTAACGCCAGGGAACGGCTGATAAAGCCTGCCCGGTCGATAGGATCAGCGAACGTCAAGTTCTCGGAGGCATAGGAAACCAATGCTCGCAATGCGAGAGATGAAGACGACAATGGTGGTGATATGGTTGCCTCGGAATTTGAGGCACCGAGTGATTCGACATCCGCGATGATGGAATCAAATACGATGCCCATTTCAGAGGATACTTTATCATTCCAAGGTCCCCATCGGAAGATTGTATCCTTGAACGGTATGGAACAGAACCCTGCACCTTGATCCAAGTCCCGCTTGAGAAGCTGCATTGATCGTGCGAATTCTCCACTCCCTATGAACGTAGACTCATGGAAGAAAGTGCCGCTACGCAGCGGCAATACCCCGAAATCCAGTGGGTAGGAACGCTGCCAATTGAAAAGACCGTTTCCCACATTCAAAGTCGAAGCTCGAGTGGGTTCTGAGCCGGTCGAAGCGAAAACTTCCAGCTCATCAAAAATTGGTGGCATTTGTTGTGCATCCTGCAAGAATTGGTCCAAGGTGAGATCGACATGTTTGGGTGAGCGCTTCTTCAAGCGACGGCGACTTTGAGTGACAGAAACTTGTGGCTTGCTTCGGCTCTCTGTTGCTAGGGCAGGATTATGTTGGGGAACCACTCTGGGCGATGATTCTGCTGGTCCAACATTTGAGATGTATCGGTCGAGTGGCAAGCTAGGGAGTGTCGAGCTAGGCTTGAATTTTCGAGTCGAATTTCTAGACCGATAGTCTCGATTGAGCTGAACCACTCTTTCGTGGAACATTGCTCTGGATATTGGCTGTCCTGGACTGCGCTCTGTCTGATTTCCGGCGGCAGGACGGAGGATGTTTCGTCGCAAAGATGAGATTTCAGTATTCCGTTGAATCATCCATTGATGTCCTCGTTTTTCAGCATGCGTAGATCGCGATTGTGTCGCATCGCTGTTGGGTGCTTCTACTGGAAGCGAGTTGGCTCCACCTGGCAGCTGATGCGTAGAATCATTATCAATGTCGAGAGAGTCACCGGTTTCCACAACAGGGAAATGGTTGGTCAACCACGAACTACCAGAAGATGCTGTGTTCCGTTGACGGCTAATTGAAAAATTTGCGGGTGTCGGATTTTTGCGAGGCTTTGGTCGAGGCTGGATATTGGTCTGTGGAATTGCTCCTCGTCTCCATGCCCACAGGGACTCATTTGCATCCGCCGTGTCGCGCCGTGAGTCCAGTTGCAGAAACTTCCGATTCGGACTCTGTCTGCCTCCGTCTTGATGCGAGCGAGCTCGCCTCGCTGCAACTCTTAAAAATCGCGGCTGGTCTTTTTCAGGATGATTGGCAACACCGGGAGCATCCAAGATTCCCAGCCGGGGTGCTGGTTTCGATTTCGATTTCGATTTTGGTTTTGATTTTGTGGGCGGTCGTTTGGTTCGCTGGGTCCCATAGGAAGAATCAGTGATTCTTGTTTGCTTTTGCGATCGAGCCCTCTTTAATCTTCTCTCTTTCGCAATCGAGCTTTCTTTGGGATGAACGCGCTTGAGGCTGTTTGGCTTCGCGCGAGGGTCTGTATTGCGACTGGTCGGCGGAACCATGTAATCGACCCGATTGTCCTCGAAGTTGTCGTCCTCTTCAGCTTCGTCGAAGGGGGTTTCAAACCCAATAATCCTGGCGAGGTCTTCATCTGCATTCTCTTCATCTGGTCGGGGAGTCCGTGTGCTCTGGGGTTCTTCATCGCTCTCGTCATCGTCTCCGAGATCCATTTGAGTTGGGCGTACAGGTTGGCCACTTTTTCGTAACAGTTTCTTAGCAACACCCTTACCATCTGCTCGCTGAGCATGACGGCTTGCCTGTAAGGCTTTTTGATTTTGGTCTCGTTTCTGTGCATCAATTCGATGCCATGATGCAGGAAGAACTCCACGGGTCTGTCGCGACAATCTTCGAATCTGACGCTCCTCTGCAGTCTCTGATTCCAGGCCAGAAGAATCCGAGCTTTCTTCCTCATCTGAAGAAGTAGCCGGCTTTTCTTGATTAACTAGTGTCGGTTCATCATCGTCTGGAGTCACGTCCATAGAATCAACATCTAGGGTTTTGGTAGACGGTGGTGGTGAGCCGGGAGGAAATCGAAATATATCCGAAGCACGCGGTGTTCGCGATGCTGAAGATAAACTACCAGACTGTGGCGGACTAGTCGGTATATCAAAGATTGATGGGTCTAGACCGCCAGGTGGAGTGGAATTGATGATCATTTGGGGACGTGGGTCGTTGCTAACAAGATGCGTACCATCATGCCAAGCTCCAGAGTGAGACCTTTTCCTTCGCTTGGTGGATTGTTTTCGTCGAATCGTCAACGAATTATCTTCGTGATTTCGGGCGCGCGGTGTAGTCGTTTGTTCTTCGTTTCTTCGTTTAGGCTTCGGTGCAGGAAGATACTCTTCCGCCGGTGGGCTTGATCGGATAGCATTTGGATTGAAAGAATCTTGCCCTTGGCTTTCGTCAGTGACTTCAGCGAGCCGAGGCTGAGGCGCCTCAGCGCGCAATTTAATCGACCTCAAACCGGCTAATTTCATTTGCTTATGATAATGCGCATATTCTGACGTATAAGGACGCAGCTGGTTGGGTTTATGAGGTCGAAGAGATCGAGTCGACTGCTGGGCAGATTCCTGCTGAAGATCTGGGAACTGAATCTGGATACCATCTTGCACACCTCGCTGAGCAGTATCCTCCTGTGGAAGCTCTGGCTGAGAAGATGGCAGCTGGAATTCCTCGGGAATTTCAAGACCCGGTAAAATCTGAGCCAAAGTGTCCTCCTCGTGTGATTCCCTTGTGTCATCCCTTCTTATCTGCGAATTGTCTGGAGACGGAGCAGAGATATTGGATTTCGCTGAGGATAAAGAGGACTCATCATCCGACCTGGCGTGTTCACTTGGTCGATGGGGTCTATTGCTGTTTATGTTGGCAAGCGGCTTTCGTGGTGAAGGCACAAGTACCATCAATTCATCCGGCGAAGAGTCTCGTGATGGCGTATCTATATGTCGTATCGAGGCTGATGGTGTACTAGTCTGCGGAGTATCTCGATTTCGGCGGGCTTTCGCGGAGGGCGTATCTTTCGGCGTCAAAGCCTGGCTTCGTGGTTTCCTTGAGGACCTAGCTTTCTGCATCGGCGAGCTAGGGATATCCCATATGTCATCATTTTGATTCGCTATTGTGACCGATGAGTTGCTCCGGGTTGTCCTGGCAGATCGGCGAGGCCCTGGTGTCCGTTTTGCAAGAGGTGTTGCTGGCCTTGAACTTTCATTGGAAAATGTGCCCGTTTGTTGGAGGGGAGTAACAGCTGAAGGGAGTCGAATTGCGGGACTTGAAGCCAGCTCCTGCGAGCCCTTTCCATCTTCTTCGGCGTCAAGCTGTGCCTGGTCGTCACCCAACGAGGTCGTCGATCCATCATGTTCATGTTCCTGATACTGTTGCTTGGAGATATCTTCGGCTTCGGCTTCGGGGTTTGACGGTGAAGGCGGAATGGCAATATAAATCAGGTCAACATCACCACCTAGAGCATCACTCTGGTCGCCAATGTTCTCATTATTCGTGTTGAGAGAATCGAACTCTTCCTCGTCATCGGAGTCCGGGACAAACCCTCGTTCCCGCCATTCGACTGTCATGTTGGGTGGGCTGCGCCCATTTCATTAGCGAGACACCGAGTGGCGCGAGATTCGGTATTCGGAAGGCTCAAATAATGAGGTGAAAGTCGTAAATATCGAGTCGTATTCTCGTCGAGGAAAACGCGTCGAATAAGTTGGAGACGCGTTGCCGCTAATCAGTGCGGCGATAACCGATAACGGGGGAGTCGGATTCGGCGAGGCACTCCCGCATCTCCGAGTTTCGAGGCAAGTTAAACCTCCAAACTTTCCCACAGGCTTGCACTCCCACCTCTCACTTCACCATGAGTCGCAATTTCATACCCGTCGCTCTCGCTATTGGAGTGGGCGTCTATACAGGTATATACCTCACGTTTCACGGTCATTTAGGATGAAGAGAATTCAGTTCTGACGTCAAACTTCTCCGCAGGCTACTACACCTTCCAACCGGCATTCCAGGAACTTGCTGCTGAAAAGACACATGGCAACGGGCCTGCTACCCCTCAGTCTGGTGCAGGGTTGAACCCAGGTGCCACTGCACCACCGGCAGGAGCCAATGCCCAGAGCGCAAAGCCGGCGTCTGGGACAACCGAAGCTGAAAAGAATCAATGATTTCTTGCGCAACATATATTCCACCAACACGAGAAATAGCCTCTAATGGCTACTAGTTCACAAAAGCAACACTGTCATAATTGCTCGGTCTGGTGATATTCAGCGACCTTGGGCACGCTGGTCGGTCCCAATGGCCTTGGCGAGCCCGCGACGGAACAAATCGAAAGACATTTGGCTTCGGCCAAGTTTCTCGGCTTTACAGCTAATCTCGATGGGCGGTTTGGCTCTCAAAATACCATTATAATGCAAATATAGGAAAGCACCTGGGGTAGTTTGATACACTATATGTCAAGGTTCCAGTTCCCGCTGAACCTTTGAGCAGATATAACTACTACTAGTATGCAGAATATGATTAAACCATGAGTATTCGTGAAATTATTCTCCAGTGTTAGATAAATTGAAAATGTAAACGCCATGCCTTTGATACAGAGACCGAACATGACAGTCGTCGTGTATCGAGAATTTCCTGCCTTTTCCCAAGTGCCCCAGAGTGGTTCCTTAATGCGCCTCAATCCATGTCAAACTTTCTAAAATGCAATTTCAGAGTTCTTGAACCAGTTTGCTCGTCCCAGTAACCGCTGGGGGAGCACCAAAAACACGACCGGCTGGAGTACCAAGCCACTCCTCGGGAACATTGACTTTGCAGCCATTAGCATTGCTAACCCAGCGAACCATTGTAGGATCGGCCTTTTCAGGCTCTTGGCCCTCTTGATCCGCGGGAGTCCCGTCAGCATCAGCAACTGCACCACGGCCACGGCGCTTGGGGGGCTGCTTCCTGAGAAGTCGGTTGATTGTATCCATCTATTCGTTGTTAGCTATGTGCCCTCGTCCCATTTTTCATTTTCAATCTAAGCAAATACCTTTTCTTCCTCATTTCGCTTCTCGCTGAGATTCTTCCTTCGGCGAGCCATTTCAGCTCTTCTCATAGCACGCTCCTCGGCCGTCAAATGTTTCTTCACTTGGGGTTCTGTCCGGTTGTGAGCACCATGCTGGTTCTAAAATAGAGGCCAATATTACTTACCCATTGGGAGCTGCAGGAAGTCATCACCCAGGTTTCCTCGTTGACGCTTGGTCGTCTTGCCACTGTTAAGAGCAACGCCTTCGCTGTCCAATTCTTCGTCCAGGTCATCATCTTCGTCTTCCTCATCGAGGTCTTCAACATTGAGCTCGGGGACAGCGCTTTCATCTTGGTCATCGGGCTCACCCTCCGCATCGGAGTCGGTGACTTCCTCTTCGTCTTCCTCCTCCTCCTCTTCCTCATCTTCTTCCTCTTCGAGCTCCATTTCTTTGGCTTCCACGCTCTTGGCTTTACCACGAGTGGGGGCTGTGACCTTGGCGTTTCGCCTTGTGGGCGGTTGTGGCGGAGCGTCGTCCATGTCTACATCGCCATCGGCATCGGCATCTTCATCGTCGTCTTCGCCAGGAGCATCTTCTTCATCTTCGACCTCATCTTCCTCTTCGTCTTCGATGTCTTCGTCGTCGGACGAGGCAACTTCCACGACCTTCTTTTTGTTCCGACTGGAACGCGGTCCTGAAACAATGGGGTTCTCCTGGAACACATTGACTGAGCGGCGGCCGGAGCGGCCACCGGTAGCTTCCCGCAATTTGCCAGCGGGCATTTTCACCGTCACACGGAGAGTCCTGGCTGGTTCTTCTGAGGAATCCGATGACGATCGAGAAGATCGAGAGACAGTCACAGATGCCGCAGCAGCAGCGGAGCGGGTTTGTCTCTGAGGCCTGGCATTGAGGTTAGCATCCGATTCTGGTGATTGTTCTTGAGCTCCTCGCGATCGACGAGAGCGGCGGAGAGCTGGCGCCATAGTGGGAGGCTGTGGTGCCGAAGCCAAAGCTTGGGAGTGAAGGTGATGGAAGAAAGGCAATACAAGGATGAAAGGTTGGAGGGGATGACAGATGCGGGGGGCAACTCGTAGAATAGGTGGCAGTGGCAGTGGCAGTTACGAGATAGCAATGGCATCTCAAGGAATCGGGGAGATGAAGTGAGAAAGCAAGCTAGTCACCCAATCACCACGGGGGACGAGACTCAGCGCACACCGGGAAGGCACAGGGCCAACTTGTCTCGGGGCGCCACGTTTGGGAGGCTCGCCGTGCGGACAAAGCGCCGTTGCAGGGAAGTTGGCAGATGCTTCTCCTGGCTGCAGTGTCCCCCAGAGGTTCGGAGAGTGTAGTGGCCCTTGGGCCACCGATGGGGTGCCAGTTGCATTGGATTTGAGGGTAACGGGGGGGGCGCAGGATTATTGGGGCCAATAAGGCAACTTACAGGTACTTTGTCCAAAAGTTTCCAATCTCTACGAGGGCTGTCGCTGACGCTGGATGAGCGAATGAAGTAACCACCGCCATTCTGCCCGGCAGGCGGTCAGCCAATATCAACAGTATGACAAGTACAGAAATCACTGTGAAGGGCTGTGAATTGTTGCTGGTTGTATTTACCGTAATTAAGTATCAATTTAAATATTCCAGTATATTTTTACTCTTTTTTACAGATAAATCACCACTACTCTATACCCCAGTGTTGGTGTTGGTTGGTGCCTTGCTGGGCTGAAATCGGACCAGTGGTAAAGTACAGTGGTAGGACATTTTCGTCCCAATCAAGCTCTTTACATTAAAGGGGCTTGTTACTTGAAATATTGAGAGATTTAATGATATTTATTACTAGTGGTAGTATGATTAGATACAGTCTAGAACGAAATGGTTATTAACTTGAAGCCTGGAGGTACGACCTGCTGGAAGTACATACTGTAGTGTCTCGTGACTTTAGTAACTAGAGGCACCACACATCTCAATGTAAAGCTGCCAGTGCTCACTATATACTATCTCTTCATCATTTACCGACGCAATTAGATAAATCAAGTATATTTCAATTGATAGAATTAAAATACCCTGAATAACCCAAACATTGTACACTACCTAGAATTAGAACTTGAACTTGAGTTACACTGCCGTGGATCGCGGAGAGATCCGTCGGTGCAACAGCCGAGGTCGGCTCACATGGTCCCCAAGTCTCAGTCCGGGGAAGTCGCCGCTCCTCTTCTCTCTACTCTCTACTCTCTACTTTCTACTTTCTACCTACTCTCTTCTTCCTCCCCTCTGACCTGGGACCACAGTATCATCATGTCAGACTCCTCCTCAAAGCCAGCCTCCATTCCTTCGTGGCAACGGCAGTCAGGAACTGCGCCAGCCGATCAATCGTCCTCGCCGTCCCCGTCTGCCGTCGACGTCGCCGAGCTCCGAGGATGCGCCCGCACCCACCAACCGAGAGGACCTCCTAACCCAAGCGGCCAAATTCCTCCAGGATGAATCCATTCGTGACTCCCCAACCGACCGCAAAGTAACTTTCCTTGAATCAAAAGGTCTGAACTCGGACGAGATCGACCAACTCCTCGGCATCACCCGAAACGCGGAGGCGACCAGCACCAGCCCAACCGCCGCAGAAAGCAAGAGCCAGGAAATGCCATCAACACCCTCTAGCGATCAATCCGAAGTCACCCCATCCTCGCCCGTCACCGCACAATCCTCACCCAACACCATGTCTCAACCGCGCTCAACGGCCACAACCACAACCCCCGCCTCCGCACCGCGTGATGTACCCCCGATCATCACATATCCCGAATTCCTCTTCGAAGCCAACAAACCTCCCCCACTAGTCACGATGAACCGCGTTCTCTACACCATCTACGGCGCCGCCGGTCTCGGCGCTAGCATATACGGTGCTAGCGAATACTTCGTGAAACCAATGCTCGCAACCCTAACAAGCGCCCGCCACGAACTTGCCAGCACAGCGCAAGAGAATCTCTCAAAGCTGAACGAGAAGCTAGAGCAAAGCGTCACCGTCATCCCCGCCCACCTAACCGCGCGAAAGACCAGTCCAATCGACGACGACGAAAGCAATGATACCGATTCAGTCACCTCAGACCCTACGGAGCTTTTCCACCGGGACATGGGCACACAGACGAGTCCCGAGACTTCTGAGTCTTCTATCGCAGTTATTGAGAAGGAGAGCAAGGCGCCAGATGCGCCTACTCAGGCGGTCAATAACCATATGAGTCGTCTGGAGTCTATCCAGTCGCAGCTTAAGGAAGTCAATGGTGTTGATAAGGACTCCAGTACTCTGGAAGATGACTTGCGTAGTAAGCTTACGGATCTTCACCATTATCTGGATGGTTTGATCTATGCGGCTCCGAGTTACTCTTCTTCTACGCCTTCCTATGGTCTGTATAGTAGCAATACGAATGGAACGGATAGTGCTGCGATGGGTGTGAAGAAGTCTGAGGATGAAGCCATTGCTGGTTTTAAGGCGGAGATCCGTGGCGTCAAGGGTGCGCTGCTGAGTGCGAGAAACTTCCCTACCAGTCGGGGTGGTAGACTTGGGGGTATGGCTTCGGCTGGAAGGTGATGGATGAGGCAGTGAGATTGGATGTTAGATACTACAGTACTGAGTATATTAGGACTATTTGTTAACGGCATGTAAATATAAGAGAGCAGGAAATAAGAACAAAAACTACTCCCAGTACATGCCTCTCTGGAGGCCGGGGCTTCACTACTAGTAGAGCATCTGATACTGTAAGAAATTAATCTACTATTCATTCGGTGCCACATCTATTTGACAATCTAAACCACATCGAACTTCGTTGTTAAAACCAGGGAAATTTTTCTTTTTCTCGTAACAAATAATCAAAGCAAACTAGATCCCCAAAGGGAGCAACGCAGGAAAGGAAATACGCAGGCATTAATAATAGAATGGACGAGAAAAGAGCACTGTCCCAAAAAACTTGTAACCAAGCGCGTTTGTACCAGGGACTTGGACTTCTCTTCTTTTGCCGAGAATCTAGGTAGGTGCATCACACGCCATCGCTATTACACGTCTATAATGCTAATAACAGCTTCAAGGGGTGGCCTTGCTCATGCTAATGAGACGCTTGACTCCGACCTATAGGTATATGATTAGTTTGTTGACTTTTACAACGGTAACCAAGTAAAGAAAAGGGACATACCATCCAGTTACCACACTCGTCGGTCCGGTTGGTCATGATATCAATGTGGACGGCGCGAGCAGTCTCGTAGTCACGGGCCTGTATAGCGCGAGCCAGGTTCGCCATGTCCTCCACGGTGTTGGGCTTAAGCAGATCCTCGTTGTTGAGATGGTCGAACAGAATGTTCAGGCGGCGCTCAGCATCATCAACTTGGGGCTTGAATGATGAAGGTGCCCGAGCCTTGACACGTTCCATGTCTGCAGACAGGAACTCAAGAATGGGCATAGCGTTGGGAGGGATATGGGAACGGTCACCGGGGGCTGATAAGTGTTAATAAAGGTTCCTGGTATTGGCAGGTGTTTGTGGTGATGTACTTACGGTACTTGGGTGTGGAAGGAGGGATAGCTCGTTGGGACTGAGCTGTTCCGGGGCGAGATCCCTGTGGCGGAGGTGGAGCCTGGGATGCCATGGGAGGGGGAGGGATTCCTTGACCTGCCATGGGCGGGGGCGGTACACCAACCGGACCGCTAGGCGCATAGTGGCTCGGGCCTGAGGGTGGCGGAGCCTGAGGAGCGTACCCTGGAGCTGGCGGGGCCTGGGGAGCATATGGCGAAGCCGCCTGGGCCTGGGGGGGCATAGGGCGACGCAGCAGCTTGTGGCGGAGGAGCAACCGGGGCCCGAGTCTGCAACTGCGGACTTGCAGCCTGAGCGGTTGGGTTCGGGGTGTACCGGTTTGTCGGCGGTGGGATGCTTGGGGGAGCATTATAAGGCGATGGCCCTCGGGGAATTGACGCCGGTGGGGCCATAGTTCCAGTGGGCGGGGATTGAGGGAGAGAGGCATATGGGTTGACCGGCTGCAGAGGAGCTGGCCCAGGAGCGTTCGATGCCAGAGGCGATGTCACGCGAGGAGGAGCTCCAGCCTTGGGGGGAGGGGGGGACAGATGGAGCTCTCTGCGAACCCATAGGCGGAGGTCCAGGTGGCGGAGGACCCTGGGCAAGGGAAGGAGACTGGTTAGGGAATGGCGAGCTGATTGCTGCATTGCCAGCTGGGGTTGCACGGCGAGGGGGGAGGGGCCTTGGCGAAGCCCTCTGGCAGGTCATTCCATGCAGGCAGACCAGTAGCCGTAGTATAGGTAGTGATATTGCTGGCCGGGGACTGGTTGGTACCGCGCGGGGGAGGCGGCACGCCAACAGGCGCAGCCTGTGCACCGAACTGTGCCGGCGGCGCATATGCCGGTGGTCTCATGCCCTGGGTAGGCTGGTAGCCAGCCGGGTTGTAAGCTCCACCAACTGCGGCGTACGGGTTGGCAGCCTGTTGGGGTTGAGCAGGAGCAGAAATGGCAGGAGATGGTGCATAAGGATTCTGCACACCGGCTCCAGGAGCAGCAATCGGAGAAAAGGTCTGCTGTGGCGCATAGGCAGATGGTTGTTGCGGGAGAGGCTTGGGGGTAGCTCGGGATGTAGTAGCTGCTTGTGCCTTTTGGGGCGCTTGACGCGTCGCAAACTTGATACGGTTGCGAGCAATCTCAGCCTCGGGATGCCTTTCAGGAACAAGGTCGAGATACTTTTGAGCGATTTGGAGGCGTCCGTGGGTGGCAACAACATCCGCGTACTCAATGTACTTCTCATACAAAGTGCTGAGGCTCCAGTCGGCATCCTTAGTCCGCTCGGTATCCTGGAATTTAGTGACCTGGCGGAAGATGGTAACCTTCTCGATCAGACCTTGCAGGGCACGAACGTGGATGGAAAAGGTTGAGTTATCGGCATCGTTCTCAATACCCTTCTGCTCATTCTCACGGAGCTCTTGAACCCAAATGGCCACCACCTTCTCCAGCTTGGAGCCAGCGAGGAAGCAGAACGAGGCATCCTTGCGGGCGGTCTTGTCATCGCTTTGCTGAACCAGCTCTTCAAGACGATCACCGAGGGCATCGCACAGATCAGGGAACTCCTTCTCGTCGGCGAAGGTGCACAGGGCAGCCATGACCTCCTTCCAATTAGAGAGATCGGCGTTGTGCACCACATCCCACAAGTTCTTGCCGACGATGGAAGCGAGCAGACGCATGTAGTTGGGCCCGCCAGCCTGCTTAGAGAAGTAGTACTCCTGGGCCTTCTCAATGCACTTCGGACCACCACAAATGGCGATCATGAAGGCATCAGACATACGATCCTCTTGGAGGGCAACTTCGAGGGCCTTGTCAAACTCTCCAAGAAGCAGAGAGCGGGTAATCTTCTGCTCAGCTTCGCTTTCGGCACCGTTGAAGATCTGGAAAGGATTGTTTGTTTGCGCGCCCTTGGATGCAGCCAGCTCAGTGAGGAAATTATCGCTATCCGGGGTGGCATCGAACATCGATTGAAGACGCTTGTGCTTCTTGGCCGATGACTTCGGCTTCTCAGCCTCTCCGTTGGAGTCGGAATCCTCCTTCTTGTCCAGGCCAAGCTTTGCCAAGCTGTCAGCAGCTTCATCAGCCTGGTCTTGGAAGCCCAGATACTCCACCAAGCCCTTGCGAGGGTTCTCGGAGAGCAAGGCTTGCATGACCTTCCAGTCGGCCTTCTCTTCATCACTAGCAGCGCCAGCAGCTCGGGTCTCGCACAAGTTACGGAGATCACCTTCCCTCAGAGCAGTCTCAAAGCTTTCGGTGGCATTTCCGACGCTCTCGTCCACCTCAAATGGTGTGATTCTAACCTTCGATGCGCGGCCACCCTTCTCAGTGAGACCGACAGAGACAACACGGCCACCGAAGCCAAATGAGACACCACAGGGTCGCTCGAGCCAGCGAGGAGGCTTAGGCAGGGAGAACTTGGAAACTTGAGGCTGTGTCTGGGCCTTGGCAAAGAAATCTTCGCCATCGAGTGCCTGATTATGATCCGCAATGGCCTGGTGATCGTCGGTCTTGGTGTTCTGCAGGGTTTGGATCGAGATCTTGCCGTCGAATGATGCGGTGGCAAAGAAGTTGGGGTTGTGCGGGTTCCAGCGAGTCTGGAAGGTCCAGTTTGTGACAACAGGGAATTCGCCATATGGCTGACCTGTTTGAGGGTTCCAGCAAACGTTGCGATTGTCCTTTCCAGAGGAGAGAAGGAGGTCAGGGTCCTGGTCACACCAAGAGAGCGACAGTACGCCCGATTCATGGCCCTTGAGAGTCTATTCCAACATGTTAGGGTTTCGGGTCACAAATGGTGTTGATTGACGAATACACTTACCCGCTCGGGGGCATGCGAGTTGCGAAGGTCCCAGACGTAAATCATAGGGTCTGACTCGAGGGGAGTAGCTGTGACCAGCTTGGTAGGCTAGACATGACCACCGTTAGCGACAAAGTAACCAATAGCCCGATATGCAATAACCAACCTTCTCAGGGTCCCAAGCAACAGCGCTGACAGCTTTGCGGCCCATGTTATTAAGTGTCAAGCTTTCCTTCTTCGTCTTCACATCCCAGACTGTCACGAAACCGGCACTGCTACCAGTCACCAGAATGTGAGCAACCTTCTTGTTCCAATCCAGACACTGGATATCATCTGTGCGAGCTGCCGTAGTTCCGAGCCGGAAGGGATTCTCGATATTGTTCAGGTCCGAGATGAACAGCTCGCCGTTCGCTCCACCGGTGGCCAAGAGGTTCGAGTGTTTGGGGTTGAATTGGAGGGCCTTAATGGCACCAGAGTGTTTCGTGGTTCGTGAAATCAAGGCATCGCTGCAATATTATCAGCAATTACGTTCAATCGTGTTCATTGCTGACTTGTTCAACCCACCTAGATCCAGCGAGCAGCTTATCCGCGTTCCATAGATCCAACGAGCCATTTTCCAGACCACCCGCAATAACACCCCGCTTCGTATCGTCGAATTCCGTCCAGGCGATGTCATTGAAGCTAGAAAGGTCCCTTCGTCAGTACGTTTGCTAAATTGTGCGGTGTGCGTGATTGCATCATATCATACCCAGAGTCTGTGTCGATTTTAGCCACCGGCTGCAGCTCCTCACTCGCATCCTGGCGATCCAAGCTCAGATCCCACAGCTCAAGGCATGTCTTATTAGAAAAGTCGGCATCAACGGCTCCAGCACGGGTTCCAGTGGCGATCAATGGTGATGCAGCGCCAGGGGACCAGGCAAACGTGGCCGTCCTTGGGATTTCCCTCAGACGGACCATGGTATCGGAGGGGAGGGAGGAGTGTGTGGGAAACAGAGGGGAAAGGAGAGTTGAGTGTTCAAATAAGCCAGATCCCACCCCTGTACAAAAAAGAATTGACAACGGGGGATGCGATGCTGTAGTTCAACCAAGTGGCCTCCTGGGCTGCGCGGGACCGGGGAACTAACACTAGTCCGCTTCGGGGTCTCGCCAAAACACCCCGAGGACGGCTCGCACGTGATATCATTTTCTCGGTCGACGCTCTGCGGAGGACAGACGAGACGGAGATCAAGCACGCCTCACCACCACCACGAGCAATTTTTCGTTTATTGCAGAAGTCGAAACCGATCTTCTTCTGTCTAGCTTGCGCCACTTTGAATCAAACAAAGTATTATCCCGAATACCAGGCCAGAGAGCTTAATCGCATTCCCCACCATGAGTGACACCACCCGACTTAAGAGTACGATCTACGTTGGCGGCCTGGACCAAGGTGTGACGGCGCATACACTGGCAGAGGCATTTGTGCCTTTTGGAGAAGTAGTCGACATCTCCCTGCCCAAACCAGATGGCCCCAACAAAACTGGCGACAAGCACCGCGGATTTGGATATGTCGAATTTGACTTGCCGCAGGACGCCAAAGAAGCTATCGACAACATGGATGGCAGTGAACTATACGGCCGCACTATCAAGGTCGCAGCTGCCAAGCCGCAAAAGGATGCCAACGAGGGTCTGGGCAGCAAGACCGCTATCTGGGAACAGGTATGTGAAGCTCTATTGTGCTTTGTTCTTTGGCCACTACCGTACCATTGCTCACCATTCATTATAGGAGGGTTATCTTGCCAAACATGCAGTGAGCGAGGAGGACCGCCTCGCTGCGGAGGAAGCACAGGCCGCGATGACCGTCCCCAAGACCCAATGGAGGGTCTAGAGCAACTTGATGTGGCTGGGCCGAAGCCCGAGTGAAGCAAATTATAACGATAGCTACGAAGATAATGAAGAACCACGAACGATGGTTGACATGCGGGAAAAAAAAGTACACCGTCTGAAATTCACCTCCGCGAAAGCCCGACTATTTACACAATCTGCGGTTCCGAGCAGGCCTTGACTTTCTCCAATTTCTTTTAACCGGGCTTCCAATCGACTGAAACAATACAAATTGAAAGAATTCAGAAAACTTGGGTTCGCATTCTCGGAGCTCAAACAAAGATGATGATACATTTAGTGATCGTGGCTCTCGGGGCTGTTGCGGTAGAGACGGAGAGTCTTGTCGGTCAGGAGCTTCTTGGTGCTAGCGTAAATGGCAGCACCAACGGCAACGCTGCGAAGAAGCGGGTTAGCAATGAGAAACTATCAGGGTTCCAGATCCGGCCGAAGGGTGTCGTGGGGAGAAAATTCGGTCTGATGCAGGGTGGGGTGTAACGGGGCGGGCGGAACTAGACAGGTACATACCCAAGGACAACACCTGTACGCGAAAAGAATCGTTAGATATCATTCCTTCTTGGGCACTTCGATGTAGAGTAACATACCGAGAGGGATCAGCTCGGGAGGACACTTCTTGATCATGCGCAGACGCTGGGAGATAGTGTGGGCTAAAGGCATAACCGGTCAGTTTGTGTATTCTTTCTGGGCCCTTGCGACAAGAGCACTCCGCGCGATGGATTGCAAAAGGCGGCGGGCGATTAGGGAGTCAGCATACCGCTGTGAGGCTCCTTCTGCAGCCAGGAGTTAGCATAACCGAAGCCGATCGTATGATCACCCAAGGGTGCCGGGTGTTGGTGAACTTACAGGGGCGGGGCTGTAGAAAGCCCGCGAGGGCTGCATCCGGAAGACACTGGTGGGATACATGGTGACAAGTTCAACCGAAGTCGTTGGAGTTGAGGAGTGAGGTGGGAGGAAGACTTGAAGTGGTAGCTCAGAACGTCGACGTCCTGTGAGTGGCTCGGGTGTTTTGGGAACTGCTCGGCGCTGATTGGCTCTCGCTTCCCACCGCCCGGTCATTGCCGGTTACCACTTCACAGCTTCGATCACCCAACGTCTTGTCTCTGCTCTCTTCCCACCTCCCTCTCTCCTCTCCCCCCGCCTTTACCAATCGTTCGTCCGTGGTCTTCACGAGAACCTACATATCGCAAAAATGGGTGCCATTCCGGAAGTCGACCCCGAGGAGCCTGTCGAGACCAAGCCCTTCAAGTTCGTGACTGGTAAGTGCACCCACCCCCCTCCCGCGAAAATGGCCTTCAACCGGCCCTCCTACAAGTCCAATGGCTAATTGATCTGCAGCTGGTGCGTATACCTTCGATATTCTTACGACATGATCGTTTTTCGGGATACCTTCGGACAGGTGTGGCCCGACCGACTACGGGACTGGAGATTGACAATTTTCGGCGCAATTATAGGTTACGACGCCCGTTTCCCCCAGCAGAACCAGTACGCGACTCCCTGAATCTCGAACCAATTCAAGTACCGCTTCTAACTCGACTCTTCTCAGGACCAAGCACTGCTGGCAGAACTATGTCGACTACTACAAGTGTGTCGAGGCCAAGGGTGACGACTTCCGTCCCTGCAAGCAGGTACATTCGTCTTTCCCCCCGACTTACACGACGTCGAGCGCTCACTGACATGCTCTACCACAGTTCTACCACGCTTTCCGCTCCCTCTGCCCCAAGGCCTGGACTGACCGCTGGGACGGCCAGCGCGGTACGTACCCCAACCCCCCTGATGAGATTATTTCGTTATCTGTATGCTAATATATGTTCTGTTTCAGAGGGCGGCAACTTCCCTGCTATCCTTGACAAATAGATAACCAGCGTCCGCTTTGTGTTGGTGAATTGGGCTCTAGCAAACTTTTGTATTGACAAACTTTTCAATGTACTCTACCTGGTCATGCGGGGATACATTTCCTTTCTGTCTGGATGTAACTTCCACTCTGATGAAGAAAGGGTGTTTATAAACTCACCGTTTTCTCTCTCGAACTGTGCTTGATTAACTGATTCTTTCCTGATATAAATCTATTTTGTGGGGATGCGGCCGAGAGCCTGAGGTGAACCGAGTAATGCTCAGTTGAGACGACAAGGGCTCGCAGCTACTATTATTCAATGTAGTAGTACGCTTACGTCTATTATCGTAAAAGAAGGAAGGTTTGTTCCTTGCGGAAAATGGTCTGATGCGATTCAGGGTGCAGTCTATGTCTATGTGGTTTCAGTCTCCAAGTATGTAAGAAATCTCCCATCCAGCACACCCTATACACGAAAAACGACGCAAGCTGTTCTAACCAGCTGCTGGAGAAAAAAAAAATAACCAGCCCAACGAGAATGCAAGATATATACAAGCGAAAAATTGCTCATGTTCAACAGATGTCCCACCCATATAGTCGTAATAGAAAATCGAGGTCGTTTAGGGTAGTATGTAGATGTGCGCAAGGGATCAAATGATGCGAACGATGAGCTTGCGGGGGGTTCAAGCAGAACGGATTTTATACTCAATGTTTAGATACCTTTCAATTTCCGGTAAAGCTTCTTGTGCTCTTCCAGGAAAAGGAAAGTGGCAATGGTATGAGGGCCCAGTCGGATGAAACTGGGAACCCACCCACGGAAAGTCCAGGCGAAACCTTCCTTGCGGCAGATATCGCGCAGCAACCCAATTGTGGTGTGGCCGCGGCTCTCAATCGGGCATGCGGTCATGATCCGAGTCTTGATAACATCAACAGGGCTGCAGACGGTGGTTGCGACAAAACCAGCCATGAAGGATGCAGAGAAATGGGTGCCCAAATTATCGCCCATGCCAAATTTCTCGATGCAGACACGCTTGAAGGAATCATAAGATGCCAATTGCGACGCAGTCATGAGCACTGCGCGGGTTGAGTTCGGCCAAACGCCGCGGAAGAGTGAGCCAAATCCTTCTTGTCGGGTCATCTGAATCAGACCGTCAAAGGCGTGTTTGTAGTTGCGGCGCTTTTCAATTGGCAGCGCAGCGTCGGATTGCATGCGCACGTTGAGCACGTCGGCTGGGTTGCCCGCAATTCCGCCGATGAAGCCCGAGGTACAAGCCATGCCGATGAGGGTCAGGAGTCCGGGTGACGAAGAGCCGGATTTCGAGTCGGGCTTTGAAAGGCGGCTCTTCATCTCTTCGTATATACCGAATCGGGTTGTGGAATATGTTATTTGGCGTAACATGGCGGCCGAAAGCTATCGCGCACAATGAAGAATCCGTTAGCTCCAACTCCAACAATTTCTGCAACTGCTTATAGTCGCCGTTTAAATCGGGACCAAGTTCACCACATACACCACCGTAAAGTCCGGTAATCCCATTATGTCTGACGATATGTCCAAAAGTTCCAATCATGCTCTTCGGGGCATCGGGTGTGCGCGTTTGTAATCGGACCTGTAATGCGACAGGGCATCATATCAGTAAAAGTTGAAGAAGGGGCGAGTAAATCGGACAAAACGCCGAGAGCTGAGAAGATACCTTGACTGCAGGCAAAAGGTCAGCATGAAAGTATAAGAGACAGCAGATCGCACACGGATTCACATACCAAGATCTAAAGGATGCGTCACACAGGCGGCAAAGCACGAGGCCGAACCTCCAAACCAAAAAGGGTAGTGCACCACCTTCTTCGGCTTGGCTTGCGCAGGCGTCGAGATAGACGCCACCCGCGCATGGGCAGGAGCCTCGAGCAACTTGCCACTGTCTGCCATCTTGTTTTTGGGAAACAAGAACTCGAGGGCCGTGTAGGAGGGGTGGGGTGGAGAGGGAGGAGGGGAGAGGTGGGGGAAAGAGTGGATGATTTAAAGCAAGTTGATTCTTTTTTTCAGGTCGAGGACATTTGACGTAATTTTGGATCGCCAATACCGACGGACACAAATCAGGCCGCCGAAGCGCCGTTCGGCGAGAGGAGCCGAGCGGCGCCTCATGACCAATCACAGGGTTTCCCCTGGGGTCCGAAGCGGGTCTTTGGCGCTTCAGTCCAATGAAAGACTCGGTTTCATTCGAATCCGAGTAGTCATACAGCCTGTAAGGGTCTTACCAAAAGCCCTCTCTTCATCTCCTCCCCCAGCTGCTCCAAGTCCATGTTCGGGATCGGTTCTAGAACTGGGCACCGAGGACCGCTGATCTGATCTGATTGCGATATTCAAGCTAGCTCTGTTCAAACAGTGTTTAAACAGTCTAGGGCAACATGAATCCAGATCAACGGGGGCTACGGCGGGCGGGCGGATATCTTCGGTGGAATTGCGGGAGGTTGAGGCGGTCGGGTGCATTACCGAGGGACGAGGGATTCCCCTCGCGATAACAATAAAGTTTGATATTTGTGTGATCTGGGCAGTAGGAGCTATCTATTATATCATGATTGCCTAGGTATCTATTCATATTAGTATTGGTATATTGCAGATAATTGGGACTTACTAGTACGTACTACTATGATATATACTTCTGGGTAGAGTCCGTTCTTAGTATGACGAAATACTACATTGAGATATTCTCAGTTCGGGTTGGTACACACGGGCAGACATCAAAACGAAACAAACATGCCCAGGTGATCGTAAATCATTAGGCCATACTATGTAGATAGCCGTGTAAAGACCAAATAGCCATCAACAGCTGCCAGTGCCAGTGCCAGTATATCGGCGACTAGTTTCCCCGGGCCGAAATGTTTTGACATTCCGCGGAGACCGCATGCTCACATCCTCGAATGACCGAGTACAGTAACCCAGTCTGAGCCATGCGGTTGTTTGCGACTGGCCGAGCCCTGAGGGCCAGCAGTGGTCGCTGGTCAATTGCCGCAACCCAGCCCAGAATCCCGATCCCCCGCACATACCTGCTACATGGGTCTTCTCCAGCTCTCTCTCGGAGTTGGAGCTCAACTCCAGCTCGCTGGACTGCCCAGTCCACCAAACAAGCGAAGCAAGTCGCCAACCTGAAAATCGAAGGTGATTCATACAAGACAGATCAATGGACCAACACTACCGACCAAATCCTGTCGCATGTCGGACGACGACTCTACCTCGACGAAAACCACCCTCTGGCTATCACCCGCAAACTTATCGAAAGCCAATTCCCCGCCCCGGTCTTTGGAAACTACCTCGAAAAGAACCCCGTCGTTACTACAGCTCAGAATTTCGATGTACTCGGCTTCCCAGCGGACCACCCCGGTCGCAGCCGTACCGATACCTACTATGTCAATGACAAAACCGTGTTGCGTACCCACACAAGCGCGCACCAGCAAGCGTACTTCCAACAGCTCAATCGAAATGAACAAACTCGCCCGGAGGAGGTTGGATATACCGTAATTGCCGATGTCTACCGCCGCGACGCTATTGATCGCAGCCACTATCCAGTTTTCCACCAGATGGAGGGTGCAATGCTATGGAAGCGACCCGAGAACAACCCGCTTGCTTCTTCTGCCGAAACAGCGGCCAAGATAAACGCGGATATCGATCTAATTCCAACCCATGATGTGCCAGTCGAGGATCCAAACCCGACCATTCATCCCCAACGGAACCCCCTACAAGCAGAGCATCACAGCGCGGAGGAAGTCGAAGCAATTGGGGCACATCTGAAGCGCTCGCTCGAGCGTATGGTCATCAAGGTTTTCACCGAAGCTAGCAAGGCCGCCGCCGCAAGCTCTGGAAGTGACGTCGAACCCGAGCCATTGAAGGTCCGCTGGGTAGAAGCGTACTTCCCCTTCACCAGCCCATCATGGGAACTCGAAGTCTTTTGGCAGGGTGAATGGCTCGAAATTCTTGGATGTGGTGTGATTCAGCAGAATCTGCTCATCAACTCCGACGTTCCGCACCGAGTTGGCTGGGCTTTCGGATTGGGAATCGAGCGCATTGCTATGCTCCTCTTTAACATTCCCGACATCCGTCTCTTCTGGTCTCGCGACGAGCGTTTCCTATCCCAGTTCCGCGCTGGCCAAATTACTCGCTTCGAGCCTTTCTCTAAGCACCCGGCCTGCTACAAAGATGTTGCCTTTTGGGTTCCCCCTCCGCTGTTACCGGCGGCAGCAGTGCCGCTGGCGGCGCTGTGCCTTTCCACGAGAACGATGTCATGGAAATTGTTCGTGGAATCGGCGGTGATCTTGTGGAGGATGTTTCCTTAATTGATGAATTCACTCACCCGAAGACTCAACGCAAGAGCATGTGCTACCGTATCAATTATCGCAGTTTGGAGCGGACGTTGACGAATGAGGAAGCTAATGAGATGCATGATCAAGTCCGGAAGCAATTGGTTGATGACTTTGGAGTGGAATTGAGGTGATCTGAGAAAACCGAGCGTGTACGATAGAACCTTGTTTCTATATTGTCATAAATACTGTACAATACCACAACTCTCCCACAGAATATCTAAACAAACCAGCAGATGAACCCTGTGGATAGGCCGATCTGTTATAATACAGTTGAGCATGATCCGAAGAATCTATTTAGAGATGTTTCAAGTTCTCTACCTAGATAGGGCAGCTATTAAGTCTACTAGTATATTCTAATGATCAAGGGAGAAAATATTGAGGGTGAGGCTTTTATTGACGCCTCCAAATATGTATATTGTACAGAGGGGAGAGAGTTATCGAAATATAGATCGCGTGAAAACCACACGGACACACAACCCAGACGCCTTCAGTCATGCAGAAAGTGTATCATACAGATCCAGGTGACCATGGGATACCAAGGAAGACAAAAATTTCCGGGACAAACAGCCAGCCGTATCCCATCCGAGTGACCCCCAATCGTGATCATCAAGTGACTTATGGTACAGAGAGAGAAAGAAGAAAGAAATGGGCATTAATGTCGGGAGGGAAAGTGGGAGGAGGAAAAGGAGGAAAGGTCGAACAATATTAGTTGTTCTTGGCGACGCCGACCTTGGCAGCGCGGAGGATACGTCCGTTGAGCCGGAAGCCCTTGCTCTGGACGTACATAACAGCACCGTCATCGTGGGCCTCGGACTTGGCCATGAAGGTGGCCTCGTGCAGGTTGGGGTCGAACTTCTGGGGCTTGCCATCGACCAATTCGCCGGGGTCGAAGCGCTCCAGACCGTGTCTCTCAAGGGTGTTCATGAGGATGTTCTCGGTCATCTTCAGGCCAGCAACGAGGTCGAGCAGGTCCTTGTTCTCCTCATTCTCGGCAGCGGTGAGCTTCTCCGCGGGCACGGCCAGCAGCGCGCGGTCAAAGTTATCAATGCTCTCGAGGAGGTCCTTGGCGAAACCCTGGATAGCGAACTTGCGGGCGCCATCCATATCACGCTTGCCGCGCTCTTGCTGGTTGCGGGCATCGGCAACGGATCGGAGGTATTTGTCCTAAGGAACGTGTGTTAGTTGCCGGGATAAGAATAGATGCATTGGGTGCTAGGTGGGATAGCTTACCTTCAGCTCAATGATCTCCTTCTCCTTCTCCTCGATCTTCTTCTGGGCTTGCTCTAAGGGGGTCTCCTCAGCAGCCTCGCCCTCCTTAGGAGCATCCTTCTGTTCCGGCTCGGTAGAGTAGAAGCGGCCACGGGGCGCAAATCCCTGGGCGATGGCAGGTAGCTGTGTTTGGAAGCGCGACGCCGGGCGGAGAGCGAGCGGAGTGACGGTTGTGGAGGAGATGGTGCTTAGAGGTGACCGGGCGGCCCGGGCCTGTCTGAGGAAAGTCCGCTGGAACATTGTGAAATTGAGTGAAGGGATTGGAAGAGGGTGTGATGTGTAGAAGAAGAACAGAGAATCGGATAGAGAGCCGGGTATAGCTTGATCGACGGGCAAATTTCATCTGGCATCACCTGACCGCCTAGCACCGGGCGCCCGGTTTTCCCGAGTTGCATAAAGTACTGTACATGCTCACCTGCCCCAATAGGCATCCCGACTTGGCATGAGATATATGGAAGAAATTGAGGAAGATATGCGCTTAAAATGATCGCATATTACTCGAAAATGGGTTGTCAGCTTGGGTTTCATGTGCGGATAGAGGTTTGTGGCGAAGTTTTTGTTATAAGGGATTGGTGCTTTCGACTCTATATTCGACATGAGGAGGTCCCATGGGATGTTGTGCCTTGATGTGCCATTGTATTCATATATGGATACGACCAGCTCAAAAGTCAATTCGAGCTCTAGGATCGTTTGAAGTAGTGATCAGTCCAGAACGATTGATTTTGTTTCCAGAATTTGTTGACCCGGCGCGATGTACTTGATGCCAAGAACACGGCACTTTGTTTGTGACCTTTGAGCATAAGAAACTAAGTACGGGCGAGTAGATAAGAATACCCCTCTGGCCCTCTTAAAATTGCTGAGCCCTCGGCATAATCTGATTTGTGGCTAGATAGTAAGAAATAAGATCATATTGTGATCGCTTTGACCGTCCTCATAGCTTGCTTGCTTGTTGGTTAGGTATTTATGTTTCATGATTCTAAAATGAACGTCTCCCATCACACAAGAAAATGGCGAAAACATACAGCAGGCTGGAGTGCCTAGGCCTTTGGTATCTCGCACTATGGTTAACTACCTAGGTATGGTTTGCTCAGGTCTGGGGACGGCTCGCCGTTCTAATCAGCCATTCTAAGCCCTGGTGGTTCGAATGGATCTCCACATATCTTTATATCTAGCCTGTAAAGCAAAATTTACATCCCGTTCGCTCAGATAAAGGATCATCCTGCAGATGGGGTACATTGGGGTATCAAGCTTGTGTGGTGGGGGGGCTTGAATTCCTCGCCATCCCACTCGTTGTTTGACAGCTATCCGACGTTCCTTCATGGATACCATTAAAGTATGTACGAACTCTGCAAGACGGGACAAAACAACAGGATGGGTGGATCCCAAATATTGAGAGAGCCCAGAGGGTCCATCTTGTTGAAACGGGCTGAAGAGTTCCCTGCCATTGGCTTTTACGGCAAAAGATGTGGAGTGTAATCCGTCGAAGTCAAACTAGATCGATACGAGTGCATACAGCTAGCCCGTGCGTGCATGGGGACCCATCGACCAGGAGCAGCCGAACAAAGTTAAAAACAATAAATGAAATATTCAAAACGACGATGAAGAAAGGGGAAGAAATTTTCCTCGGAGAAGTATCTCGTTTCGATCTAATCCATTACAAAATAGTCTTGAGCTCCAATCGGTGTCTTCTAGCGCGTGTCTACACCGGAGCGAGCGGTTCTCGCCAACAACGCTTTTCTTCCTTTTCTTCCCCTGTTCTTCTTCTTTCTTGCGAAAATCTTGGATTCTTCAAATTAGTCTACAATGACCGGCAAAGAGCAGGTAGGCTTCACATCTACGGATGCTGAAAACGCAAGTCTCTCAGACTCGGCTGAGGAGCATGAGGTTTTCAAAAAGACCGAGGATGGTGTCCAATTTCGAAATGTTGGTTGGTTTAAAGCATGCATTCTGTTTGTGAAGGTTCTCTTTGCGACAGGAGTGTTGTCTCTACCTGCCGCACTACTCTTCCCTCGGTGCTGTCGGCGGCGCAATCAGCATTGTGGCCTGGGGTGCCTTCAATACATATGCCTTTGTGATTATGGGAAACTTTCGCCTGAGTCGCCCCCACTGTCACTCTGTTGCAGACATGATGGAGGTCGTTGGCGGTGTCGTTGGCAAAGAAATCACTGGCTTTGTATTCCTTGTCGGCTATGTTCTTGTCACAGGTAGTGGAATAGTTGGAGTGTCCACAGCCTTGAACGCCCTCTCACACCATTCCGCATGTACCGTCTGGTGGTCATTCCTGGCCATGGTAGTCACGGTTGCAACTGCTTCGATTCGCAAGTTCACACATATTGGCTGGTTCACCTATGCAGGATTCATCTCCATATATGCTGCGGTGCTAATCGTCGTAATCGGTGTCACCACACGCGATCGACCAGCTGCCGCCCCTCAGACAGGCCCCTATGAACTCGGTTATGTGAACATCAACAACCCAGGCTTTGCTGCTGGCATGGTTGCCTCGAGCACTATATTTGTGTCCTCCGCCGGCACAAGCGCGTTTCTCCCTATCATTTCGGAAATGCGTAACCCGAAAGACTACAAGAAGGCCCTGTACCCCTGCATGGCTCTTGTTACGGCGTCATACCTTGCATTCAGCTTGGTCGTTTACCGCTGGTGTGGGCAATGGGTTGCTAGCCCATCATTGGGGGTACGTTATTACCATCTGCCACGGTGCTAACCCAGCTCTCGACGTGTGAACTGACATATTTTCTATAGAGTGCCGGCCAGACGGTCAAGATGGTGTCCTACGGTGTCGCTTTGGTGGGATTGGTTGCAAGCGCCACAATCTATCTTCATGTGAGAAAATTTAGCATCCTGTCCAAGTGGAAATTCTAACTGAGTTGCTATCTAGGTTGGGGCAAAGTACCTCTTCGTCAGAATCTTGGGCAATACACGCCACTTGCAGTCAAATTCGGTGACCCATTGGGGCACTTGGCTTGGTTGCACGATAATCCTGGGCGCCATATCTTTTGTTCTTGCTGAGGCCATCCCGATTTTCAACTACCTTATTGCCTTGGTTGGATCTTTATGCTTTGCTCCGCTCGCCATATGCCTTCCTGGGCTACTTTGGCTCCATGACCATGGCAACTACAGGAAAGGATCTCTTACGCAGAAGGTTAAGTTTATTCTCCATATTGGAATGGTGCTTCTTGGACTATTCATCCTTGTTGGTGCAACCTACGGTGTTATCATCCAAATCAAAGCGGCATATGCTGATGGAACCATTGGTATGTGTGAAAACTTGAGAAACTGATGCCTGCCACTCACTAACATCAACTGAATATAGGTTCAACATTCACCTGTGCTGATAACTCGAACTCCTCCTAAACTAGGATACGTTGGTGTTTGTGGGGATCTGACTATGGGCTGCCGATAGACGGGGCTGGGATCTTGGATCGAACTTGAAGATGAACATGTAAACGAAAAAGCGATAATGTAATGTAATTAGACATCGAATTTTATAATGAACATCAATTATTGTGACAAACTCACCTCGGCAGCCCTGTCTGCACTTGCTAAAAAGTAACAGATAGTGCCTCTCTCCCGCCACTACTAACCAAATACAAGACACGAAGGTACAGCTCCAGTTGAAAAAAGCCGCACTGTCCTCGCACTTGTGGGGACGTGAAATGTCAATTCCGTGTTGCTCCACCTACTCGTATACTCGGCCCAATGCAACTTCCGTGACTTACCAATACATATAGAGCTGGCGTAAAGAAGACTCAAAATTGAGAGCTATTATTTTTCAGAGTCTCTATGTTCTCCCTCATACCGAGCCTAAGTACATATCCGTCACCATCCAATTCGTCTTCTATAAGGATTGAAGATCGTAGACAATTCATAATCCCGTAGCAAAGAAAATTGACTTTCCAGCCCGCTTGTGGGTCTCGCGCTTTGTAGCTCTGGCCTCGGAAGAAGCCTGATTCCGTGGCCGCACCCGTTGATCACGTAGGCGAATCGACGATTCCTTTTTTGAGCTTAGCTCTGCTTTAATACAGGAGAGATCGGAGTTAAGCGAGTTCCTCAAAAATTGTTTTCCCATGATTTAGAGTGACTGGCGCCGCCCACTGACAGACGGAGACTGCCGCCGAATTCCAAGCTAGTATACTACTACTATTTGACTTGTTTAAGACTAAGCGAGACGGGTTTTCACTGAAAATATCCAGGGATACTATATAATCTGTCTATTGATTTTAGATCACAGTCCAATGGCGAAACTCGCCCGGGCCACGATGTCTTCCAAGATTTACACTTCCCATTCTGGCTCTGTAGGCATTTCAAATTTTTAGCCCCATTGACAAGCTCTTGGTCGAATATACTAAAAAGTAGCTGATTTCCCCTGGTCTTATTTGCTACGTGTAGTACATAGTATGTACCTCCGTATTATTCGTACATATCTAGATATGTTCATACAGACACGTGGAACGAACTCCCAGCCCACAGTGGGTCTTTAGCTCTCGTCAGGGTAAGTTCCGTACGGTTTCGCACCGCCCCGAATCGGGGCGATTCCACATCTGTTCGGCTTAGTGGACCTGATTAATGGTCTTATATTAAATCAGTTCGGTTGCATCATCAGTTAAATCTCGGAAGAATTTGCATGAGCCAGGGGTATTCAGTCCAGCTTTCAGCAGCGGCGTCCTGTCAATCTTGCTCGAGCTCTTGATATTTGGTTCCTCCGCCAGGTGTCTTTCAGGTTGAAAATCTGCTCTGTTTTGATACTCATACAGAAATAAAGAATAACTGACCGTTAATTTCTTTCCATTTCTGAATTCCGTAACTTTATTCCAGAATTCTCATAGAAGGGGTTCACCTGGGCACTTGAGCGACATTCGGACGTTTATCGTGATGATGCAATTCAAGTGCTCATTACTATTATCAGCAATGATCTTCCTTCATAATACAAGGACTGGGGAGTCACTTGCTTGCACATAGGGCATGAAATGACATAGGGAGGTCTCAGTAAATTATCTTCATAGCCAGTGAGCCCCTCGATCTTCCGTAGATCATCGTAATTGGGACCGATGGCAGAGCTGACGCTTCATATTTCATTTCCAGGCATTCGAACCGCGGAGCAAGATAAAAAGGCCATTTTATCTCGTCGCCGGTGATTCCAGCAACATCGAGTTTTACGAGAATCTCTGACTTGGACACGAGCGTGTTCTCTGACTGATTTGTGACGATTTTCGGCAGGGCGGGATCAGCCGAGGCTGGATTGAACTGCTTTTATGATAAGCTCTGCAGCTTTGACATTCATTTGAGAGAGACTCGGAATAAAAAAAAAGATGGAAGTGTAATTTTTGGACTTGAGATCACTTAATAGGTCCTTGAGTGCTTGATTGAGGGCCCAGCTAACTTTTAGTATGTAGCCGACTCCATTATGTTTAAGTTGTGTTTCTTTTTAATAAGATTTGACTATGTACACAATATTGGATCGGATTCCCCTCATAGCGTGTTGCCCTTACTGACTGGCACATAAGCCAATGATGTCCCATGGCTGCCAAGGAGGTCTAGGAGTATAGGGCTGGACTGGGCCCGATTTCTGTCCACCCCGCACTCTGGAAAATTAGTTTGGATTGGTTACCGAGCAACGCAGGGCGCAAATCATGCAATGAAAATTCATAATTCACGTAGACTGAACTGTATTTTCTAGGGATTTGGCTTATCGCTTGCCTGGTGGCCTTTTTTGGCGTTCGTAGGGCGCCGCCAGTAAACCTAATGCTGGAGAGGAGGTCCAAGAAGCCTCCAAGTCTAGATGATACTAGGATGATCAAATACTCGTTTAGTACGGAGAAGATAAGCCGGTATATGTATCAAATTTATGAGAGTCACTGGAGTGCTCGAATGCGAAAAACCAAAACTTGGCACGAAGTCAAGAGCAAAAAATGCCTCAGATCTCAGATCGAACATAGATCCCATGCATGGCTTGCATTACAATTCTTGGAAATATGACTCAAGTTCATTGGAGCTTTAATGACTGGTCAACAATATTGACTCGGTATCGGCAGTCATGTAAATCATTCAGGGCTGAATACCGAACATGTGGCTAGGATTAGATGTGTAACATTTGGATCGGACTGATCGCCTCGCACTAAGCACAGATGAAGTGTCTGTGCCCCACTAAAATTCTCCATTCGTCGTATGACAGCATCCCATCCCACCAAATACGAATGAAATCGGGCTGGAATTTTTAACGGTAGAGATCCGATGAGTCTATAATGCACATGCATCAACTCACCTAACCGATTGTGGACAATTAGATCTCTCTCGTTACACCAACGGAAGAAAAATATTACTCGGCTGTTCTTGCTTCATCATCCGAAGACCCCGGATCTCCTTACTGGCTATCTGGCTTCTAGTTTATCGATCCCTTGCTTTCTCCCAGGGAGTCCGGGGAATTGACTTCTCCCTGGTTGTCAAACTTTATGTTGCCGACCGCATAACAACATTGTGCCTACAAGCACAAAATGTGGGAGGACATTCTGTTTTGCAGTCATTAGCCAAGAGAGAGTTTTTTGATACATAACCAGGTGAATACAGCGTCGTGGATATGCAGGTATGTGTCTAATAGCAAATGGTGGGTACGTCATGTAATCGCGCACAGCAGAGCGGGCGTTTGCATGATTGCCGAAATATGACAAGTCCGCCTTGCAGAATGATATGTCCGGAAAGCCAAGGGCAGTGCTCGCATGTTATTAACGGTCAAAGCACACGCATAAACAATGAAGTTCTATCATCTGATAGAATGATTGTCGTTCTTGATGCCCTTTGAAGAAAGAACGGACTACGCTATTTACTTCCGTGGCTTTAATTGACATCAAAATTGTTCTCGGCAAGATGTAGTCTTTATCCCCGGAATTGGTGCACCTCTTTGATTCGCGAGGTTCTCATGCCATTTTGTGAGAGATCCACACAAGCCTGGTGAATATGATATCCCTGGTTTGAGCGGTCCCCCGCCTCTGTTATGCCTCCTCAATCCACGGCTGTATTTAACTCAACATGATTCCAAATCTTTCGGCACTAATATCTCCCACTCGTTTAATCTTGCCTCCCTCTAGCAAGCGCTTACCCGATTGCGCGACATGGCTTCAACATCGTCCGATGACACGTGGACTTCCGGCGATTTCGAACACCCAAACGAGCAATTACGATGGTCCATCACAGTCGGGCTTGTCTTTGCTTTTCTTCTCTCCACCGTCGCCGTCGGCCTCCGATTCCTGGCTAGGCGATTGGCTGGTGGTAGACTTTACCTGGACGACTGGCTCATGCTTGTCGCTTTGGTTAGTATCACATTTTACAAATAAGATTGTACATATGGGTCGATTGGCTAATTTATTCCATCTCAGCTATTCAAATACGGATGCTCAATTGGAGTGACTACGCGTAAGTTTACCGGTGGGATACTTTTGAAAGAGAGATACTCATGCTGTAAATAGTTCTTTATAATGGCTTAGGCTCCCATATCGACACTATCCCCCCGAAGAACCTTGAATGGTATTTCAAGGTACGAAACAAAACGACTGACTACAAAAGACGTGATTGCTGATGTCGCTTAGGTTGCATGGGCCAATAACTTTGTATATCCAGGATGCATTGCTTTCATCAAGCTATCTATCTTGGCGCTGTATAAGCGGATTTTTTCCACCAAAAAGATGAATTTGGCCGTCAACTTCATGGCATCGTTTGTTGTTGTCTGGATGGTTGGTAATTTCATTGCTGGTGCCATAAACTGTCTTCCAGTACAAAAGTTCTGGGACCGCTCACTTGAAGGAGCTTGCATGGATATTGCACCCTTTTCGTACGGACAGCAGATTCCAAATATCCTTTCAGATGCTATCATTCTTGTCATGCCTCTCAAGGTGGTATGGACTCTGCCGATTCCGAAATCCCAAAAGGTGATGCTTTCCGGGGTTTTTATTGTGGGAGGCCTGTGAGTTACCTACTCTCTAGAAGCATCGGGAAAATTACCTGACTTTTTCTGCTATAGGACTCTCATCTTTGACTGCGTCCGACTCTGGCGTATGATCATACTGTCACGTTCGGGCCCTGACATCACGTGTATGTACATCGAATTATTTTCCTCTACCACTAGATTCAGTGCTTACATTATACGCAGTCAATCAAGCCCCAGTTGTCCTTTGGACCTGTGTTGAAGCGGCCGTTGGCATTGTGGCTGCATGCCTCCCCAACCTCAGACCCCTCTTCAAGATTGGCCGACCTGGATTCTGGTCCCAGCTTCGATCTGGAAGCAAGGGATCTGGAAATTCTCACTTAAATAAGACGACCACCACCACTACGACAACAAGCTCGACAAACATGAGTGTCCAAAG